TTAGTGTACTGGAAGAAGCAAAGATCACCAGTGTTGAAGCAAGGATTCTACAACATCAACTTCGTTGGACTGGTCATGTTGTGCTGATGCCTGATGGTCGTCTTCCAAAGCAACTACTTTATTCTGAACTTAAAAATGGAAAGCGTAATGCTGGTGGTCAACAAAAGAGGTTTAAAGACTGTCTCAAGGCAAATCTAAAAAAAATGTAGTATAAACACTGACAACAATTTCTGTTCTCATTCTGAAGCAAAGTTTTTAACCCGAGGTACTATTTTTGGGTTAGTGGAGTCTGTAACCTGAAGCGTATGTAACCTGAAGCGTATGTAACCTGAAGCATATGTAACCCGAGGTACCACTGTACCTCAGGTTAAGAACTTTGCTTCAGGATGAGAACAGAAATCTTGCTCCGGCGGCGCGGCAGCAGCAGGAGGCCCCATTAGCTAAAGTGGTGCTTTAGGTTAAGAACAGTTTCAGGTTAAGAACGGACCTCCGGAACGAATTAAGTACTTAACGCAAGGTACCACTGTAGTGTAGAACAATGTTAGTGGTTAAAGTATAGGACTAGGACATGGGAAACCAGGGGTCAAACCCTCACTCTCAGACATGAAGTCTGCTGGGTGACCTTGGGTCAGTCACTATCTCTCAGCTGGGTCTACCTCACATGGCTATTGTGAGGAAAAGATTGGGGGGGGGGGAGAAGCAGGTGTTCTTGGAGAAAAAAACAGGATATGAATGTCAGAATAAAAAAATGCCATACAATATACACAAACCATTGCTAGCAACCATAGTCAACACCAGCGGAGCAAAAATAAAAAGGAAGATGGAAGGATTATAGAAATTAAAATGCCTGGGTAAATAAAAAGCCTGGCACCACAAATATTGTAAAGTAGGTGCCAAGTGTACATTCCAAAGCCATGGCACCATGACTGAAAAATCCAAAAGCAGGTAATGATGGGATAGTTTCAATGATGGTGAAGATGAGGCCCAAATTCCACCTTTCCCCAAGTATTATTGGGATAGTTATCCAAACACTGCAAGATTTATGTACAGATGAGGCAGGAATACAAAAACCAAAATTGAGCAAGAATTTATAAACTTTGCATTTTTATTTTTTTTAAAGAACCAGCACTAGAATAGTTTAGAACATACTGTTCATATTACTGAACAAGAAATGCCCATTTATCTAACAAGAGACTGCTATATGGATTGCCTTTCGGTGTTTTTAATGAACATACTGAACACAACAAAATTGGAAGAGTTAAACTCATGCTGTGAGAATTTGGATTTATACATCAATATACTAATGGAGCACATAATTAGGGTTTTGGATGAAATAGTAAAATGTGTATTATCCTCTTCAGTTTAATTCTTTCATGGAGGAGGCTGAATGTAGGGATGTGATTTGGACTGACAGTACTGTACTAATGTATTTATTAATCATGACAAAGAAATGCAAATTCAGGATGCATTTTAGCATAGCGTCATGACAGTATTTAGGTGAAATGTTAGTGGCATTTTCTTCTACCCTATACTTCCATATTTATTTATTTATTTTGTTCCATCAGCATATAATTTTCTGATGCAGTTCAGTTTGTTTCAGGTCACTTATGAATACTCAGCTGTAAGGCAATTAAGTATTTAATGCTGCTAACATAAAATTTCATTATCTTTCTTGGCTTTACTCAAATGGATTTTGCCCATGAGGAAAATTTGAACCTTAGTGCAAAACTGGTGTTAAGATGTGTGAATTTTATTAATTGATGGCGTCGCAATCAAAATAGCTCATAAACTCTCAAAAAAAAATTATCCAAACAGAAGGAACACAAATTATTTTTCAATAACATGGCTGTATTTAAAAGGTGCTAACTGTATAGGGGATTTTTTAAAAAAAAGTAAACTGGAACCACTCATAAGACCTTTTAAAAGATTTAAAAGTAGTACCAGAGATGGGGTCAGAGATTCTGTGGTCCAGAGGATGTAGAGTTGGAACTTCATCTGAAAGTAACCTTGCAATTCTGTTCAACGTCTGCCGTAATAAGCCTTGGACAAATCACACTCTTCCACTACCACCGCTGGTCTTAACAGTAAAATGGTACTAACAGAGATGGTCCTTGTAAAAAGATGTGTACAAATAACAAGGGAAGTCTTGCAGGCAGGTGTTCTCAAGGACAATATGAGAACTGTGCTCTCCAAAGAGGTATGAACTTCAGTTCATTTTCTAACCAGTGGTACCATCAGGGCAGAACTTGAGGGGCAGAAGTCCTTGCAGAAAGGGCAGGAAAGTTCCCAAACACAGCAGGGTTGGCTTACACTATTTTGAACTAAGTAAAGTGCAGGCAACGGCCAATTGACACACAACCATACACGCCAACCAATGGACGCCCTTGCACTGACCGTTGAGGCCTGTAGAGAGCTGGAGTTTGAGCAAGGATGTTTGGAGGGAGCAATTGTGGTGGAGTTTGGTGTCTGGTAAGAGCTGCTGGGTTTTTCAAGGATTTCCAGAGGTTTGGAAAGTGTATGCAGGCTTTTCCATTGGTGTTTCAAATATACGCAATTTCACGTAAACATGTGGTACCTCAGAATGTAAGGTAAAGGTAAAGGGACCCCTGACCATTTGGTCCAGTCATGACTGACTCTAGGGTTGCGGTGCTCATCTTGCTTTATTGGCTGAGGGAGCCGGCGTACAGCTTCCGGGTCATGTGGCCAGCATGCAGCGCATGGAAACGCCGTTTACCTTCCCGCAGGAGTGGTACCTATTTATCTACTTGCACTTTGACGTGCTTTCGAACTGCTAGGTTGGCAGGAGCAGGGACCGACCGAGCAACGGGAGCTCACCCCGTCGCGGGGATTCGAACCGCCGACCTTCGGATCGGCAAGTCCTAGGCTCTGTAGTTTAACCCACAGTGCCACCTGCATCCCACCTCAGAATGTAATCCCCATGTAAATTTGGAGGTGTCTTTAATGCACACTGCTCCTGTAGGACCATTATGTTGTACTGAAGAAACCACTGGGAGGCTATATGGTGCTATATGGTGACCAGTTAGAATGGGATTGCAAGGAAACGGCAGCCCAGGGAGGAGGAGACTTCTCCTTCAAACACTTAACACCACTGAAATTTTGTCAGCACAAGCCACCCAACACACCGTTTGTTGAGGAATCTAGGCACAGAAGCACAATAAAAATTACTCTTCATCAACCTGCAAATGATTTCTTACATTAGCAACTTGAATAGATGGTCTAAATTATGCTAATCTATTCAAATATCTCACATATTTCCATTTCCATCTCATTCTGTATGAACGCTCGCAAACAGTTCCATAAAGCGACTTTATTAGAAAGCAAAACCAGACAACAAAAACCTGCAACAGCACCAAGAAACTGTAATTGGAAATATAGTAAGCAGTGGTTCCACTAACTGAGCGCTATGAAGTTATCCAAACAAACAAATGAGCCCAATACATTTTCCAAACAAGGCCTGCCATCGGATTTATGGCACAGAAAATATAAGCAGACATAAATTGCAGAAAGGTTTTAAGGGAAAGGTATGAGACAGAGGCTTGGCATATATCTCAGCTATTTTGGCCACTACTAGGAAGTCTAAGGTCCTGCTATGCTGAGCGAATATTCCCTCTGCCAACACTAGCTTTTTCAGCGATTCTAAGGAGGATGGGAGTGAATCAAACTGGTCTGCAAAATAGCACAGGAGAACTTTGCCAAAAAAATGGGGGGGGGGGTGTTGCGCTTGCCATATTACAGTGGTACCTCGGGTTAAGAACGTAATTCGTTCTGGAGGTCCGTTCTCAACCTAAAACTGTTCTTAACCTGAGGTTCTACTTTAGCTAATGGGGCCTCCCGCTGCCGCTGCGCTGCCACCACGCAATTTCTGATCTCATCCTGAAGCAAAGTTCTTCACCCGAGGTGCTATTTCTGGGTTAGCAGAGCCTGTAACCTGAAGCGTCTGTAACCCGAGGTACCACTGTATATGTGGCCGAGTGGAACTTCAAAGTTAAAAAGCAACATGAAACACTGTGCAGCACAGGGCTCCTCTTGCAAAGGCTTACATTTGGGCACTGCTTCTTAGGCGGACTATGTGACTAAGCTTCAAAAGAAACATGAAAAGGAAACAACATCCACTTGTGCACGTCATACATTTAGTAAGGTGCACGTACCTCCCAGAAAACGTCTTTGAAGTTCTTCCACTTTCTGGGAAAGAAGCAGGAAAAAACAAGCACCTCTTTTACAGAAAGCGAAGACTTTCATGAAAGGGGAGGGGGCCCTTCACGCAGCACTAATCTTAGGGAGAAAGTGCACCAGGTGTGTATCTTTTAACGTGTCTCTGTGTGTAACAGTGATACAATTATACTGCGTCAAACCATTGATCCCTATAGTTCAGTACTGTCCACACTGCCCAGCAGTAACTGTTTTGGGTTAAAGACAGGGGTCTCTCCCAGTCTCACCTGGAGATGCCAGAGAATGCCCCTGGAACCTATCATATGCAAAGCAGTGTGGAGCCTGCGGTGGCACAGTGGTTAGTGATGGACCTGGGAGACTAGGGTTCGATTCCCCACTTAGCTGTGAAGCTCACAGGGTGGTCTTGGGCCTGTCACTGCCTCTCAGACTAACCTACCTCATAGGGTTGTTGTGGGGGGTTAAATGAGGAGTGGAAGAACTATGTCACCTTCAGCTCCATGGATAAATAAATAAATAAATAAATAAAACCGCTATGGCTCTTCCCCAAAAACACCTTACTGGTTTGACAGGGGCTAGAAACCAGTATTTTCTGCATGCAACTCGGACATAATAACTACTATACTATGGAATTCCAGTGCATGCTTAAAATGCATTTATATGTGTGTTTTGGTTTCTCATGGATTTTTCTGGTTGCAAATGCCAGCTCTCATATTTCTACTGTCTTGTCTATTCATTTTAGTATTTTTAAAAATGTTTTATTCTTTGATATCGTTGTACACTGTCTTGAACTGGCATCCCCAAACCCAGTCCTCCAGATGTTTTGGGACTACAACTCCCATCATCCCTGACCACTGGTCCTGTTAGCTAGGGATGATGGGAGTTGTAGTCCCAAAACATCTGGAGGGCTGGGTTTGCCTATGCCTGGTCTTGAGGTACCCACATAACAGTTGATATATATATATATATATATATATATATATATATATATAACAATTAAGCAAATGGTGGTGCAAAATGGCCTCACAGTTGCACTGATCATCTCAAAAGGGCAAAGAGATCACAGAAAGGAAAGCAACCCAGGAATGTCAATCCGCCTTTTGTTTCCTGCTCAACTGTTCAACTTGCTCATCGTATGCAAAATAATTGATGCTTTGGATTCGCTTTCAAGCAAGTAACTGAACTACAACTATAAGTAAGCTTTCCTAACCTCCACTGCAAATATTTTAATTGATCTAATAATTTATAGCTGCATCTTCTCCACATGTTCTCTGGAGCACTGGGGAATCATCAAATTTATCCCAGCTCCACTGTAATAACAGTTGGAAACAACTAAGTACACAGATGAATAAAGTATCCCTCATGAAGTTCAGATTTTATGGGATATGTTTTGATGGCCTGTTTTACTGCCCTTCTATATAAATTATATGAACAGAGTATTCCACCATAATAATGCACGCCCTGCTTTATAACTCTTTGTGTAGTATTCACTGAATCACCGAATGGTAGAGTTGGAAGGGTCATCTAATCCAACCCCCTGCAAAGCTGATTCAACCAAGTCTTACTCAGAGTAGACCCACTGTAATTAATAAATATGATGAAGCTAGGTCCATTCATTTCAGAGAGTCCATTATTATCACAATTTATTACCAGCCCTTCACACTAAGGTTCCAGGGCAGGTTACTAACAATTAAAACACAATATTAAAAACAGTTTACAGCTACTTACAATCATGGAAATAAGGTGGATCGTAAAAATATACTCCGAGCAAAATTTATTTAAATACTGCCCTGAGAGATCAACAACAATTTCTAAAAGAAAATAATCCCAAGGGATGATTATAAAAGAGCTGTTGAGATTTTTGTCATTTATTTCATGGAAAGTTAAGGACGGCGGTCAGAGGCAATTGAAAAACCTGTAGGTGTAACTAGAAAACCTGTTTGCCTACTTTCTATAGCCAGTGTTTAGGAGTCAAATATTTACTGCATGCAAAGATTAGCCAAAATCCTCAACAACTTCCGCAATATTTATTAGTCTTTTTAGCTGCGCTCCTTCTGGTCTGATCATGGCCAAAGGGCCACAACAGAATACTAAGGCAGCACAATCAGGGCGGCTTCTCTGTTGCTCCACTGTGCTTTAATGGCAGCAAGACTCATTCTGTCACAGTCCCTCTGAAACCCTGGACAGCCACTGCCAGTCAGTGCATGCTGGTTAAATAGACTAATAGTCGGACTCAATATAAGGCAGTTTCCCATGCTCCTAAAATTGGTGACATACCAAGGATCTGAGGATCATACCCTGATTTTCTTAGAAACTAATTTAGATTCAACATCTAAGGCCTCGTCAATAGTTGACTAAATAATGGTTTTGCTTTTTCTTTATTTTTTAACCTAGGTGAAAGGTAAAGGTAAAGGACCCCTGGATGGTTAAGTTCAGTCAAATTTAACTGGGGTGCGGAATTCATCTCCGCTTTCAGGCCGAGGAAGCAGGCGTTTGTCCATAGACAGCTTTTCCAGGTCATGTGGCCATAACTAACTTAGAAGACCTTATCAACACTTTTATTTTGCAGCACATTTTTCTCATAATAAATTATTTTTACATAGTAAATAATTACAGATAAAAAGTTAATACCTGGTTTATTCAAATTATGTGATCGTAATTAGCTGTCTCCATTTCAAAAAACTCCTGGTCCTATTCAAAATCTATATGCTTCATTTGTACATCTTCCCATTAGTACAGAAGTGAGGTAAATATCAGCATGGACATGATTGTACCTGTCCTTGGAGACTGGTTATGGTAGGTCCAAAAATATTTATTTTTATTTAATGTATTTATTATGTTTTTGTACAGCACATCCAAGCAAATTCTTTGGGTAGTTTACACAGACATTAAAAGAAAAATACAATTTACAATTAAAAACCCTAATCATGATGATAATGATGATGATGCAGAAACCCAATTAAAATTGGCATAAAGCATCCCACCTAAAATAGGTGAGTTTCTGGGAACAGAGGTGCGACCACCGAAAAGGTCATCTCCTTAGTAGCCACTCATCATACTTCACTAGGTGGGGGGGACCTGGAGGAGAGCCAAAGATCTCAGGGTCTGGGTCATTATATATGGGGAAAGCAATCCTTCAGGTAACCTGGCCCCATGCTGTTTAGATCTTCAAAAGGTCAAAACCTACATACTGAACTGGGCCCAGAAATGGACAGGAAACTAGTGCAGATTATGAGCCCCTGTTGTAATGTGATTAGATGTAAGCCTGCTTTGAAAACAGTTGATCCGAAAGGACTGGTAAATGATTATTTACCAGGCCTCACCAATTAAGCTGGCTACCTTGTTTGGGATCAACTGTTTTCAAAGCAGGCTTACATCTAATACATTGTAGTAATCCAACTGGGGGATTAACAGAGTACAGGTAACTGCCATGAGACTATCTGTACAGGTAGGGTCATAGCTGATGGATCAGGTGAAGCTGCTAAAAGGCACTGCTTGCTACTGAGCCTCAAGTGACAGTGCTGGATCTAAAAGCACCTGCAAATAACAAGCCTTCCCTTTAGGGCGAGTACAACTCTATCCAATGCAGATTAAACAAACCCCCAAATGGACAGAAGCACCATCCAATGACAGCAACTTTGTTTTGCCTGGAATGGGTCTGTTTATTCGCTTCAATAAGCTCCTTAGCAAACCCAAGAACTGGTTCAGAATGCCCACTGCCTCATCTGGGTTAGATGAAAACAAAATGTAAACCTGGATGCCATCTGTATGTTTAGGCCACTACATTTTGTCTTATATAGTCAGTTTTTAGTCCTCATGTATGAAGTGTGAATTATAAAAACATGACAAGAGTGTGCACCCTAACCCTGCTTATTTTGTAGCCCACAGCTGAATCGTCAGAAAATGCTATTTGCCATAATCTATCCAGCAGAAGGAAAGAGGGCATGTGAGCTATACTTTCTTTTTAAAATCCAATGAAACTTTTAGCCAAATTCACTAGGCCAATAGAATAACAGAACTGTAAAGTTTGAAGCGTAAACTAGCCCAATCCCTGCCATGAAGGACTTGGGCTCAAACCCACAACCCTGAAATTAAGAGTTTCATGCTCTATTGTGTGAGTGCAATATAAAATAACAGACATATCTTCATTTAACATTTTAATACATTTCAAAATTCAATTTAAACTTACAGGAAATCTTTAAGAAAATCTAACATGCTTTAGATGGCAACGATCAATGTATGATAACCGAGACTCAGTCATCTAGCAGCATCAACTCTCATAAAATTTTCCAAAGCATTTATCTATGCATTAAAAAAATACAAGAACAAAGTTACTTTTCCCAGTTTTCTCTTCACATGTTACACTGGCCTGAACATTAGGAAACTAATGGTTTTCTAATGCAGTTGGTAAAATATCATCTTAAAGTACAGAATTTTATTTGGAGGGGAAATCGCTTTAAAAACATACAGCACTTGAATAACAGGGCACTTTCCCGTAGTGACATAGAATATTAAAACACACAGCTTCTTATTCCCTTTCTTCCTCTAAGAATAATAATAATAGGCATGCCATCAAGCTAGCTCGTGTCTGGACATAGCTCCACTCACCTCAAAAGGGCTCTCAAAAGAAGCAGTGCAAAAAGCAATCCTTTGCTGCTGCAATAGTGACACTGCTACTCTACTGCAGCAGACATGCTGAAAAGGGTTCTAACTAAAATAAATGTATCTGGAAGTTACCAGTCTCCGAACCTCTCTGGGGCCCAAAGAGAAACTGTCCCCGTGTCCCTAGTAGCTGTTTGAATATTCCACAAATTAGAGCATCCCCAAACAGATGAGATCACATGGCACAAACTAGTCTCTGCTGGGAGACCAAAACAAGGAATTAGGATTAAATGTTCACAACCAACTCCCTAACATGTGTATGCCACAGATATAGAAACTAAGATATGGGCTTGTCTCCAACTATTACTCCCCAATCTGTTATGTTAAATGTATGATGAACCCAATTATTTTTCATTAATGTAGTCAGATTTTATGTATCTGTAGCATCACAAGCTTCTGCTCTATTATTTATTAGATTGGTACTGTGCAGCAAATACTTTCTACATTACTTTTGTCGAAGGACAATCATCATGTACAATGGTGGAGACCAAGATTTTATTTCTATATAGAAATAAATCAGCATCACTTGAGAAATTAGACAGGGTTATAATGCATCAGAGGCATCTGTCAATCGAATAACAATATGAAGGAAACAGACGTAAAACAAATCTGTACTGATCATATTTATGTATATTGGACAGTTTCATTTTTTAATTTGATAAGCAATGCTATTAAGGGCTTCTGAAATTTCAAATGGTTTAGAAATGTATTCAAAATATTCCCATACCTTCCAGTCATCAAAAATTAGCACAAAGCTAACATTTACCTGAAAACATGAGACAGAGTGAGACAGTCCTTTATGCAATTTTAAAAGAGCTATAATGCTTAAATGGAATTGCTTTTTTTCTCTGGGTCAGCAGAAGCATTGTCTGGAACACAAGGGGATCTTCACAAGATATATGGAAAGCAGCTGTGTGATGTTAGTCTTCTCTGGTGGTTTTAAAATGTAATAGGTTTCCCCCTGCTTGGAATGATCTTTTCAATTATGCCTTTTCTTCCACTTCTTTTTTTTATACTGGAAAGAAAGAAAGAAAGAAAGAAAGAAAGAAAGAAAGAAGAAAAAGAGTTACTACTATGCAACAACTTTTTCTACATGTGCAATTAATATCTCTATAAGCAAGCCCATAAATAAACAACTGAACCATTTTACCTTGAAGCAAATGGGAAGAAAATGTTGTCACCTCTAAAGCTGGTATTTGGTTTTCTTTGGGGGGGGGGATCTCCCTCTATGGATCTAGTTTACCTGTTTCTTCCATGCTCTTCCTCTTCGGTGTTCAGCCTCTTTCTGATTCGGGATATTCTTTTTCTGGAAAACTGTCATCACTAAGGTCACCATAGCTGTCACTGAACAGAAATGAATGAATGAATCTCAGAATCATAGTATTGTACACTAGGAAGGGCACCCAATGGTCATCTAGTCCAACCCCCTGCAATGTGGGAATCCTGCCTGTGGCTGTCCTGAGAATGAATAAGAATCGTATTTCTTCCCCTTCAACTATTAATCTCTATTAGTACAATAGCAATCAATATAAAGCATTTTCAAATCCCATTAGTTTCAGTGGAAGAATTAAACACATATTAAATGCTCTTCCTTATGGAAATCAGTAAACCTTAAAAACTGTTTAACTTTGGCTGCTCATTCCCTCAGGATGATTAACAAAGTAGTAATCTCAACATATGACAGCTTTCTTCCTGCTGATAGCATCTTAGCTGCGCTAAGCAGATGAGAAATCTATTTTGTGATGAGTCACCGGGTGATAAATACTTGACATGGTTCAGCAATTGTGTATCAGTCACAATCAACATGCAACACCCATAAACAGTGTGGTCATCTGAATCCACCCTTATTTTAGCCAGGAGTTCCAAATTAGGAAAATGATTACATATTTAATATTTTTTTGAAGGGCAGTAGTCTCTTTCAGGTTTCATATGCTACATAGTTTGTAAAACATCCTTGAATGTCACTAGATGCAAACATTTGTTTAAGGAAAATCTGTTATTATTCAAGCCATATTTCTAACTTTCAAAACTGAGTCAATCTTCTTATGTCAGTAGAATGGCAGAGTAAAATATTATGGTCCCTCTTATAAACTATTGTATTTCATGGGTGCTACTTGCAACCCTTGTTTGGTTTAAGCAGCTGTTCTGGTAAGCATTAACAGCCTAAGTACAGCATTTGGTATTGATTTCCATCTGATGGCAGAGTTGCAACTGCCCATGACTGCTGGTGATGCTTTGGGGGTGCATTCAGAAACCATTACTCAACTGTCTTCTGGTTGTATACGGGTGACTGAATGAATCCATTGACTCTCCATTTCTGAACAAGAACTTCTATTGCTTTGATACATAGGGATCACCAAGATTTCTGTAACCGCGAGGAAGTGAATTGTTCAACAAGCTCTTATTTGGGCTGGATTCTCCAGCCCTGTGTTGTTGGGCACCCAGGCACCCCATGGTTATCAGCTCCCTCCACACCTGATTACAAAACAACAACAAACCTTCTCTGTGCTCTGACCGCTTTCTAAGTGAAGAAAAGTGATTGAGGAGACCATGGGGGGGGGGACACTCCTACCATTCCACCCAGTCTCAGTAACATCTCTATCATCCCAACCCATCCTCAGCAATGTCAAGGATAAGGTAAAGGTAAAGGGACCCCTGACCATTAGGTCCGACTCTGGGGTTGCGGCGCTCATCTCGCTTTACTGGCCAAGGGAGCCGGCATACAGCTTCTGGGTCATGTGGCCAGCATGACTAAGCTGCTTCAGGGGAAACAGAGCAGCGCACGGAAACGGCATTTACCTTCCCGTCAGAGCGGTACCTATTTATCTACTTGCACTTTGATGCGCTTTTGAACTGCTAGGTTGGCAGGAGCAGGGACGGAGCAACAGGAGCTCACCCCCTCGTGGGGATTCGAACCGCCAATCTTCTGATCAGCAAGTCCTAGGCTCTGTGGTTTAACCCACAGCGCCACCCACATCCCATGTCAAGGATAGGAGAAGGTTTAAGTTTCAGCTGAAAGGTGTCCTTGAAAGCAGCAGTTTGCTTTTATGATAGTCAAGACAAGAATAGCAGCCATGCAGTTCTTTTGGGAGGTTGGGGGACACAGCACTGTTCTCAAGGATTCAGTTGAGATTCAGCTTGCCCCTGACCCTGGGAAGCAGAGTGCCTGCTGATGGGGACTCCATTTGAGAGGAGCGATTGGTACTAGCTTCTGTTGTAATGAGGGGTGTTTTGCTAGTCACTGATTTTAAAGCACTAGTAACAACATGGTCAGAGACATACCGGTAGATCTTGTACTTACTGCTGCTGTACTTACTTTCTTCTGAATGTACCCAAGGAAGCATGGAATAGAACATGGTATTATGAAACAGTTTTGCATATTGCACAAAAAATTAAAAAGATATTAAAATACGATGACCTGGTTCACACAACATACCAAGTTAAGCTACGGTTGCACACCCTTTCCAAACCTGGGAGAAAACAAACCATGAGAAGAACAAAACATTTGGTCTTGGCTTCTTCTTGCAGTGTGCCCAGAGAGAAACAAGCCACAAGAACTGTTCTGTACATAACACTGAGCCAATACTTTGGTTTGTCTCTTCCTGCTTTGGAAAGGGAGGAGAAGGGGGTGGGGCACGTGAAAAAAGCATGTCGAGGTATTTTAGGCTGCAATCCTAAACACACTTACTTAGAAGTTAATAGCACGGTTAATATGTAATTTCAAGAATTAATTCAAGAACATATATTTTATCTCTTATTATACAAAAGCCATTTCTCTTCTTTCATATCTCGGTACAGATATAACATTATCAGCTGAAAGCAACCAATTTCTGTATGAAAATGAAAAGCATGGCATTTTGGAAGTCTGTTACAATTTACAATCGCTGTTACAAATTAATAATACAAAACACAGTATTGTTTAGAGATGGCTCTAGACTGAACATGATTATAAAAAGGGACCCCTGACCATTAGGTCCAGTCGTGACTCTGGGGTCTTGCTTTATTGGCCAAGGGAGCCGGCGTACAGCTTCTGGGTCATGTGGCCAGCATGACTAAGCCGCTTCTGGAGAACCAGAGCAGCGCACGGAAATGTTGTTAACCTTCCCGCCACAGCGGTACCTATTTATCTACTTGCACTTTGACATGCTTTCGAACTGCTAGGTTGGCAGGAGCAGGGACTGAGAAACGGGAGCTCACCCCGTCACGGGGATTTGAAATGCTGACCTTCTGATCAGCAAGTCCTAGGCTCTGTGGTTAACCCACAGCGCCACCCGTGTCCCGAACATGATTATAAGTTGTTACAAATTGTTATTATTTCAGTTAAGGGTGTAAATTATAAATAATCCTAATAATCTAAGGATCTTGTATGAAAAGATGGTACTTGCTCTCATATGGGGTGGGGGTATTGCCAATCTTCTCCTCCTACTGTCTGCAGCCCCAAACCCTCACTCCAGGGCACAGCTATCCAAACTGTGTGCCGCGATACATTAGTGTGTCGGCTGCAGTCTGTGGGTGTGTTGTGTGAACACACATTGTGCTCCTCCCGGGGCTGGAAAGGGGTTAGTTTAACCTCTGGTTTGCTAGTAAAACTGAATTACTGTGTCGCAAAATGATGCATGTTTAAAAAGTGTGTGACCAACAGGAAATGTTTGGAAAGGTCTGCTCTAGAGGGTCCCTCTTCCTCTGTATTTGGTCAGTGACACCCCCTCTCCCAATCTCCAGGGAAGTATATTTTACTTATTCAGTGAGACCTTTGAATCCAAGTAATTGTTTCCTGTGAAACATCCATAAATAAAAAAGGGAAGTTAGAAATCCAGAAATCTTTTATGATAATCAGCTTTTGTTCCCTGCAGACAATCATGACTTAATTAATTGCCTGGGATTTAGGGGTGGGTTTCTCAACCTCTACGTTTATTTGGCTCCCATAGAAAAAGCAATATATCAACTCATCAAATGACCTTTTAAAACTAATCATTATTCAGAATTTTTCTAGTACACATAATAACTAATAATAAACACTTCAAAAGTAACTTTGCTTTTCTGGAATTGCACATCAATCATGAAGGCTTTTTATGAAGCAGCAATCACACAAAACAAAAAAACCAAAGTTACCTAGGAGACAATTTACATCCACGTTGCAAGTAGGCACTGAGAGACCCTGTTGCAGCAAGCAAAAGGCCAAGGTAGGCAGGCGATGGCTTCATAGGCCTTGAGGAAAACTCTGGGTGGAACTGGACACCAATAAAATATGGGTGATCTACAGATAAATCACAGAGAAAAGTAAAAAAAAAAAAAAAAAAGTTAAAAGGCAAAAATATAACACTAATAATATTACAAACTATTTAAATTACAATGACTTATATTACAGTGGTACCTTGGGTTACATACGCTTAAGGTTACATACGCTTCAGGTTACAGACACCGCTAACCCAGCAATAGTGCTTCAGGTTAAGAAATTTGCTTCAGGATGAGAACAGGAATCATGCTCCGGCGGCATGACAGCAGCAGGAGGCCCCATTAGCTAAAGTGGTGCTTCAGGTTAAGAACAATTTCAGGTTAAGTACGGACCTCCGGAACGAATTAAGTACTTAACCTGAGGTACCACTGTAGTTAGCATTTAAAATATAAATGCTAATGTCTGTAAATTTTAGATAGCTTTACGGTTCAAAGAACATCATAGAAATTATCTTGTTATAAATCTTATTGCAACATAGGTTAGTATAAGTGGGATCTGCAACAAAATGTTGCAGTGTGGTCTATGTTTCTGTTCAGCCAGCCACACCCTCCCACCACCATATTCCATTTAATTCTTCCTTCCACCCAATTATCTTCCTCCTTTGAAATGCTTTCCACTTAGCCTATCAGTGCTAAGAGGTAACAATAGCGGAAGTGAACCTTCCTTGCAATTAGCTACTTTCTGCTTTCAACACAGGCCTCTCAGTTGAAAAACACTTGCCATAGGGGAAAGATGCTTCAGTCGGTAGAATAAACACTCCACCCCACCCCACAAGCATATCAAAACTTGCATACTTTGCCTATTAGTGGCAAGGCAACTGTATTTCTTTGCTTAGCTAATTTGTTTTTTGCTACGAATGAAAAGTCTTGCCTTGCCACCCAAAACAGATTCTGGAAAACCATTAAGGATTGCATTGCTTGCTTTAAGGAAAATTTAATGAAGATGATGTATATAGATGGTATTTGATGCCAACTAAACTTGCTAAAATGTATAGAACTCAAGATAAAGCATGTTGGAAATGCAAGTAGAAGGAAGGGAATTTCTTCCATATGTGGTGGATGTGTAGTAAAGCCTACTGGGATATGATATACAATGAATTGAAAAAGATCTTTAAATATACTTTTATTAAAAAACCGGAGGCTTTTCTATTGTGGGAGAAGAAATTCAAAAAGTAGACTTAAATATGTTTATGTATGCTACCACGGCTGCAAGGACACTTTTAGCCCAGAAATGGAAGCAGCAGGAACTTCCAACTTTGGAACAATGGCAGATAAAAATGATTGAACACGCAGAACTGGCAAAACTGACAGGGAGAATCTGAAACCAGCATGACGAACTGTTTGAAAAGGACTGGAGTAAATTTATTCAATATATGAAAGAACATTGAAAAAATTGGAGAACATTTGCAGGTTTGATTTAAAATATTTTGTAATGATAATTTTTGAAACTGATTTACAAATACTAAAGAATTTTTTTAAAAGTATAGTAAGAAGGTAAATAGGGTGATATAGAAATGCGAAGAGGATTGTGATTGCTTAAGAAAGTCAGGGAGTGGGGGGGGGGAGTCGATGCTCGGTATGAGCAAAGTTGTATGTGATGATATGATTTGATATGAATGTGACAAAGGAAAAATATATATATAGCATTGCTTATGTTATTTCTTTCATAGCAGCAGTGTTTAACAACACTGTCATATTTTATCAAGATCTGTGCAGAACTATTTTCAGTATGTAAATCAGAAGCAATATAGCAGAAATAAAACAAATGCACTTAGACAGTTTTTTCTTATAGGTTTTGAAATACCTCCAAAAGGACAACCTATGTTTTGTGCCATATCAGCATGAGACTATAGAAATACTTCTTTCTGTCACATCCTGGAGCCAAATTTAATCATTATGGGCTTCAGGCTTTCATAATCAGGTAAATTTACATTTTTGTTTTTACAGACAGCTAGTATCTCTGCAATAATTCAGTTTTTAATATCAGTATCATACATTTGTGACAAAGGATATGTATATTCCTAAATGTGAAGTATTGACAAATGTCAGTGCCTGGAATTCAAGACTTTTACACTGTCTGCTTTAAAACAGAGATTTCAAACTTTGTGGTTAGCAGTAAATAAAAATATGTTGTAAACATACCTTATTGGGCAGCAACACCTTTAAAGTGTAAATAGCCATGACTAAATGGCTGTAAGTCAATCTATATGCATACTGGTGATTAGTCACTTTGGAGTTTTGTTTGAAAAAACGAATATATAGACATTTCAAATAAATAAGCAGGACATTTTGTGAGTGGTCTATCCTTAAGAACATTTTCCTTAAGAACAATTTAGACTTGAAACATCTGCAAGAACAGTTAAAGCTGAGTATTTGTGTAAAGCTGAATGATTGTGTCTCCACAAAATGTGCCACAAGAAAGCAATCAGCCATTTTTTGGGTGTCTGCTGATGTGTCTGGGGTATATAAAACCACCAAGGCAAGGCATCTTCTGTACCTCTTTCCAGCCCATTTTCCCTTAGAGCAAAACAGACTGTGGAACATATCCTCCAAAATTAGGCTGCCTGGCTGTTTTTTGTTGCTGTTTTTTTAACTAAGAAGCATATTTTCTTTCTACAGGTTCATGTAGCCTACCATTTGACCAGCTGCTACTTGAAAATAGAGTCGTTATAGACCAAAACAGGGCAATTCCCTCTTCACAAATGTGGCTTCCTGAAATAACTGAAATCTGCTTTCCTTCTTTTTAACAGAAGACCGAATGAGAACTGCAGATAAAAGTCCTCTCCAGTGTGTATCTGTCAGGTGTGGTTCTGTACAGTGAACCCTCCATTTCCTATATATGAGAATGCTGCAGCTAAAAACCAAAGCCCTTACCATTCAACTCAATGACCTCCATCCTTTTCCCTTCAGTATCATGGCCAACAAATCTCAAACCTTTATCTTCAAAGAAGTGAGTCAACTCAGGGTTCACCTTTGAAAGAGCAAAGCAAAAGAGAGAAGATAAACATACTTTTAAGATGAAAACTGCAATACCTGTGGAGATGTGCATCCACATATGAATCAGTATTGGCAATGCATATAGATGGTTATTGCGCTACAATAATCTCTCTCTCTTGCTGAAACATACCTTTTTAGATGGTTCTAATGAAAGAAAGCTTTCAGGACTAACAATAACATGATAAGACTGTTTCAGACATAATGTCCAAACCATGGTTTGGTATTTGTGAGTGCCACACACTCGCACTCCTCCTTCTTCCCCTTGTGTATAGATACCCCTTTGCTCAAACATGGTTTGGCCTGACTTCCACATCAGGAAAGCTATGGCTGAAAGCTGTCTCCAAACCACCATTTGAAACCAGGTTTGAAATGGTGAAACTTCATATAGGGTTTCCTGAATAGCATTTGCTCAATTTGGATATCCAGCTGAACAGGAATGGAAGAAATCCTGAAAGGCACTAATGATTACCAAATCCTGGTTCAATCACAGCACCTTGAACTGAGACAATGGATTTCAAAACAGCAATCAGCATATGTTGCAATTTGCAGGTATTACAAAATATGGGAATCAGTTTTAAAGGAAATACTCATTTATCATTTCTGGAAGAGAGAAAAAACACTCAATGTTAAGAAGTATAATGGATAGAAAGAAAGAAAGCTGTCTTTGCCTGTATACTATTGTGTAGCCTAGTAACAAAACAAACAGAATCAGAAAAAAATGTATTTAAGTCCTTTGTTGCCAGAGTGCAGTATTCTGCTATTGTTCTATGCGTCCTCTCAGAAGCAGCTTGACTCAGAGGCTTACTTTTGTCTGCAAACGTTAGCTAGTCTGGAAAAGATCTAGCAAGCTGAGTCAAAGTACACTTGAAAATTTCCCACCTAACCCTATTAAAAGAGACAAGGCAGTGTCCACCCCCTCTGCCATCCTTCTCCAAACTGGTGCCCTCCTTTTGGACTACAACTTCCATCAGATTCAGACAGCATGGCTAACAGTCAGGAATGATGGTGGTTACAGTTCAATACCTCTGGTGGGCACCAGATCAGTGGCAGCTACTCTCCATATAATAGCATGGGACCTCCTGAAACCGTGTTGCTTAATCTTCCTCAGTTCCTCATCTAGTCGAAGCAATGCTGTTGATTGGTTATGGAGAGTCCTGAGTTTTCATGTGTCCTTTTGAAGAGGCACTTTATAAAATGAATCTCTGAACTGAGTGTCCGGAATCTCCTGATTCCTACCTGAGTCTCCCCTCAGACCTCCATGATTCCCTTTCTCCGAGTTTCCTTTGTGCATTTTCATTAGTTTTGCTGGTAGACATTCTGCTTAAGTTTTTAGAGTGCCTATCTGGGTGCCTATTCTCAAACCTTCAAACCCCTAATTTCAGGTGGCTCTGAGTATCAATACTGATGTGATAAACTCCGGGCCTGAATGACCCTGGACTCTTTTCTGCAACTCTGTTTCCAGTGGACTCTGCTTCATAAAGCCTCACTTTGGCTGACAAGTGTTTCTTTAGCTTCTTTTGGGATTGTCCCCCTATGTGAAGGATTTTATCTCCTCCTCCATATTTAAGGAACAGCACATAGAAGGAAACACCACCTTGCACTGAGTTTATTTGCAGTAAGGTTTGGGACTTTCCTTGTTGAATGGGTATGTGGTGCCATACCTCAAGCAGTAGTCCATAAGACTTTATGGTTTAGACTTATTATGCAGATTCTATGAAGACTTTCCATTCCAGAGAAGGGAAATGCTGATAAAATACACTTCCGCCACACCCCTTTAAAGCCTACATTTGTCTGTAGTTTTATACAGTCTTAGGTAATAGTTCTCATGGCCTTACTATGAAAACCTGATGGAATGAACACGTGGCATTGCCTTGACTCCAAATTGAGCACGGCTGATAGACAGCAAAAATTACATTAGCAGTTACTTGCCTCATAGCGATGCCTGTGTCGTTCTTCCACAAAAACTTCATCACCATAAAGTTTCCCTACAAATACATTTAAAGGGTTACTTCTGCAGTACTGTTACAAGTAAAAATAACGTTTTTGTGTATAATCTAATATTTTTCCAATCAATTATGTATAAAAGAACACAGATATTCAAATAGATGCAGTCTAGCCATGTAATGTGGCAGGACAATGCTGAACATATCTAAAAGATAAGCAAGGAAGATCATTAGAATTTTAAAACAAACTTTAGGGCTCCCTATCTTCCCGGACTACATGCGGACCTTGCCAGAGGCAACTAGACACTTCCTGCATCTTATAACATACACAACAAACAAGGACAAAAAGCAGATTGGGGTTATATGTAGAGTTTAAGAAATTGGAGGAGAAGGACTGGAATAAAAGAGAAATACTTCAAAAACACATCTTTTTGAAGATAGTGAAGCATGTATCTAAAAGACATGTCAGATGGGGATTAGAAGTGCAGCTTCAAGAGACCTCATGTCAAATTCTATGTCATGTCCATTCTTCTGCAGCTCATAATATTTTCTGTACTTCCCTTTTTGTGGCAAAGCCTAAACTGGAATATAGTTTCTTTGCAGCTATCTTGGATGCTTGTGAAATTCAGCAGAAAGAATGGCCAGGAACATAGGAAGCTGCCTTATACAGAGTCAGACCATTGGTGCATCTAGCTCAGCACCGTCAACAGTGACTAGCAGTGACTCCCCAGAACCTGGGACCTTCAGCGAATAAGGAAGATGCTCTGACACTAAGCTTGCCCATCCATCTTAAAGTATTACACACTAACTACTACTATTTAAAAAAGTGAAATGGCATGAGAGTTCAGGGGTCAACCTCACTTTCCAGAAGTTCACAGATCCAGGGTCCCTGGGACAGAGGGAGATAGGATGACATGAGGGGCCACGAGAAAGGAAAGTCATAAGGAAGTCACAAACCCTCCCATGGAGATGGCCAGCCAGTCTCGGAGAAAGTGAATGAGGCACTCTTACTGCAGTGACCCAAAACTATTCCTTTGCCTTGAAGCAAAGCTTCCTTACAATAATAAGATCATGAATAAAGGAGCTAGAAAACTGATATATCTAAAACAAGCATATGCCCCAGGTCAACAAAAGCAGGGGGGTATTTCACTGACTCTACAACCACCAATCTAAACAAATGATCACACAGTCATGAAATTTCTGTCTTTTTCCCCAAGTTAGTTTCCCCCCCAATCCAGTTATTTACAAACAGGAAAGCAATCTGGAGCTTCCATCTCTCACAGCAACTATAAGTGCCTCTTCCGGGAGGGCTGAGAGATTACACTCCTCACGTTATGAGTTAAATGGCTCCTTAACAATGTCTTCCTAATTAATACCAGTGTTTTAATTATAAATCCAAAGTATTATGATTATGCTTATTGCACTACTTGTCAAAAACAATACTGCCTAAAGGCGAAATTATACAGCTTACATGAAAATGAATAGCTTAATAGGTTTGTTATTTGACAAGTTCTTATCTTCAGTGGCATGTGTGTTACGGTGTGTTATTTTAGCAGGCGAAACTTAATTTTTGCTAATTTATTCAATGAGGGGTCCTAAAATATGTTTTTGGGTGTGAGAAATTCAAATCTGCTATTAATTTTGTGATTGGATAACGTTTAGCTTGGTAAATCTATGGTTGATGAAGGAGCACATGAACTGCTCCCATAAAAGCAAAGAATTTTAATTTTACCACCTGAAAGTGTCAGGTAATGCATAATAATAATAATAATAATAATAATAATAATAATATAACTTCAAGTGCTTGGCAATCATTTTAAATGATGTGCATGCAATTTTACACACATTAAACTTATCTAAATATATAAATGTAATCAAAATACACTCTGAATGCCTAAGTCATGTTACAACTTTTTAGCACCCCTCATTTTCTGGAATTTGATTGTTGAAGAATGCAACACAGCCTGTGTTTGATATTTACTGAACCACAATTCTGACGGAGTTTTTTAAAATCCAGTTTTCATGTGAATGTACTCTTTTTCAACCTGGGATGGAAAAGTTAGAACAAATATGCAACAATAATAAAGGATAGATTGTAGGCAGGCTGTGCTTGGCTAGTGCACAACTTAGAATGTGAAGTACAGGTTTCCAGCCATGCCCACAATTCAATGGCGGTTGTTCTCCGTAGCCCTTCCAGGGGCTTCAAAGAAGTTCAGGCAGGGGAAAGGGATGCCATGAGGCATAAATCCTCCTGGTGCTTTCCAGTGGGGTCTGGGAAGTCCACTGCATCCCACAGTGTCGTGCAACCCTGTGTCTGCCAACTTGGAAGGCAGAACGGGAGCGATCTGGGAGTGTGCCCCCATCATAGACTAGCCTCTGTTACTTTGAGGAAGGTTCCTCCTTAATCTGGATAATTGGCGTTAATCAAGAGGCACTCCCGAAGCTTCATATGCAAATGGGCTGCAATCAATCAACTACCGAAAGAACCGGGACTGGTTTTCTGAAGGTATTTGAATTATTTTCTGAAATTTGAGGATCCCTACTACAGCCGGGAAAGAAAAGGGGGAAGACGAGGTGCTTTGTGCTTTCTTGTGGTATCAAGGGGGCTTTTGATTTATGCTTTACAAGGGAAGCACACTTTTCATAAATCTGAACAGGTCAACAAATTTTAGTTGGTCTTATTAAACCATAAAGACTGTGCCGTATATTAAAAAGCAGGACTTCTGAAGAAAAGGGAATATGACTACTTATTACTTTTTTGGACGATACACATTAGGCCCCTTATTTTTCCATGATCATAACTAAATATTAAGAAAAGGTACTGAATCAAACCATTATTACACTTAAGGCCCGCAAACATTATATCAATATGTATTATTTTCACATACAGATATGGGTTTTTTAAAAATATATATATATCACAGAAGCAAATACATTTGCCAAAGAACTTAAGACTTACTTAAGATAGAGTCCTTTGTATTAAAGATAGTTTTCCTTTCCCCTAGTCTCATTGTTCCTCCCATGTCTCCAGGATTGTGTTCAGGCATGTCAATGACCTTAACGAAGAAAAATATTTACTTTGGTTTACATTATTTCTATGCTATACAAAGCACTCGGGTCACCACCTTGCATGCCCATAAATCTTCCCATGTTTCTAGTACAGCAACATTGTATACAATAAAAATAGGTTCAACCCACAGATGATACTACCACTGAAACTGAGATGTTGAGGGTCAGGGAAGAGTTTCAACATTAGCTCTGTTCTTTATATTAAGCTACTGACAGTATACTGGGTGTGCTTTGCTCTAATGAAGGTGTAGCGCCCAGTGTATTTACTATGTGGATCTTCTGCGTTTTAGAAATCCTTTCCCAGAAAAAAATGGGCCTGACCCAGTTAAACTTAAGCAGAAAAGGGAGAATCAAACTTACAAAAAGAAAAACAAAGGCCTCAACACTGTGTTAGGTGAGTTGACCAAGTGATTTCAAATAATATTTACATTGATTTAACTTTAAATTAACATTTAAGCATTTTGCTAAGACTGAAGCTTAGAATGCAAGAGGCTAAAAGATTTTTGCTCAATTGAGATTTTAGTTTATCATCATATGGCAATTTTACTCTTCCACTTCCCATGTACACACAAAGGGTATATATGAACTAATGAAATTTCTGTCAAATATGGTTGAGGATCAATGCTACACAAAGAACGCACCATTCACTCTTATGAAAACAATATTAGATGTTTCATAACAGCAAGCAGCTGATACAACACTGAAGACATACAGGTGAAACTCAAAAAATTATAATATCGTGGAAAAGTTCATTTATTTCAGTAATTCAACTTAAAAGGTGAAACTAATATATGAGATAGACTCATGACATGCAAAGCGAGATATGTCAAGCCTTTATTTGTTATAATTGTGATGATCATGGCGTACAGCTGATGAAAATCCTAAATTAACAAGCTCAGAAAATGAGAATATTGTGAAAAGGTGCAGTAGCTATTCAATCCATAACACATGCAATGGGTCCCTGAGCCTTTAAATGGTCTCTCAGTCTGGTTCAGTAGGAAGCACAATCATGGGGAAGACTGCTGACCTGACAGTTGTGCAGAAAGCCATCACTGAGACCCTCCATAAGGAGGAAAAGCCTCAAAAGGGAATTGCAGAAGAAGCTGGATGTTCTCAAAGTGCTATATCGAAGCACATTAATGGAAAGTTATACAGAAGGGGAAAGTGTGGAAGAAAAAGGTGCACAAGCAGCAGGGATGACCGCAGCCTGGAGAGGATTGTCAGGAAAAGACCATTCAAATGTGTTGGGGACTTTCACAAGGAGTGGACTGAGGCTGGAGTTAGTGCATCAAGAGCCACTACACATCTCATATATTAGTTTCACCTTTTAAGTTGAATTACTGAACTAAATGAACTTTTCCACGATATTCTAATTTTTCAAGTTTCACCTGTAATCTGATGATTAGAAGAAAAATCTACTTTTTTTTCTTTGCTTGGAAGCTCAAAGCATCTGTAGCAAATATCCTCCCTCCACCAAATGTAGTCCTGTCCTTCAGTGGCCCATCAGCATTACAAGGATAGCTTAAAAACTTTAAAAACATAGACAACTCTAAAACAACGCTAGAAGAAGATAAAACTCACATGAATAAAAACTCGCAACAGCTTAAAAGAGTGAAAAGTTAGCCTAGTGGAAAAAACCCACTTAGCACCAAAATGGTAACAAACCCTTCGCTAATGCTAACCTATACAGAAATGATTGGACCACAATATTCTACATGGGGCTGCCCTGGAAGACGACCCAGAAACTTCAATTTGCCAGATTACTTGAGATTCCATTTAGAACTCCTATCACTATTTTTAAAAGAATTGCACTGGATCCCAGTTTATTTCCAGGCCCAATTCACTGTGCTCACACTAAAGCCCTAAACAACTCTGGTCACAAATATCTGAAATATCTCCAGGTGTACAGGACTCTCTTGCTAGATCCACTGTCCTCAGAGGTTTGGGAGGTGGACGTGTGGGAAAGGGCATTTTCTGTGTCAAATTCCAGCGCCATCCTGTTAGGCTGCAGTAGATTGCAATGGATTGCTCTGAAGCATGATGGCGGGGGGGGGGATCAGCCCCAACCGCCCCGCCCCTCCCGGTCCTGTATTTTGCCAGAACAAAGGTGGCAACCCTAGTCAAAGGGAGTTCTTTCTTGCAGAAATATAATTAGGAAACAAAGACATGGGAAAGAAGTACAAACAAACTTAAACTATTAATTATTATTGTTAATAGCAACAAACAACACAAACATTTCACAATCAGGTTGACACTCCTGCCTCAGATGACTATAAGAATGCCAGTCTCAAACTGTGTCTTTTAAAGCTGCCTTGACAATTTCAGGGGGTTTTAGGTTTGCGGAGCAAGGTAAGTAAGATCTGAATTTCATGTGATAATCTATGCTTGTTTTAAATAATTGCCCTGGAAGCTGTAGTTTACTCAGTCTTGGGCTACTACCCTGCATGACACCGAGTTGCAACTTCTTATCCATTTTAAAACTCATCTGGTCAGTCTGAAAAACAAGCCCCATTTTCAGCCTGCAGCACAAATTAATTTAGAACTGGCACTTGCAACTAGTTCTGAAATCATTTGATATCCATATTTAAATTGCTTTACTATTGGCAGTATAGTATCACTTATTATTTAGAGATGCCATTGCTAACAAAACAGCAAGTATTGTCATGCAATTCTACTATATAGTATTGCATTGTGGGAATGCCATATGAAAAGCTGTGTAATTTTTTTTCAACCTGTAGCAACCCCCCCTATAAAGGGGTGTGTGTGCGTGTGCAATATTCACCCCCCCAGGCCCCTTCTGAGGGGCATGAATTGAAAAACCACGAAGTAGGTATGCCCTAGCACTAATCCTCCACAGAGTTCAGTTGCTTAAATGCAACGGCTCAAATCCTATTATAATCATGCTACAAGAATGTTATTGTTAGAATTAACAATGTGAGACAGTGGCTATGGAAGCGCCTTTCTTAAACCGTTCAATAGAATTAGGATTGCACATCCCCACCAACAATGAATAGCCCATCTGTAGCTGATCATTGCAATTCCCTTGCTGGATCAGGGAACTGAACTTTGCAAAAGATGAAGTTCCAAGTTAGTATTCCTAAAACGCACTTAATTGGAAGTAATTTGAAATGGGCAGGGTGTGCTTCCAAGGAAATGAACCTAGAAATTGTAGAGTGAGTGGGTATCACCAGGTGGGGTTTTTTTGCCTCCACAAAGTGGCAGACAGAAAGCCGGGATATCAAGAAATTCAGTTTTTTCAACTTTTATTTCTTCATGCCATATACCATTTTATCTGCTGCTCGCCTGTCTTCTGTGTTGATCACCTGCTTCCCAATCTTTCTAATACTGTTCTAGATAAAAACTATGTTCAAAATGTTGCTTGTCCTTGCATTCATCCTGAGTATGTAACATGTAAATTCAAATACATTACTCTATTGCTTTTGCTTCATACTGGTGCAGCTGTAGGTAGTCTTCATCATAAACACTGAAGAACCAGGTATTTTAATGCCAACAGCATTGCAGACGTGTCTGTGGACGGGATATATTGATTGAAAATGTCTAGTAAACCAGATTGGTAGTAGGGTTCCTACTGAGGATATTTGGTGAGCCAACATGACAGACATGTGGGATTGAAGAATGGAGTAATCATTCTGTGATATTATGACCGTGGACAAAGCTGTATTGTAACTTTTGAATAAATGTGTAAAAAAACCACCCATATATTTTCTGCTGCAATAAATCTGTTCAGGTAGTCAGTAGGTTGCATACAAATTGCAAACAGAAATGTGGGGGGCCATCAATGGACATGCAATTTGATCAGGATAAGGTAACAGGTTTAAATATATGAATTTGCCCTGTAGCTGCAATTGTGGAAGACTGAAAAACAGAAGCTGCAACATGTACAGAAAACTGTTGCAGATAACAGTTTTAAACAAAGTTATTTGCACTGTTTTTTAAATAATCCTGATTGACTGTTATGACTGCTTTTGTTATCTTTTGATTTTGTTTTTATTTGTAAGTCACTTTGTTTAGTTTTTCATAGAAGAGTGAAATATAAATAATAATCAAGTGATTTGCATATTTCTATCATCTTTTGTGGTGATTTTTTGTTAGCTTATTCTAGTTTTGTGTTCTTTTCTTTATTTCTAATTTGAGCACATTGGAACATTACCTTTTCAGGAGTTCTATAAAATGGCCAAGACATCTACTGAAGAATTGAGAAAGGTTTTTGCCAAGTATGCTTCAAAAGGGGGGGATCCTAATCAACTATCCCAATGTGAACTGAAAGAATTAATTGAGAAGGAATTTCCAAATGTACCAAAGGCAAGTCCATAATTGTTTCATTGAGACAGCATAAGAAAGTGTGTGGAAATGTCCAAAAGCAATTACAGAAATATTTGCCAAATATTTAACTGGGGGTGAAGAGAGCAAGACTGCAGAAAGCGCAGAATTTAAAAGAATGAAGCCCCAAGCATTTCCATTTTTCCTAATGAGGCATGTGCTCATAGTCCCATAATGTACTGTACATTGTTTTATTTAATGTATATATATTTACTCCACAATGCCTGAGATAGATTGCTGGAGGTTCATTGGCACATAAGTTATACTCAGACTAGACCCACTGAAATTGATGACGTTAGTCATGCTCATTGCTATCAATGGGTCTACTCTGAGCAGGACTAACACTGTAAGCAACCCATCACAGAAACAGAGACACAATAAATGCTGGGCTGAAGTTTAGATGAGCAGCATGTCAGTAGGTGTCCTCCACGGCAGGAGCAAAACTGACCATTGCGTTTAAGAAATTTGCTTGTAATTGTAGCACCAGTGCTATAATTATCAGTTTTAGTATCTTATTTATAGTAAAATATTTAACAACTGGCATTCCAGTCCTTAAAGCACTTAGTTCTTACTAAGTGCTCAAATTATTTAACGACTGGCTGTATCTTAAAAGGTATATTCAGAATAGAGCCACTTGGCTGCTAACTTATGTCCATCGATTTTAGCAGATCTACTCTGAGTATGACTTAGTCTAAGTGTGTGTGTGTAGGATTACAATCTATATAGACCCTCATTGTTAAACAACTGGGGAAGCCAAATATCAAATGGTAACCTAAGAAACTTTAAAAATGAACCACACAGTGACTTGAGTAAGTATAAGCCAGGGACTGCTTCACAGAGACAGCAAATCTCAAAGTAGAGAAAATAGCAATATTATTGTCACTAAGGTGACATCCACTGATTTGACCTTCTTGTTTTGTATTAAAATCACAGGCTTCTACTATTGATGCCGTATTCAAAGAGATGGACAAAAATAATGATGGAGAAGTCAGTTTTGAAGAATTTGAGGCTGTGATGGCCAAACTAATGGGGTGAAGCCAATAGTACGCCCTACAAGAATATACAAGAGCACTACAATTTCTAGAAAGAAAGCAAAACAAAATCATAAAGGACGAAACCCTAAAGTAACAGACTGGTTTCTTTCTGAGGCATGAGAACAAGATTATGACAATAAAAACATCTCAAGAAATGTGAACTGCTTTATTCTCTAAGCTATCATTACATTATGGGTACAGTCGTCACAGGATATTTCTTTCAGTAAGGTTGTTAAACTGAGTGGTAGCTGTGCAAGAGCAGAACAACTTGAGCTAAAAAGAACAATTTGCTCCACAGGGCGTGGTGGGGGTGATGACAGGAGGAGAAGTGATACAAAAGCCGACACCTCACACATCTCACTTGGGTTGATTACAATCACTTCCCCTACTGTAGTATAGTGTAATGTGAGAGTAAGCAATACATAAAGTTGAGTTAAAACGAAGTCTTGTGAAAAGTGCATTCCATTATCTAAGGAAAAGAATAACTTGAAAGATGAGCTTCTGAAGTTTCTGAAACCTGACACATTCCATCCATATTTAATACATGCCCATTCATTTATTAGAATCAATGAAATATTTGGTTCATTGGATAAGGATGACATTGGTTCACTTGAATTCTATCTCATGCTAATTTATAACACGCCACTTATATCTATTTGTCCTGGTGAATGAAAAATTCCCTATCGATATATTCTCCAGCAAATTTAACTCATATCAGTTTTTCCCAATAATTTCCCAGTTAACCATCTGTATACCAATCTAGAAACCTTACTAGGTGCACCCATTGCCTACTCCCACATTCCTGCTCACTTCCTACAATCCTCTTGTGCAACACCAGCCCCTCCAACGTGCCACTTCTTCCTTTGTGTTCCTGTGCTCATCTTCTTTCTGTACGAATAGATCTCCAGCCAGAGGTAACTGGGCCTGGAGCAGCTCCAACCCACTTTTCTGTTTCAACAATCCCAATTAGGATGTGAGCCGTACTTTGTGATACCCTAAATCTTGGCTCTTTCCAGGCTTACTATGAACAATGCACACACACACACACACACACACACACACAATCTGATGTTTTCCACTTCAACACACTCTGGTGACCTACATTTGCTGTTTATGAAACACTAGTTACACGTAACGACTAGTTAATTAATCGAAAGATGCAGCCAGCCACTTCAACAGGACATGAATGAGCATCCTTATGCACTTCCTCACTAGCAGTATTTTTAATCTGCTCTTTAGCCAAAAAGACTATGAGAACAGCTTATATAAGATCAATAAACACAGGTACTCTCGTCTCCTAATCTTATATTCTAAAAGGCACAACTCAAAAGGAAAAAGGCATGAAGAGGAAGCAAATTTCTGATATCTCCCTCTGCTGGAGCCTGACAGAAAATCTTCTTTTACAAATGGATCCGAATTAAAGTGACTGCCATTATTGTTATATACTATCACAAAGTTATCTTCAGGGGAGATAACTTTCTACAAGCATTATATTCAAAACTGTTTATACATTTCCCTATTATTTCTGATGTGTTTATGCTTTTATACGTTTCTGCATCATTACCCCAGGGTTTATATAATGCACTTTACCTCAGAGCAATATCCATAGGATCTCACATTATGCTTGAGATAGTCCTTAGGTACGATCAACTGGGTATTTGCATATCTGTAACTGAATTATTTTAATGATTGTGTAGATGCAGCAGCAAAACCTCTTAGCATAGCAAAATGATAAAATGTCGTGCATGTGCCAGCCCAAAGATTCATACTGAACTCAAAACTATATACACTATTTTAATTATATATCTTCTTAGAGTTATCTGCAGTACACACCCTTTTTGCCCCTAAGGGTTATTTGGCCCTTTTCCATTCTCGGCAGTTAAAGGATGGCAACTTTATCCATCCTTATCAGACTTCAGAGAGCAAGCTTTTGGAAACCACACCCTAAGATGTATTTAATTTTAGGGTGTATTCAACTGACTTCTTTCTTGCCACAAAAACATTTTTTAAACTTTCCTTCCAGTTGCATGTGGATAAGAGACATGAACAGTGTAAAGAAATCCCCCCTTTTCTAGCCCATTTGAAAGTGGCTTTTATTCTGACTGTACTGGATACAGTTTTCAGTGAAGAAAAAATTCAATTAAACAGTGCTTCATGCCGTCTGTGAGCATCTGACACAAGATGGTGTGAATGTCACCATGACTGTGGAGAAATCATCTGAGCGGCTGTGTGGCGAACAAGCACGTGCACCTTCTTGTACTGGAAATATGCCTCATAGCAGCATAGAAGACAGAATGGAACCTTACAGTACTCTTACAGCTCAAAAGCCACGGAGCTGAGCAACAGTCTCTTAGTACAAATAGCACTGCAGGTAGGAGCAGAACCGCCACAGTACAGTGCCTCCGAGTACCATCTTCCAGAGTAATTCCGGAAGGTCTTCATAGTCAACCGTGTCAAAAACCACTGAGAGGTCAAGGAAAAGCTACAGGGAACCAACTCCCACTCCATCTGTCTTCCAATAAAGGCCATCAACCAGGGGGACCAAGGCTGCTTTAGTGCTAAATCTGGACCTGAAACCATATTGAGCCAGGTCTAGATAAACTGCTTCCTCAAGGCATACCTGTATCTCTAGAGCATCTTGCCCAAGAAGAAAATATCAGGGACTAGGTGGTAGTTTTCTTAGACCTCTGGATCCTGAGAGGACTTTTTCAAGCAGGGCTGCCTCTTTCAATGACTCCCTTTCACAATGAGACATTAACCATTCCCTGCACCCATCGAGTCAGTCACTTACTTCTAGACTTTATCAGCCGTGATGAGCAGAGATTGAGAGGGCATGTAGCTCCTCTCACTGCTACAAGTCTCCTGTCCACATCTTCCATCTGCAACAACTGATGTAGAAACCACAAGCTGCAACTTAACAATTTTATCTTCAAAGCACTTGGTAAATCTCTTGCAGCAGGCTATTGAGTGGTCTTTTATTAATGATACAGCACTGGTCTGGACCTGCCAGTTTACCACTCACTCTGCAAGGCATAGAGCACACATTGGTTCTGGCAGCAACTGCTCCATCACACAACAATGAAGAAAATAAAAAAGAAAGCAGACCTCAAATGAAAAAAGGCTGTCACACACAGATCCTTTTTTAGAGACTGAAGAGAACAGTGTGGGGCAGACTTGCCAAAAATTTCCCACCCCTTAAGCTAGCATCACCAGTAATGATTTGGGGGAAATGGCCTTGTGGGCATAACTGGACCTTCTTGTGGGCCCAGATTAGGACCTTCTTGTGAGCCCACAGGCTGGAAGTTTCCCATCCCATGTTGTATAAAGAATGGATGTGGAACCCCCTACCCCGGACTTCCCTCACTGGGATATTTGTTTAAAGATTCCCTCACTCCCAGCAAGGGGTCCCACAACCCACAAGAGCCCTCCCTATGGTCCTTGTCACCCTGACTTGGCCGGCCCATTGCATTCTTGTCCTTTGACCTGCTAGAAGCTTATACAATTACATATTCCAAAGGATATATGAATTACCCTATGATGTTTAAAATAAATTGCTACAGACCACAAATTAAGTGTGGACATTCCAGCCAACAGATAATTAGTTGATTAACCACAAACAATTAAGGAAGGGATAGGTGGTTTCATTCTAATATCCAAACATCTGCTGACTCACAGGACACAGGTCACAATTACAACACAATCCCAAGTATGTCTAGTCAAAAGCACACCCCAGTAAGTTCCCTGGGGCTTACTCTAGTTTAGGACTGCCGCCATAGATTAATTATTCCAGGATTAAAAGAGCACCAATAGAAGCTGCAATATGATGTTAGTCACTGGTGTCTGGAGCATTTGTTGAATGCAAGGATGCTGTGCACCTCAAAATTTGAACTTTGCTGATTGTTTCCTAATAGGCCATCTGAATCTAGAGATGCAGGCACATCTTCATTGTACATCATGACACATACATGGAATGGAAAGAGTTGGGAGTGGTGCTTAAGAAGAGAAACACATGGGCAGGACATGGAGTTATGTTCTACTATATCTGCCAGCGCTCTGGATATCTAAACCAGGTATCTCCTATCATGAGTACAAATCTGATTATCTTAGACTGTTTACTATGGGTGATATCCAATATGAGTTATATTCAGAATAAATGACTAAAATCAATAACCTAAGTACAGATTTCCAGGAGTCTACTCTTAGTGAGACTTAGTATTATACATCTAATATTACTGTGTGCCATATTTAATCTTAAATATTATGTTCATTCCAGAAACCATGGTGTCGTGGTAACCAACTACAGAACTGCAATCATTACAAGATATGGTGCCAATCACATCCACCATTTTCCTGCTCATTTATAGAATTCCTATAAGAAATGTTCACTGAAGGCACAGAACTGGAGGGCTCTGAGGTCAGATATTTCATGAAAAGTAGGTGAAAGCTTCCGTGCTATATTCTGGCACTGGCCTAATTAAACTCTGTCCTATAGAATAAACCAGTAAATTTTATTCTTTTTTTAAAAAAAAATTAAAAGAAAAAAACTAGAACTAAATGCCACCTTTATTCACTGCCATTCCCAATTACCTGAACGAAACAAAACCAGATTTTACAAGGCGAAATACCACAACACACTCAGATATGTTGTCTAAGAATGGTGTATTGGAGACTGATTGTTAATTTTAAAAATCTGTTCCTTTTTCTAATGGGATACTTACTAAATGGGATATTTATCACCAAGCAATTCAGTCCTAAAGTGCTGTCGTAAGCCAGGATAGGCAAGAATGTAGTTGACCACACTTTCCCAAGAATTATGTCCACATCCTCAACTTGCACAAACCAAAAGGTATCCACCAAATTTGGAGAAGAAAGAGCTGCAGCTACATCTGAGACAGGATCTCCAATCTGGATCCCTAAAACAATCCACAGCATCCCTTCCATACATTATTGAATCACCTTTACGATTAGGAAACGGACACCATTACGGATCATGTACATGTACATGTGATTTCATCCCCACCCCCCACCAATACATAAACTGCCAAAATTGCAAAATAAATTTCTGTTTTTCCCACTTTAATGTATACTGTAGGTAGATTTTATAGTTGATAACAGGAAGAAATGACGTTTTCTGTCTTCGGGTCCAGTATTGGACCACTTTGACCGGATATCCCCAGCCGATGTGGACAGACTCCTTCGAGCTGGAAAGCCCACCACCTGTCCTCTTGACCCGTGCCCGTCTTGGCTGATTAGAGCGTGTCCAGACGAGGTGCGGGCCCCCCTGGGGGATATCATCAATTTGTCCCTTGGCACCGGGATATTTCCAGGGGAATTGAAGGAGGCAGTGGTGCGCCCGCTCTTAAAGAAAACATCATTAGATCCCTTAGATCTATCCAATTACCGCCCGGTTTCGAATCTTCCATTCCTGGGTAACCTGAGCGGTTGCTGAACAGCTTGGTAGGTTTCTGGATGAAACATCAACTCTGGATCCATTCCAGTCCGGCTTCCGCGCTGGTCATGGGACCGAGACGGCTCTGGTCACCTTAACAGATGATCTCCGCAGGCAGCTGGATCAAGTCGGGTCGGGGCTGCTAATTCTTCTAGACCTGTCAGCAGCCTTCGACATGGTCGATCACGAACTCCTGGACCACCGCCTTGCCGAAGTGGGGATCCAGGGCACAGTCCTTCAATGGCTGCGCTCGTTTCTCTCTGGTCGGGGACAGAGGGTGGCGCTTGGGGGGGAATTGTCATCGCGCCACTCCTTGGTGTGTGGAGTGCCTCAGGGTGCGATACTCTCCCGATGCTTTTAACATCTTTATGCGCCCCTCGCCCAGCTTGTCCGGAGTTTTGGGCTGGGTTGCCATCAGTATGCCGATGACACCCAACTCTATCTGTTGATGGATGGCCATCCTGACTCGGCCCCAGACACACTGACCAGATGTTTGGAAGCTGTGGCTGGATGGTTACGTGGAAGCCGGTTGAAGTTAAATCCTTTGAAGACAGAGGTCCTCTGGCTGGGATGGGACGATATGGGATTGAGGGGGGCAACTCCCATCTCTTGCGGGGGTGCAATTAGTGCCAGCACCATCCGTTAAGAGTTTGGGTGTAATCTTCGATACCTCCCTCTGTGTGGAGGCGCAGATTACAGCTCTAACAAAGGCGGCATTTTTTCATCTCCGCCAAGCTAAGCAGTTAGCCCCTTATCTCTCTCGTCCTGACCTAGCCACTGTGATCCACGCGACGGTCACCTCCAGACTGGATTATTGTAACTCGCTCTACGTGGGGCTGCCCTTGAGACTGACCCAGAAACTCCAGCGGGTGCAGAATGCCGCGGCGAGACTCCTTATGGGGTCTTCGCTGCGAGATCACATTCATCCGGTACTATACCAGCTGCACTGGCTCCCGGTGGAGTACAGGATCATGTTTAAGGTGCTGGTTTTAACATTTAAAGTCCTATACAGCCTAGGACCTTTGTACCTGCCACTCCTGGTATGCCCCACAGAGGAACCTACAGTCTGCAAATAAAAACATCCTGAAGGTCCCAGGCCTCAGAGAGGTTAGGCTGGCCTCAACTAGAGCCAGGGCTTTCTCGGCTGCGGCTCCAATCTGGTGGAACGCTCTGTCACAAGAGACTAGGGCCCTGCGGGACCTGACATCTTTCCGCAAGGCCTGCAAGACAGAGTTGTTCCACTAGGCCTTTGGTCACGGCCCAGCCTGACTCCCTCCTCTGGCAATCTGCACAGAATTTTGCTCAACGGTTGCCATTAATTTGATTTTAATTAATTTTTATAATGAAATGTTTTTAGAATGTTGGATTATTTGATTGTTTGATTATTTGATTGTTGTTAGCCGTCCTGAGCCCGGCTTCGGCTGGGGAGGGCGGGATATAAATAAAATTTATTATTATTATTATTATTATTATTATTATTATTATTATTATTTATTTTGTAGTGAAACAGTATGAATGTTGGACCCGTCTGAGTTTGGCAGAGCAGGATGGAAATTAGGAACTAGCTTTTATATAGTGATTGCTTCTCTTGGCATGCCTTCATCCAAACATGCAATACTTCTGCCTGTTTGCATTAGAAGCCCCACTTCCTGAGTCTCCTGCAGCTGTTGCCTTTCCTTTAACCCTGTCAAACAACATCATGTCTCTCAGCATCATACTACCTTTGGAGCAGGCTTTGAGAATAAGCAAATAAATTCGTTAGCAAAGATTTGTTCTGTTGTAAATACATTTATCAATACAACAGATGGGGGGTGCAGAAATGCACAAGATGAATAACAGTTTATAACTGAAGATTAATAAGTTTTCTTAGATCTTATTATCAGGAGATATCAGAAATGGAATGATGGAAAGGACCATATTCCTTCTAGGCCAGCAATAACTTCAGAATGAAATATCCTAGTGCCCTAGGCCAATCATTAAGCTGCCTAGATTCAATGTACACACCCAGTTTATATAGCATACGCCCTATGAGAAATGTGGGGGTGTTTAGATGTAGAGGAGATAAACAGGGAGTAAATGGCAGCAGGCATCATCATGGTAACAAATCAGTGCTATGCAGCCAACAATACAACAGTAGCAGTGTTCTTCATTGTCACAACAAACAGGTGTGTCGTTCTGAAGATTTAAAACATCATCACTAATAAGGTGCAGTTAATGCAGTAACCTGAAGCAGACCAGCAGTGGCACCCACCCCACTCCCTCACAAATACTTACTTGACTCTCTTAACAGATCTCTGTGACCGTTCCTTCCCTCATCCCCATGCCTGATCTTCCTTTTCAGACATCATGATATATCGGAATGTTGTGATGTTTAACTGCTGATATATCACAATGTTGAAAACCAGGTACCGCTCAGCCCTAGTCTGTTTTTTAATATACCTAAAATCCTTTGCTTATTAGGGGCTACCCCATATTTTGTTCAAAAAATTGCTCTGCAGAGGTAACTACCATGGAGCTATAAAATTTTTCAAAAGTAGGGGGTCTGTGGCTTGGTCTTTGAAATATAGGGGGTCCTCAGTAAATAGCTAATTGGGAACCAGTGATATAGAGAATTCATTAAAAGTATCAGCTTAGTTTGTCCTGAATTCAGATTTGAAATTTGATATACTACTACCGGCCAATGAAGTCAGTATACTTTGCTTAAAATATTATTTTACAAACTACAGGTAGCTGCCACCTACCTGTATTACCTACCTCTTCTGAAAACCATTTGTCTAAGTATCTTATTAGTTTCTAACATCCTGCTAAAATGCCAAAACTACATGGAATTGTGGTAAAATCAGGATGACTTAATAGTCATTTTATAACTCATTCTCTTCCTTTCTTTCTTTCTTTCTCGCTCTCTCTCTCTCTCTCTCTCTCTGCTTGAAACTCTTGTTCCCTCAGTAAATCTGTTTGAAAACTAAATATAGGCAGAGCAGCGGAAGAAAAAAACCCTTCTTCTAGGTTACTTAATTCCTTTGAAAGGATAGATGTTTTCAAGGGCTACAGGTGTGCTATCTAGTATGAAGCTATGCTAAGTGCATTGCTATGTCAGGGACTGACGGAGCTCTGAAGAGTGTGTGGCGGAGGCAGGGGACCGAGGGAGTGACCCCGGAGAGGGGACCAGTGACTTATGGGGTTTGACGCCACCCGCAAGTAGGAGCCAGGGCATGGGGAGGAGGGAGAGTCGGAGGTGAAGGAAGGTGTGCAGGATGTGGCAGAAGAAGAGGCTGTTCAAGCGACAGATGGGTCGGGAGACTCCCCACCTTCCCCCAACCCACTGTCTCTGAGAACCAGGAGGTGCTTGAAGCAAGAAGAGAGGCAATGAGTTCCATGCAGAAGACGTCTCAGGTTGTCGGTGTACAACCCACCAGGTGAGGGAATATAAGCCAGCAGAGGGGCAGGGTCTCACTGTTGCTGCAACTGCACTGCAAGGAGCATATCTGTGGGGGGACAGTTGCTTGGTGGCTAGAGGCATGTTTGTGCATATGCTTCTTTTATCGATATAGACTTAACTATCAGACATGGGCCTTCCAGTGCTGGCATGGGCCAGGGCATGCTGTGGCATTTCCTACTTACACCACAGATGTATTACAAGTATGAATGAGGAGAATCAGGAAAAACTTGTAATACTGCAATGTGCCTGGTTACAAAGATCCTATATAGACCTGACAAAAGCGTGGGCTGCTGTTAAAAATATAACAAAGTTCTAGCAATATCCAGCTATTTCCTTATCCCAAAAACACATCTGAAAAGGAAAAAAGCAAAGCTTCTAAGATACACCGGCAGGGTGCATCGAATTACCATATTTTGTTCTTTAAAAAAAATAAACTTGAATGTTAAAAGTATGTAACACATCCAACATCTGTCAGCAAAGACAAATTTCATAATCAGGGTGGAGTGAGAGGCATAACAGGGTGGAGCGGGAGAGACATAAAAGGATGCCTCAGCCCTGAGCTTCTCACATTGCGTTTGCAGAGCCTCTGCTTTTGGAGTATTGGGTAATTATGATTTATTTATTTTATGTCTTTTTGGATGTCTTCTATGAATGTCCTCAATTCTACTACTTTCAGAATGCATTGCACCACAGTGTATAAAGAAAAATGTGTTTTTATCTTTCCAGGAAAAATATATTTCAGGAAAACATGATAAAGTTTTTCCACAGAAGAAAATACCGCAGCTTCGTACATGTCAGAAGTTTCACATATGATGTCAGTTAGCTTGCAATTAATGTTGTATGAGCAGAATTAGCAACTTAAGAGAAAATGGCTTCATTGTAATTGCTATATAAAACTACATTTTCCACATACCTATGTAGATGTCGTATTAAATCAATGTATTTCCCTCTATAAACTTCAAAATATGTTAACTTTGTTTGCTCTTTTACAGCTTTCGAATATACAAAAATATGGCAGAATTTAATAGTGACCAACTCTTAAGTCTCTTCACTCAGTATGCTATGAAAGAAGGTAGCAAGCATCTGCTTTCCATGGACGGACTTAAAAGTTTGATTCAGAGCCACTTCTCAAATGTTTTGGTAAGTCTTCCAAATTGCACTGCCAATTACACTAGATAACATTAATATTTACTGAAGCCTGCATCTAATTTGTGGTATTTTCCAAACAAATCCAATTCACTAAAGGACAAACAAGGGACATAGTCCAACGAAGCTCTGAAGAGTTTAAAACATGACTGGACAGCAAGGGAGGGATGGGGAGGGACAGCAATGTGGGAATAATTCAGTAAGATAGACAACAGCTTCCATTCATTGTAATAATTTATGTAGCTTCATATCCAAGTCTGAATGAAATTAATACAGGCTTTACTTTGGTGAACTGCTTCTATAATGATTATTTGTAGCTGTTAGGCAACCTGAGAAAAGTAGGATAATCTGATCCTAAGAAAAGCATGTTTTACAAAAGGTAACAAGGCAAAAAGAAATCTAGTACACTGATGCTTGAATGTTTGTATTTACTTTATATGCTGAAAATATTGTTCAGAAAAACATTTGCAATATTTAGATTGTTTTTGTTGATCGCACTTGAAAAGTTTTAATTTAGATGAAATCATGTTTTCAAACATTGAAATCTCTCCATCAAAATGTTTTTCAAACATTTTAATTATCATTTTAAGGGTTTCTTCAGACAAATATATGGGTTTGATTATACAAAACACTGGGCAATCTATGAACGTGTTATGGTGAAATTTTAGTTACTGCTAGAATCTTAAGTAGCTAGAGACAAGGAAGTTGATTATAATATCAAATTTTGAAAACAAAATTATTATTTTAGCTGAAGTTAGTTGTTGGTTTTTGAGGCGAGAGTCCTCTCTAAGTTACTTACATAAAGAGCGTCACTGGATTACAGAATAGGTGGGGAAATTATAAATTGAGAACCACAATGGAAAGATGTCAAAGTCAGGACTTAGAACAACAGAAGGGTGCTCTAAGAATTACCTAGTGAACTTGCTGAATATGCCAACAATATAAAGCCCTCAAAATTTTCTTTCTCTTTTAATATGGTAGCATCCAGTTTTTAATATGGTAGCCTCCAGCAGGAAGATTTTTTTAAAAAAAACCAGACCCCAAAGTGTTCAATGGATATAAACAAGACTCTGTCAGAACAGGCCCAAACAAGAATGTGTATAGAGTAAATGTTAGCAAATTTGCTTAAGTTCTGTTTAAAATCATAATAAGTATTCCAGTGCCTTCTGAAACAAAGAGTCTAGTCCAGGCTTCCTCAAGCTCAGCCCTCCAGATGTTTCTGGCCTACAAGTCCCATGATCCCTAGCTAGCAGGACCAGTGGTCAGGGATGATGGGAATTGTAGTCTCAAAACATCTGGAGGGCCGAGTTTGAGGAAGCCTGGTCTAGTCTATCCATTTCTGTGCAAAATGAAATCTAGAGAAAACTATGCACAATTAATAGGTACTTTAAAAAATATATGCTCCTTGCTAAAATGTAAGTGTTTCATTTAGGTATTTAGTGAAAGCTAATATTGGGGATAAATTTTACATAAAAGTAATTTTTATAATAGTTTTGGAACAAAATTATTGATTTGTGGTCATAAGTGAGATGAGTTCAGCAAGGACAGTGGGAATATACATTAAGGGAAAATTGCAGCTGAAAAATGTAACTCACCAGAGCTGTTAGGATCAGTACAATCTAGTGGCTAGAGTGTTTGTTTTGAACAATGAAGAAATACATGTTCAGATACCCATTTAGGTGGGCAATCACTGTCTTTCAGCTTAATGTGAGTCATAGAAGTATTAAAAGAAATAATAATACCCAGTAGATAAGAATGCCACAAAAAGAATGTGCACCACAGGTCACATTCACAAACAGCATTTGCTAGCACAAAAGCTAAAATACTAAGAGATAAATGCGCTCTCTCAAACAACCACATAGCGTGCTAATAAAACAAAGTATGAGAAAAAGGGTGCAGCTGCACTTTTTAAAAAGCAGTGCGAAAGTACGTAAATGCTTAAAATGCTAATATGCTCTGCAAAAGTAGACTGAACTATCTGCAAATGTATCTTATTTTTGTTAGCGTGCCTGGTACAGCTACTGAGAGTAGTGCAATCTTTGTGCTCCATGTAGAGTGGTGAGCAGAAGTCCCAACCCTCTCTCACAAGGTGCACAGCAGCAAGGTCATGCCATTCATTCAATGCAAAGTTCCTTCACACCTCCCAGCAACAGCCAAGAGATTGTTCTTCGTCCACAGATCTACTCTTGCTTTTCCCACAAGCAGCAGCCTGGGATTAAAAATAGCTGCCAAATGTTCTTGGGAAGCACTTGTTCAGTGAATGGCAGTGCTGTGATCCTGGTTGTGGCCTGGAACAAAAGCGGCTGGGCACAGAGACGCCATGTCTGGTTTCTGTAACAATAACAAAATCCCAGCCACAGGCTAATGGAGGCCTACTAATATGGGTCTCATGTCAATCTTATGTCATCAGATTTTAACATTTGCCTTGCCATCTCCCTAAATTAAAGGCAGGTTTGGGCAGGACCAAAGCATACTTTGGCTGTGACGTTAAAGGCACAGCGAGTTAGGTTTGCCTTCCTGGCCTATTATACCTTTCTGTAGACTGTCTGTTCAGTACAAGAGGACTGCTAGAGGGAGAGTATGCAATGGCCACAGAGGCTGAGCCACAAAGTGTCAAGAGCAGAGCAGATTTTGCACCGTAACAAAAGTTCAGTGGTTTAGCTTTCTAGCTTAACTGCTCCAAGTACAGTGCTTTGTCTTTTTTCCACAGATGTGAATGGTAGTCAGTTAATTCACTGAGAGCCTTTGTGAACTAAGCCAGATCCTATCTGTCCCACTTCTTGACGTCCCTTTACTCAAACTACATATCTTGGTGTGATGCGTTGGTATTTTAAGTTGTTACCCACCCTTCAACGCTAAGGTCACGGGGCGAGTCACAACTATTTCATAGAATCATAGAATCATAGAGTTGGAAGAGACCACAAGGGCCATCGAGTCCAACCCCCTGCCAAGCAGGAAACACCATCAGAGCACTCCTGACATATGGTTGTCAAGCCTCTGCTTAAAAACAACTTTGAAAACAGTTAAAAAACTTACAATTATAATTAATGGCTTTTGCATATATTGGTTAGCGGAGTATTTCAGTGTTTTATAAACTTCTGTTTCAGTATTTAAATTCTGTTTTGATATATTTTCATTTTATATTTCTATTATACTTTGGGAAAATATTTATAAATATTTATAAATAGAAAATATTGTATTTATATATTTTTATTTTGAAAGGCAGTGTTTGAAACCAATAAAAGCCTGTTACGTTGGATGTGAAGGGGAATTACAGTTCTTTTCTAACCCCACTCTCCCAGTTCTCCATCACCCATCAATGAGACCATTCACTCAGGCCAAGTAAGGGACAGGGCAGATCCTGTTTTCCCAAACCAAATGTAGCCTCTAACTCCTGAGAGAAAGGCAAAGAATATTGTCTCCGTTTCTATCTTGGAAGAGGAACACAGAACAGGGCTGATTGGGAAAAAAACAATGTTCCAGAATTGTTCATAGGTGTACCCAACATATACCCTGATAAAATTGTACACCGTCTATAAGGAAATGAAAAGGCTTGCTCAAAATTATTGTGTATAGATAACCATGTTTCAAGGAAAAAAATTAGCTTAAATATGTTCTGTAACTCACTATTCTGAAAGTTATCATATATAAAACTATTTTGCTTTGTTTTTCACTCCCTTACCACCACCCAAATAAAACTTACAGGGTTCAATGTCTCTCAACGATATATCCAAATACGCGGACTTGGATAAAGATGGAAAAATCAACTTTAATGACTTCAAGGCACTGATGAGCAAGTTAGGCAGTTTGGCAGGATTGTCTAATTTGGCTGGAATAACCGGTTTGCTCTCCTAAGGCATCCAATGAAGAGACCACAGACAGAAAGTACTTCCAAGATCCCCAAACCAACCTATTATGGACATTTACAATTATATTTGTACAAAGAATCTCTCTAAAACTAAATTTAATCATTGTAGAACGATGGATGTCATTGAATAAAAATCTACTTTATTTCCTTTATTTGCTTTCAAACTATGCATGTATGATGACTGGTAAAACCATGCACAATCTTGCTCAGTAGATTTAAAGGGTTTACACAAAGCATATGCAACTGGACAGAGTCTATGGTTAATACTTCTTTTTACATATATCTAGTCCCGTTCCTAAAAACTTTGCCCTTTTCACTGTTGCATTACACTGAGTTGACAATTTATATGAGCTTTCTCTGCTATGGCTCTAAGGAGCACTGCCCCACCAGCTCAGTCTGCCCTCAGCCACCCGCCTGTCATTTTGCCTACAACCAGTCTAGTACTGGGTCTGTCGGTCGCTAGTTCTGGCTCCACCAGCTGTTGGTCACTCTGCCTTCCATCCTATGGAATGCACCAATGGGCACCAACCACCACCAAATAATCCTGATTTTACTAGCCGGCTGTTTACAACTCTCCACTGTAAAATTCTCTGTTATTCATAACTTCTGGTTCTTGTTTTTTAGCTGGCTTTTGAACCCTAAAAATAGGAGTACATCTCCTAATGCAAACCAGAGTCCAACCAGAGACATATTCTTTAATATGGGCTCTATTATCCTATACAGAACACTAGTCAGCTCTTGATCAATGCATGATAATGGTTAGGTTGTTTTTGACATAAAAGTAATTCCAGAATTATTCTGACCACGCGCAACTGCTAAAATTAGTACTGTTATTACTTCTTCATTTACTAATCCTCAAGATAATGATCTTCTTAAACAGATTTATCCAAAACCAATCAGCAATTTGCAAATGATTCACCTATTTGCTCTATGACCTCTGTTATGCAACCTCTTTACAGTTTGATCAATTGCAATGGTGATAACCCATTAAATTTGTCTAATGGAAAGTCTCATTAACTGAGACCAGAGAGCATCAGGGCAAAGTGCCAAAAATGTTTTCTCTGTTGAAGCTGAGCACCAGAACATACAAAATGGAATATTAACAAATGTGCAATTATTTCTTTGGATATGAAAAAGGTATGGGGAGCATGTGACCCTCTGAACTACAACTTCCAAAAATCCTTCAACATTTGGGCAGGTTGGTGCTGGTTGGAAGAGATGGAAGTCTAGTAACATTTAGCAATATTTAGAGCGCCACAGATTTCCCACCCACTGCTATAGAGGAACAAACTCTCAGCCTCTCTTAATGCCAGTATGACTGACACAATTGTTAAGTAGCCAGCACAAAAGATCTATCAAAACCATAAGGGGAAATTCAATACTTACAACAGGATTCTTTGTGTTTGGGTTAAATTCTGTAGAATTTGCATCTGCAGAAAAAGAGCAACTACATTTAAAAATGTTAAAGATGGTGAAACTAAATATAGCACCTTTGTCATTTTGAAGGAGAGGTTTTTGGCACACATATCAGCAAAATGTTTGGGGGGGATCATATGAATTTTAACATCCACAGAGAGACATATGTTCAAAATTACAGCACTTCACTTGTCCTTGTTTCAGGAAATAAAGATAAGCTAAAGGCCAATATAAGGAGTACATCCACAGCAGGAGAATGAAGATGAGGGTCAGGAAATGACAATTCTTTGTCCACCCGTCAAATTGGCATGGCAGGGAGATCTAGCCCATTGGCTAGCAAATGTCACCCATCCCTGCTTTATATGAACAATTTTCACAGAAGGTAACACACCTTGCCAGTTTAGACAGTTTCTTGCAAACTCCACTACTGCCAGCTGCATCCCCAAGCAAACCCCTAGAAGAAACAGGAAAGAATGAATGAGCACAAAAACTCACACTTTTTATATTCTAGGCCATGACCCAGTTCATATTTAACAGCTTTTGAGAACTCAATTATGGGAAAGTGGGATTTAATATAAAAATGAAATCAAATGTGTTTGCCAAAAGATTTTTCCATTAACTGCTGCAACGTATCACTTCTCACTAACCACTATTTAAATTCAGAGTAGTTTGGGGTGGAGGGAACAATTCTTCCTGGCAATGCCAGAACCCTATAAGTTTGATTTTCTAGTACAGCCTTGGCAGCTCACCCTCAACTTGCCAGCACAAAACAGTCACAGGATTTGCAAAATAGGCAAACACAGTCTACCCAGACTAATCAATGAAAACCTTACCAGAAGGGCCCACTATAGGTAAGTACCTATATGTTCATTAGTGGTGCAAATACTGCCTCCTATCTCTCGGACCATATTCTCATTTTCCCTTTGGCTCCTGCTTGATCCAGAACCATCAACATCCTATACCTCTTCCCCGTTCTCCCTACTTCTTCCCCTATTAAGTAATACACTGCTCTCTTCATTCTTCTCTTCCCTCGCTTCCTCAAATATTATGATAATGCTCTCTGCCTTTCCCTCATATGCCCCATTTGCTTCTAACACTTCACCCATTATTCCGTCTCCTTTCAGGTACAAACCAGATGTGATGTTAATAATGTGATTGGCCATTGCATGCTTGCTTTTTCTTAGCTAAATGGCAGCTATGAGGCATGCAGATTGGGACCATGGCCTGGAGGAAGGGACTGTTAACCCTTTGTACCCCTCTCCCTTCCCATAGTCCCAATCTGGACCTCCTCACTTCACAACTGCTATTTAGAAAAAACAAAAACATGCACAGGTATGTTCCATACATTTCCTCACTCTATTTACTTGGCCTGCTGACATCCTAAATTCCTTTCTCTCATTTCCCCTATACCAGGCTTCCTCAACCTTGGCCCTCCAGATGTTTTTAGCCTACAACTCCCATGATCCCTAGCTAGCAGGACCAGTGGTCAGGGATGATGGGAATTGTAGTCTTAAATCATCTGGAAGGCCGAGGTTGAGGAAGCCTGCCCTATACCTTGCTGATTATTTGTCTCTATTCTCTGCCTAGAGCTCAGATTCAGGAATATTAAAATCCAGGGTCCATATCTGACCAACTACTATGGATATTCAGAAAATGCAACTTCCACATGAGCAGTTTCTACAATATATGTATTTGTATATCATTTAAATCAAACCTTAGAAACTCTCAGGTACTGATTCCATAGAAGTTCTTACATGTTATAAAACAGCAACAAATTGTTTCCAAACACAATCCAAACCAATTTCTTTCCCACTCACTCAACATTGTAGCAACATATTATAATAAAAACAAACCTCAGTTTCAAATGTGAAAACTGAAATGCTTTCCAGTATGCAAAACTAATGATGCATTTTTTCACAAGAGACCAATTAAATTTTTATATTCCTGAGATGTTTAGCCCAATTTACAGACTTCCTAAACTGTGTGAGCATCTTTTTCAGGCACTAATGACTACAGTGGACATTTTTGACCTTATAAAAATTCAGAATTATCTTTGCAACTATTGGGCTAAGCATTTGATTTGGATTTAATTTGAAAGATTAGGTTTTTCACTGTTTAATACAATCCCAACAGGATTCATTATGCCTAATAGATCAAAACCGACCAGTCCTAATTTACTTCTGCTAAAGCGATTTAAATGGGACCAAACTTATAACTGTATACTCCAATGAAATGGATATATGGACCTATCTAAGAACTAGAAAGCTTTTTTAGTTTCTCTTTTTTGCTTTTTTCAGCAAAGTTTAGTTTTACTTTAAACACTGAGGCCAAATCAGAACAGACAATAGGTCATACACAATCACATAGCCTCAATGTTATAAAAGGTTGAATAAATGAAACCATGACAGACTTGGATTGGGACCATGAAAATGGAAAGGGAAATTTAACCCTCCTCCCATGCACTGTTTGTTTTCCTGATCTAAACTGTCCTCCAGTATGGTTTCATCTTTTCTAGTTTAATCTTATAGCTAGAACTCTATGCACACTTATGAGGGTGTAAGTCTTCTTGAACTCAGTACAATATACTTCTGAGTAAACATGCTGCATGTCAAAAACATTCAGTAAGAAATGGAAGTGTACTGCAGGAATAGTCAGAAGCAGTGTTAGAAACTGAGATATGAAAGCTAGGAGCTAAATGGCACCTTAATCCTAGGTTATGAGCGCAACAATGGAATGTCTAGACATGCTTTTTTATAAGAAGAATACAAAGCTGAAAATGAATGAACTGCAGTTAAGATATTATGTTCATTTTTCACATGGCCTGGTCCTTCCCCTGCCCACCCCCCTAATATTCTTAAGAGGGTCTCTTCTCCAGTTTTCATAGAGTAGCTGGAAGTGGGGAGGCAGAAAAAGGCCCTCCTTTCCTTCCACTCTGCAGTTTTAATCTGAAATCTTAGGTGCAGTACTGCACCCAGAGATCAGAAACTGCTGCCGCTAATGAAATTCCCTGTTACAAAATGTGCCTAGAACACTGGGCAGAAGGTAGGGTGAGTTGATTTCCAGTAGGTCCCTAGTGCTGCTGTGACTTTTGCAAAAAATTAAAATGCTGAACTAGGTGAGCCTCGATCTCAATTAGTAGGGCACTTCGCTAAGAAGTGCATATTCAGGCCAACTGATCACAGATTAGTCATGCCTTAATTAATAATAGTCTCTGAGTGGACACTTATGTTTTGTAAATCAAAAACACATCGGTTAAGCAGATGGATTCTAGTTTATAAATATGAGACTGAGCAGGTTGGCCCACTCCTGATGTTGAAGTCTTACCAAGAAAAGGCTTTTTCTTTTTTCTTGCCCATGAAATGGCTTGAAGTTTTCCCTCTGTTCCCCTATGTCCAAAACCTCCAGGAACTAATATACAACTGGAATAAAATACAAAATGCAAACACAGCAGTAGATGAGAAGATAGAATGGCGAGTTAATTTAACATGTTTCTTTGGGGGGGGTGACATGTATGTACAGGAACAGAGGCAAGACCTCACTGTGCACAAAAGCTTTCAGCTTGTTCAGATTTCTGATCCAAGAGTAATACGGCTATGATACAACTAAATTCACATCATGAAAACTGGACAGTACAAATACATCATAATCACCATACAGCAAATCAGTTCTGCTTCAAATACTGTAAATCTCTATAAACATTCACCAAATTATTCAAGTTACTCCAGAGTTTCAGGTCACAAATTACAGACCAAAATGCCGAAGTGTACAGTGTGCACACATTATGAATCCTAGCCGGTGCTTTGAATTGTAAACTTGAAATAGTGGAAGCATTCAGAAAGGCTCCCACTATATTTCAATGAAAATATACACTTTAAAATACATTTGTTTTATTTTAATTTATGACATTTGACAAATTTGTGCAAAACAAACTAGACTAGGCATATATTAAAACACAAGGCATTTGCAATCAGTTTAAGCCATCCTTCTTGTTATCTCTTAACAGCCCATCAACATTACATTTGTCAAGTGTTCAGTTTTAAAATTCCATGTCTACATGGCATTTTATGTGCCTATTAAGAGTCTCAGAACAAATTGTAAGTTTTGCAGAAAGTTTGCTTTAAATTAACATGTTCAGAATCATAGTATCAGTTCAGCATGGATAAGCTCTAAATACAGGCATCCCAATGCTTAAGGCAGAGCTTTTCAAACTGTGTGTCGCGGTCTGCTACTGTGTCAGCTGCAGTGTGTAGGTATGTCGCGTGAACACACCCTGTGCTCCTCCCAGGGGCTAGAAAGGGGTTAGTTTAATCTTCAGTTTGCTGGTAAAACTGAATAACTGTGTTGTGAAATGACGTGTGTCTAAAAAGTGTGTCACCAACATGAAAAGTTTGGAAAGCCCTGGCTTAAGGGCTAATGTGAGTTTTTAACAAATCTACGTGTCTTTGTACAATATATTTGCAAAGGAATAAACTAACAAAATCAAGCACTTGAAATTATAAGGCAACAAGGTATTGAAACTGGAAACTTTTAAAATTATTTGAGGTTAAGAACTAGACCATCACTTACTCTGCTTTGCATAGTTTTTGCCAGGCTTGGTGGAATTTCACTGGATTCTCAACCTCTGTATTATTTTCAAGGTCTGTTGAATCTATATACTAATTAAGAAAGCACATACACATTCACATTCATGTGTAAGACAATACAATTATTTTCATATAATGATCTTCATACTCTATAACTAATGAAAAAACTATAGGCATTTCCAATGGGGAAAAAACTGAATACATGAAAAATACCATCGCCTCAGAATGGTACATACTTTTTTCCATAGATGACTAGGATTGCTGTAATTTAAACAACATGAAAGCTTTGCTATGCTACAAAACTATCTTGTATCACTATATTCCCTTTTAACTTTCTGATAGAAAATGCCTTAAGCAGTTATTTTACATTTTTTGTTTTTCCAAATGATGAAAAGGCAGGTGTGGAGGAACTTTCAGCCTGGAGGACAAGCTTGAACCATTAGGGGGTCCAGTTTGGCCTGTGAAACCATTTCCCCCCAAACCACACCCACCTGTCAATCAGCTGATATCACCCATGACATCAGCTGGGGGGAGGGAGGGCAGGGTTCAATTTTGCATTGGCTGCAGGGGCCTGTTCCCAATAGCAATTAGCTGATGAGTGGGGGTGAGATCCTGCTTAGGTTATGTGCCAGGCACATGCAGCCAAAGAAAGCCTGTAAAATGCAGAAGCTTGCTGCTATCAATACTTCACATAAATGCTCCAAGGCTGGCATAGTTTGATCTCCTTGTTTGGGGCTGCGGTGGGGGATTGAGAAGTCGCTGGATCTTTTGGATCCAAATCTTCCTCTGGTCCTCGCAGGGCATACATCCCATTGACACTACTGACACTGCAGCTACAGGCCACAGACGTTTCTATGGGGAGGAGTAATCCAATACTGAATATTCCCCTCTTCCCTCTGAACTCTCTTTACTGCTTTGGAAAGTGAGATCTGATGTTTCCTATAAATACTGAAATGCTCTCCTGGGGAACACAGGAGTGCAGAGTTAAAACCACAGTCCACAGAACACTTACACCTAAAGTAGATTAGCCAGTTGAAAAATTGTAAGTGTAAATGGATATTCCTAGTCGTATGTTAAATCAATGTCTTAGTACTTAATGCTGCAAATAGGATTAATGAAGTCAACAAATATCCACCTTAGTATTTGTTAAATGTGTGCAATTCCTTTCTTAATGAACAAAATTCAGTTAAGGGAATTACTGCATCGTTTTTCAAAATGAACATCATGTTTAAGTCACGCCATAGTTCTATGCCCATTAAGTTATAATCAACTTATCCTTTATTTCTAAGCAATATTCATGAAGTGAAAGCCTAGCTATTAGGTAAGGAATGAGAATGCAAAGAACGGAAGCAAGGTACCATATTTTTCCATGTATAAGATGATTATTATTTTTTTGCTAAATTATGTTAGATTGTCTTATACACGGAAAAATACAGCCCCTCTCTTTCAGCAACACAGAGACCAAGATTTCCTTGATCTTCCCAGCTGCAGTGAAAGCTTCCGCCACCAAAGACAGGTTTCCACATGGGAGGCAGGCGCAGCTCCCCGCAAGTGTTGCCTCCTCCTTCTCCTTCCCCCCTCCCTAGATGCATGTGCCACTCTCTCTCGCACACACATGGGTGCTGGGTAGCGCAATGCTGCAAACCATGCAAGGTTAAGGGCAGCAACTGGAGCACTGTAAGGAAAGTGAATCCTGGGCTTGCCCCACCCCTTTGCTTGGCGGGCGGCATTGGAGAAACATAGGAAGCACGCACAGTTGCCTAGGGAGACTTAAGACTTCTTAAATCTTGGGTTTTAAAAAAGGGGGGTCATCTTATACATGGAAAAATACAGTAAGTCCTCACCATTAAATTGAGTCTGTGGTTAATTGCGAGGGCTGAATGTTCTAGGGCCTTGAAAACAGAGGTATAGCAATCACTCAGCTTTGTATACTTGCCAACCAGAGCTACAGAACATGTCTTCAACATCCTTTCATACCTGACAATACAAAAGATCAATCAATTTGCAAATTTCCACAAGGAAGGGGGGAGATATTTTTTCTTATATTTAGTAAGTCACTAAACCACTTATAAACTTGAATTACCTTTGGTCTAAATAACTATTTCTTATATATGGTTTTTTTAAAAAAAAAACACATGGAAAAACATAATCTGAAGCGCTGTAAATTCAGATTGCTAAGACGTCTATTACAACTAGGCTCCAGCCAATAAGCAGGGCAAAGTGCTCTGTCTCAAATGGGAGATTTTGGACTATCATTAAAATTATGCTTGCATATTGTGTTATTCGCTACCCTGTGGCAAATAGATTTGCAGGTGCACAGTAAAAAGAAGAAGAAGAAGAAGAAACAGAAGAACAGTACCTATCTGCCATTTTCTTCCATTTGAAAAGAAGATCACTTGGCTGGTCATCAATTGGCAAATTCAGCCTCTCTTTAAAATATTTAATTATCCCTTGCTCTTCCAGCAGAAGAGGCACTCGGTAAGTGGAAGAAACATCATGGATGAATATTACCTATGAAACACAAAATTTAAATTACTGATACGTGAAACTTAGAATTGAAAGATACAGTACATCCATACAAATCATATACAATCATATAGCTATTTAAAAATCTTGCTAAAAAGGAAGAAAATACTTTAAAGCTAGCTCGTAATCATTTTAATTAATTAATCAGTTCAATTAATTCATTAAAAAGTGCCCCAAATGAATCTGATACATGGCTCTTCTGCTATGGTGCCTAGTGCAACATACACACAGATAATCTAAACACAAAGGCCTGATTCACACATCACACCAAGCAAACCCAATGCGAGGAGACGAGCTCAAAGGTGCTGCACGTTGCATTGAACCAATGCAAGCTGGAACTAATACTTGTTCTTTCTTAAAGCTTGTGATTGTTCTGGACCCCAGGTTTCTGAGTACTCATGTGTAACACTGCACCGCAAATAAGCTTGTAATATACTGGCCATCCAATATGCATTATTATTTTTAACGCTAAACAATTGCACTTCCTGCAAACCCACATTGGGGGGGGAAATCTGATGGGTCCAGTATTTTAACTTGCATTGAGAAGGCATAATTTTCTATCAAACATATAAAGGGCCTGCTGCATCAGGCCAAATGGCCTGTCTAGTCCAGCATCCTGTTCTCACAGTGGCCATCCAGATGCCTGTGGGAAACCAGGGAGCAGAACATGAGCACAAGAGCACTCTTCTCTCCTGCAATTTCCAGCAAGTGGTACTGAGACACATTGCTGCCTCCATCTGAGGAGGTAGAGCGTGGTCATATGGCTAGTAGCCATTGAGAACCCTCTCCTCTATGGATTTGTCTAATCCTCTTTTAAAGCCATCTTTGCTTCGTAGGAGAGTGAGTGCTGGTCTTAAAAGAGAGGGGAAAAAACTTTTCTCTTTCCACTTTCTCCGTGCTACGCATAATTTCATAAATTTCTATTATGTCACCTCTTCCTTTGAGTTATCAGCCTCTAAACAAACTATTGCACTGGCGGGGCGGGAGGGAGCTCATGAATCTGTTTTCATTTCATGGTTAGACAACTTTGAATAGTAAATTTGTAATCTGCAGGCTTGTCTAAGAATGCAACACTGACCTCTGCTGGGATGTAATGGGAGTCTGATTTCTGAATAAGTTGATTGTCCTAGTGATGAACAGCACAATCACCTGATTAAAAAGGTAAAGGTAAAGGGACCCCTGACTATTAGGTCCAGTCGTGACTGACTCTGGGGTTGCGGCGCTCATCTCGCTTTATTGGCCGAGGGAGCCGGCGTACAGCTTCCGTAAATCACGCTGAATTCAAGGAGGATTACTCCCAGACAAACAGAGCTAGGTTTGTAGCCTATATTACTGCATGTAGTATAATGCATATAAATTATTATAAATTACAGAATAAAGGAATCCTGAAAATAACTATTTACTTTTTGATTATCTCAATGAGCTGCTGTTTGTCCCCCGCAACCTGCCTCCAATGTCCCACATACTCCGTCACATGAACTAAAAATAAAACACCTAGAAAATGATTGCAGACATTAGAACAACTGTGACTGTTAAAGACCTTACCAACCTGTTCAGGTTCCACATGGCAAAACATGGAAATCTTTTCTTTCACAGCCATTTCTATAGGTTTAGTACTTCTGCAGACTATCTGTCAAAAATACAAATCTACAGATAAGCAGCACAAATTGCAAAAAGACCAACATCTTCCTCCTTTTTATTTATTTAAATAATTAACATAATGTTTAAATGTCCTGTTTTCCATGGAAGAAAAAACACACTCCCATTGAACAACGTACAGTCAAACAATAGCATCTTATAATCTAAACGATTATAAGTTTCTTTTTCTGCCCTACAATGAGCTGCTCTGCATGAGCAGGGGATACACAAATTGCCTCCATGTTAAGAGCTTTTCTGATTGAAATAAATGGACATGTTAAACGTCTATATACTGGGGCCTCGCTTGCAGGTCTTGTACTTTTGCCAGAGAACATTCAATAATATGTGTTCCCTTTTTTTGGAGGGGAGGGGGTTCACTGACTAATAAATAAGCAAAGCAGATTGGATCCAGAATTTGCCTTCCACATGTGGAAAAGCTCTTTCTACCCGATGGAAATATTTTGTGGATGGAGACATGCTGTGAGGTGTCGCTGGGGCTGCAGAGTGATGAGTAAATCGGCAAATGTTGCCTGCTCACACCTCACCATTCCAGGACAAGAATTACCCCCTAGTGGAACTCTACTCACACAACACGCCTAAGGGAGTGAAGTCCAGATCTGAAGCAATATGCACAGCCAAAGATTTAAGGCAAGCCCTTCAAGTAGAAAACTTATATGCGTGTCTGTTTAAGGTACTTAACTTCCCCAGGATTAAGCATGAAGTATAATAGGTGGAAAACCAAACAGGCACAGAAAGAAACATAAAGTTGTGTGATCAACTGGACACCTAGCTTAACATTCCATTAGCATATTACCTGTTCCATCAAAGAATACATTGCTATGTTAATAATAATAATAATAATAATAATAATAATAATAATAATAATAATTTATTTATACCACGCCCATCTGGCTGGGCTTCCCCAGGCACTCTGGGCGGCTTCCAAAAAAAATATTAAAATACTGTAATACATCAAACATTAAAAGCTTCCCTAAACATTTAACAAAGTATTTGGATTCTGAACACATTTTCATGATTTTATTGAACACATTCCTACTCAAACCTGACAGGAGCAGCTGGTGGACTGGATCCACCACTGTGCCAACTTCCCTGCCATCTCTCACAAACAACCTCTTGATAAGTGCAGTGACGATGCTAAAGAGAGACTAGGTATGTCGTAATGCCCGCCACCCCAACCAGTCACTCCTGCTGCCTGAGTTATATTGCTACCTTTATACTGGGCTTCCATTCTAACATGGTATTGTAAAATTTTATCAAACTCACCAAGTCAGGAGAAAGGCCAAGCCCTCTTAAAGCCCGGACACTATTCTGAGTAGGCTTTGTTTTCTGCTCTCCGGTAGCATTAGGCTGAAAAATAAATGTTTTGTGCCATTGACTGCCATTGCAAAATTAAAATCTGATAGGCAACTATATTAATATGCCCGGAAGCCACTAAAGTAGCTATTTCTCTGCTTTAATGACTTGTTCTATGGTTGCCTGAGCACAAACATCCACAGTAAGAGTTGTACACTACTTTGTCTCATTAGTATGAAGCCACAGACCCATGTTGGACTTCTCTAAAAAGAAGTCATACAGTCTCCCAGATTTCCTAAAGCATATCTTCAAACAGAGTAACGTGTCTATAGCTAATGGATTATTTTATATTAAATGATTGCTTAAAATCTGTTATAAGGCTCAGTGCCATCCATCTAAAATGTTTAGGTTTTATTCTATTTCACCAGTTGTAATAAATGTTTAGCTTCTCAAACCTTCCCCCAAAGATACTATATTTTTCGCAACCAAACCTAGGGTGAGAATAGGATGAACAGGTATCAGCGCATCTATCACCAAGTTAATGTAATTTGCTCATTATTCACGGTCCTTAAAAATACCCTATATGAATATTTCCCCCAAAAAATTAGATGTGTAAAACAATAATGCACAATAGAGTATAAAAATGACATACTTGTGGTACAAGGCTGACATGGATATTGCAGAAGTTCTCTCTTTTGGCCTTAAATTGAAATTGTCGGAAAGCTTCTACAAAAGGCATTCCTTCAATATCTCCAATAGTTCCACCCAGCTGAAAAGGAATATCTATAGTCAACTAGTTGGAGCAACACGAAAGGAAATTGACTTATATCACCTCTATATGCTTCAATTTTAGTTTAGTGTTGCTTTTTTAAAAAAAGGAAAGAACTACCATCTTATGCAGAGTGCCAAAAATAACATAGGTCAATGAGAAGTAGCTATTGACAGATAATGACAACTGCTTCTGTAATGCAACCCACATACGTAATAGCAATAAATAATGATTGTTTAATAATTATTTCCTTGCAGTTATTAAAAGTAGCTTTAGAATGACAGAATAAAACCAATGAGGAAATTGGACTGCAATTCACATTATAAAACAAACCCTGTCTTTATCCACTATTTCACACAATTTCTTACTTACCTCAATTACACATATCTGTGGTTCTTTCTTATCAGCATCCACAGGAACCTTTGCCTGATTCATTACCCATTCTTGAACAGCATCAGTAATATGTGGGACAACTGCAAGGGAAACCAAATGGTAATGCTAGAAAAGGTGAAAAATGCATGACAAGATACAACTCTGTTCCAAGTAAAAATCAGGCAATCCAATTAAATTAGAATAAAAAGATAGCATTTAAAGCTATAGCAAATTCCTTTCATATATGAATCTGAAAAGGTCCCTCAACAACTCCAAAGTAAAAAAGAATAAATGAAGTGAAAATAAAGTACAAATGCAACGGATGATATCTAGGAGTAGCATCCCACTTGTGCGACAGACTACTACTTGCACAAACATGATTTCCTCTTTAGGAGGGAGGAAATAATATGCTTAGAGGGTTGGGGGACTGTCTGAAACAACCTGGGGGAAAGCTAACAGGGTGATTCAGCAGGGAGAAAAGGAATGAGAAGTCCCACAGTATCAGCTAGTGAAATGTTGGAACTCACCCAATTTCGGCTAGTTCTATACTATTAGAAACACTGGTAAAGTGGGTTTGAACACTTCTGCATAAGATTTTTAAAACATGCCTCTGTAAATACTGTACATACGTCGTCGTCATTTGCTTTCAACATTTTGAACAGTTTTATTGCTACTTGCCATCCAGGAAAGGTTATGCATTTAAATAAGAAAACAGTATCGCAGAGATAAATATGGCAACAGTGGAATGCCAGCCCTGCAAAGATTATTTCATCAGTCAAATACATTAGGTGTGTGTTTTGAACACTAAGCTAATAAATAAAGAATTTTAAAAAAACTTTTGGCAATTATACCACACTTTGGTTATGAGACACTAAACTAACCCATATGAAGATGACTGAAGACTTTGGATGTGGAAGTCCTATGATTAAGCCTCTGCTCAAAGATCACTGGGTGGCCTTGGCCAAATCACAATCTCTCAGTCTAATCTAACACCTGGGGGTTGTTGTCAACAAGATAAATTGGGATGACGACAGACGGAGGAAGGGAGGGCAGAATATGAATATGATAAAGCACCTTGAACTGTTTTTCCCATGTAATCTCCATGCCTTTCTTTATTGATGACATGCTGATAGATCTTTCCAGTGGTGATGTTGTTATCCTTGTAAAGGTTAATATCCAAGAATCGTTCATAGTTTCCCAAGTCGAGGTCAACTTCTCCACCATCGTTTAGCACAAAAACTTCACCTAAACAAACAAATAATGCTTTTACATATTTTGGTGAAACATACATATTTATTCTTCAATCTCACAATGTTATGCACAAACATATATTTCAAGTACATCCGTTCTATATGTCCAAATTAAAGAATATGCCTTTTATATCTGACTGTGAACCAGAAGCTTTTACTAGTTTCAGTATGCAGAGAAGTAAAAGTCTGCTCTAAGTACGTTAATTTTTTTTTTTAAATCATAGTCAATACAAAAGTAACAAGAAGCACAAAAACATAAAATAAGACAGAAGGCCAAGTTACTTTTAAGAGAGACAGTGCATATTTCAAAAGTATTGATGTTGAACGGAGGTAATTTCTTAGTAGCAGAAAGGCAATGTATAATGGTTAAAAATAAGCTAAAAACAAAACTAATTTCCACTAGCAGATGCATTGTAAACAACTTGGAGAAATCTTAATACCATTTCGAGGTGGAGAAGGGACAGACTCCACCTATTTTAGTAAAATCATGAAAAAAAATCATTTGGTAGAAATATCCAAATCCATGAAATTACATGAACATTCATTATATATTAGAATGAGGCTGAAAAGGGATTTTCATTTTCCCACACTGTTTTTCTGTTCTGGGCCTATCATATATCCTTAATGCCCTGACACATTTTCTTCCTGTATGCTTGGGTCAAGGAGAAATTAACTAACACAAAAAGAATGATTAGCTCAGCAGAAAGGCCACCTTGCATCATCTCTTACAAAATAAAAATAATTAGTTAAGTCATAAAATATATTCCATGATCTGCATTACCATGGTCAGCTACCTCTACCAGAAATCGTATGTCACAGATGTCAGTGCCAAAGGCTACTGTTAAAAATTCACCTACTACATTAGGTCTAATATAAAATGCATCACATTTTACAGCCAGCTCTTTTGAGTGATTCTATGCTGCTGAGATTCTTAACAATAAATCTCAAATTAATTACCCTGTAATGTATGAGAATAAAAATCCTACAAATTAGTCATTCTATCTTAGTAGCTATGTCCTTGTAACCTCTGTCTGCAAGTTATTTCCTTTTCTTATATCAGCAAGATTATATTAGTTCAGAAGTCCCAGTTATTCTAGTAAACCTGGTTAGAACCACATAGAAAACAGAGGCCCAAATTAGACATGATTGTGATAGATCTGTCTTCAAATATGGACTGGCCTCAATAGTGGAAAACACTTGATTTATAATGCAAAAGGAACACATGGGGGGGGGGGATACTGAACTTTCCCCATCAGCTACTCCCAAAGTTCATCAAACTCTGGGAGACCTTTCCTCCAAACAGGCTCAAATAGTAAAAGTGATCCTGGCTGAAAGAAAAAGTCATTGGGGGCGAGTGAGGCCAAGGTTCAGAATCACCCACCCGCATACCTTTCTGGTGCTTTAAATCTAACTCCTGTTTATACTGTTACATAGGTGGCACGCCAACCCCCAAACTCTGCTGAGTGGTAGCAAGATTACAGGGGGTTCCAGGTGCTCACCACGGGTTTGTGTTTCTGCTGAGAATCAAGATGTGGCATATTTATACCTGAATTTGGATGGAGGGAGTTCAGATCTTACAGCATGGTCATCTCAAGAGGGGTTTGTTCCCCACAGCACTGCAACACTGGACTCCAAGGCATCTCTCCCAGCCTGCGTTCAGCCAGTCTACCAAGATGGATCTGCCTTTGCTCTCCTTCCCAGCACACCTCTTGCCCAAATAATTCCTCCTCATCCATCTGCTATTCCAAATCTAGTCTTTTACAGGAACATTTTTCCTCTGAGTACAACCTGCCCCCCCCCCCCCGTCATATAAGCAACTCCTGTCTGCCCAGGCCCAAGGATTCCTCTTGGATGTGGGTCATCAACACCCTTTGTCATGTTAACCTCTCTAGCCCAGGCAAGGCCCTTGCTTGGAAAGGAAGCTTAGCCTGCATTTTTCCACTGGCCTGAAATCTTCCATTCAGTAGTACAAATATTAACTAGATTCTGACATTCATTAATTTCCTGGGTTTAGGGGGGGTCTCTCCTCTCCCCCCAAATGTATGACAATATATAACTGGTCTACATCAACATCAAAAGTTATGCAGGCTTAGGCTGGATCAGAGGTTACTAGTGATAATTAAAGCAAGAGCAATGCCTCCCCCTTCCCCTAATTCTCATATGTCATGAATCCAGAAACTCTGCAGAGACCAAATCCAATTCAGAAATATCTATAGACAGTTCAGATATCTCAGAAAAAACCCAGTGCAGGAGGACACAAGATGGGTAATGATGTAGGAGGACTGGCAGGAGCAGAGAACTAGATCCTAACAAATGTGAACCAATCCTATGCAAGATAAACACATGTTAGATATCACACTGGGCAGTTAACTGAGAGAAATGCAAGATAAGTGTGTTTACTGAGACATAAGTCCTACTGAGTTCAATGAGACTTACTCCTAGTTAAATGTGCATTGGATTGCAGTTTTAGGCACCTCATTGAACTCAGCATGACTTCTGTTTCTACAGTCATGCATAAATACAATACTTAAGTCTCTACTATATCGGACATTTCACAGCTTCATATTCCAAAAAAGAGAGATCAATTTCTCAATAAAAAGGAATGCAACCAAATTTGCAGGGAAAAGACATTTGTGACACTCGTACCATGTTCATATGGCGAGAAGGTTCCAGCATCTATGTTAATGTAAGGATCTATTTTGATTGCAGTAACCCGTAGACCGCATGATTTCAAGATGGTGCCTATGCTGCTTGCAATAATTCCTTTACCAATGCCTGAGATGACACCACCAGTTACCAGGATGTACTTCATGGGATAATTATGGATACACTGTGGTACTTGAGCTTGAAATCTAAAAATGAAGAGTTAAAAGTGAACTTATGAAATACTATGTATTTCCCCATAAAAAGAAGAAAAGCTGGAGCTATTTTCAATATGGAAAAGTGTTTTTCACGCTTTTCATGGAACTCCCTGTGAAATTTATGTTGTTCTAAAATTCTTCACTGACACCAGAAGACAGCAATATAAATAGGTTCAAGGAAGGACAGAGAAATGCCTAAAGACAGGATCTTCAACATCACCAGCAACAAGGCAGAGTATCCAAGAAGGCACTATGATGTTCAGAGTATTCCTAATGACAGGAATCATATCGACAATCAACAAATTTAGGTGCTAAGTTATTGACAGCTATGTAGCCAAAACTGGGCTAATGAGAAACAAGAGAGAGGGTGCCTCAAAGCTTACAATAGTAGAAAAAAATCTTTTTAACAATAAACGTTAAAGTGGTGGGGGAAAACATAACAGTTCAATGAGGACTGCGTATGGTGAGGGGCCACAGATTGCTAAACTTGATTGGGAGCAACAGAATGGAGAATTCTGAAAGAAGGTATGGCTGGATCCCTAAAACCCTGAACAAGGTAACTCCAAAGGGTCCACGCACAGTACTCTTGTTCTTGTACATGATGCATTGCGGAAGGCAAAATACTGAGCTAAATGGACAGTGGTGGAGCATATGCTTTGCTTGCAGAAGGTCTCAGGTCTAATCCCTGGCATCTCTGGTAAAAACACTTATCTGGCATCCTAGGGAACAGCTGCCAATGCCAGGGATGAGGCCTTCCAGATGCATCCTTCCAGTGTTTTAATTATCCACCCTTGCAACGAATTATTTATTAACAAATAAATACTTGTTTTGTGGCACAGCACTGCACTTTTTTTAAGAGCGCCAAAGCTAAACAACCATGTATAATAGTGCAGCGGTTGTACTGTTGGGACACGGCAACGGCTGGGCCAATCGCAATCTCCCAGGTCAACCTACCTCGCAGGGTTGTTTGGAGGGCGAACCGCGGAGCAATAAACGCAATCAATAAATAAACTCGCTCTGGAAGGGACTCTATAAAGTGTGGCGTATTAAAAGATCCCCCTTCCCGGGAATTGAGTGCGGGCGGTAGGTAGCTGACGAACGGAACCCGAATCCTGCACCTGTTATCGCAGTCGCGGAGAGGAGGGATCTAAGCAAGGAGGAGGCCCGAAGCTTTGCTTTGCCTGCTCTAGGAACCAAGCCCCGAGGAGCCAGCCGCCATGGCCGCGGGACGGAGCGCCCACTGCGCCCCAGGGGGCGGGAGAGGGACTTGGCCGGCGCTCCTCCTCCTGCCGCCGCCGCCGCGGGGGCCTCCCGTGGTCGCTCAGGAGAGCCAGCGCGCTCGCCCTGGTGGGGAGGCCCGAGAGGCCGCTTACCTGCGCCCGGCGCAGTCCTAGAAGCGGCGTCGGCGTCGCAGCCAAGTTCCCCGGCCGGCGCCGCCCCCTCCCTGCCGCCTGGTTGCAAGGAGACGGCCGCTTTCGCAGGAGCCCTATCCCGAGCGGCCGCTAGAGGGGGGGGCTCAAAACTCTCAAGGCCAGCCGCTGTTGTTTTTTCCCTTCAGGAAAGGAAAACGGGTCCCTGAGGCGCAGAAGTCCTGCCTTCTTAACCCCAGAAGGAATGAGGGGGAATGCGCTCTGCACGCGCACAGAGGCAGCGCCGTTTGCCTCCACCCATTCCCACCACCCTTCTGAGTAATACCCCTCCCCACCCTCTCACTATATATAAGGGTCTGGTGACTTCTGTTTCAGTGTATCTGAAGAAGTGTGCATGCACACGAAAGCTCATACCAATAACTAACTTAGTTGGTCTCCAAGGTGCTACTGGAAGGAATTTTTAAATTTATTTTATTTTGTTTCGACTACGGCAGACCAACACAGCTACCTACCTGTAACCTGTTAATAATGACACTCGCTTTCTATCATGCATGCGAGCCGCCAGATTTGCCCACAGGGCAGATTTGTGCACCATTCGCATGCACAGTGATGAAAGAATCACATCTGTGGGTGACTGAGGTGACAGGTAGGCAGCAAGGAAGGAGGAGGGCTGGCTTCGCACCATAACCAGGTCCCCAAGACTACCTTCAGCTGCTCCTGCCACTTATGGAGTACCAGTGCCACAGGCTGCCTGCCACCTGTGTCGGAGTTTTTTGGCCCACAAAATTAATACGTAGGGCCAGCTCAATACATTTTGGCACATGAGGCGAATGACAAAATGGTGCCCCCTCCTCGCCAGGGAAGAAGCAGGAGTGGACTAGAAGTGTATTAAGGCCCATTTTTACAAAAGAGGCTGAATGATTTGCAAAGACCTAGGAGTCCATAGCAGATGTCTGCTTTATAATATTGTCCCTTGGCCTACACTAAAGGCAAATATATGATTTTTGAATATTCAGCTACTCAGTTATTACCTTGAGACAGATGTGGGAACCTGTGGCCATTCAGATACTGTTGGACTCCATCAGCATCAGTGAGCATTGGCCAACGGGAAATATGGGAGTTGGAGTCCAGCAACAGGGTCAGCTAAAGTTCCCCTCAGACACCCATCCAATAGCCCTGCGGGCACTGTTAATATGCTTAGTACCAAGCTATAGGATCGCAACACAATCCTGCATGTTTTATATGGCCAAGAACAAGTTTACTAGGAGCTATTCCCTGGAAAATGCACATAGAGATTGCAGCTTTACTAGCATGCATTTAATTCTCCTTTTAAATCTACGGGACTGAAGAGATGGCTGTATCATGTGCTAGTTTATCCTAAGATCTCTTTGGACAACTCTGGGACCTAATTATTCATTTGTGCTTTTCATTATTTGCTCTGTTATAATTACTCCTTTTTTTGGCACAAAACTTTAGTGTGACAGCCTTGATTAGTCCCTTTAGCATTAGTACTCCTTAACATGTTCAGGATGGGAACTGAAATTCAATTAGCTGTATTTATTAAGCCACGATTAATGTAGGATTACTAGTAATCACTGCTGAAAACCTTCAGAAGGGAATCTGTTACAGTAATAAAAAAGCAAGAGAGTTGTAATAGCTGAAAGGCTGATAAGGCAGCAGACCAATGCACACATGTGAAGAAGTCCCATTGAACTAAGTGGGGCATCTTGAGCGGACAAGCGTAGTGTTGCACCATTACGTATTTATGATGCACACACTTTTGTGGGCTTCAGTTCCCTTCATGAAAGCTTATGCCATCAGAATGTTACAGCGCAATCCTCTGCATGTTTGTTTGAAAGTAAATTCCCGTGCTGTGCCCACGTTAAGCGCGGGCTAGCCTCATTCTTTCAGGCGCTGCAGCCTGGTTCTTCGTAGGCTCGCCTAAAGATATTGCATTTAAGGCTGGGGGGGTATAAATGCAAGGTATAAATATAAAAAGTCTCAAAAAATTCTTTTTGAAGAAACAATCTTAACATTGTCGAAGGAAGGAGCTCTTTCGAACAAACGCACACGGACGGTAGCGACAGTCTAACTATACCCAGCCAAAGCCATTTGGAGGAGTGGAGAGGAAGCCTAGAGCGTCGGTGCCCGTGGTGACGCGTCAGGGTGACGTAACTCGGAAGTAGCCGAGCACCCTTTTCCGGAAACAAACAGCGTTGCCTTGCTCTCAGGAAGGGGCGCCGTTCCCGCGAAGTCGTTGGAAACGGTTGAAGAGGTGGGGAGTGCGGGGCTTTGGCGCTGCATTAGTAGGCGACCTGCTCGAAGGGGGCGGCGTTTCGCCACTTAGCTAGGATGCTGCGCGGCCTGAGCGGCTGGTTCGGCATGAGCCGGGAAGGCGAGGAAGAGAAGCCGCCTCTCCTCGAAGGGGAAGCCGGAGTTGCTGCTGCTGCCGAAGAGGGAGAAGAGAGGACTGGAGGGGACGCGGCAGTGCGGAGCCCGGAGCAGGTGGAGCTGCAGAGGGACTCGGACCCGCTTCTGAACCAGGCGAAGGGGCTGGGCAGTGAGTGTCTCCCTTGCTCCCCTTTAACGCCCTTTCCCCAAAGGCCTTCCTCGCGTCCCTTCAAGCCAGCCCAGCTCATATAACTAACCCCCACAGCCGCCCTATTAATGTAGCAAGACACCTGCTCAGATACCCTCTTCGCAGTTGCTTGGAGCTAAGCCCCCCTGGACGTGCACTTGCGCAGCGTGGAGCTTCGCAGGAGTGTGCTCACTAGGGATTACTGCCAACCTAAGTGCGGCTTTCAAAGCAGCAGCCTGTAGCCTGTTTTACTCCATGGAAGTTGCTTCCGTTAGTATGGATTGTGGGTTGCAGCTAAGTAGTCCTATGTGCGAGTACTCGGGGAGTAAGCTTCGCCCACTTCTGCGGGCCTTGTTTCTGAGCAAACTTCCTTTTGAAATTATTGCTTCTCCTTCAGTGAGCACCCCAACATCTCTTAAAGAGTTGCATCTTTTAAGCACGAGAAAAACGCAAATTGCTCACCTCTTTCAGGGACACTAGAAAAGGTTCAAGAAATGCAATGCTGTGGATATTTCTTTAAAACAGATATGTTCCGTTACAGTTCCATACATCTTAAAACATAAGTGACATTAACAAAAACAGTGGGGTGTCAGCTTTGTGCCTAGTGTTTTCTGTGGTTTGGTGGGGTATGACTCTTTTTAAAAATAGGAAGACTTCAAAATTATGGTCTCTGGATGTGTTATTAAAGGGAAATAACAGTACTGTATCTTTATGCAAGCCCTGTTGGTCCTTTCCAATTTGCAATAATGATACCGCTTGAGTTATTAAAAGTAGTATGTGACTTCTCTGAACATAACTAGATTTCTCTATCAACATTTTGAGCTTTACTAAATTGTCATTATTTGCTTTGAATTTAATAGAAACTACCACAACTGACTTTAAATTACAACTGAGGAATGGTTAGTAAGCAGTAAAGCACTAATTCCGGAGTAGTTAGATTTTTCTAAATGTAACAACAAATCCAGCTAAAATAAGGCATTAGGTTATCAGTGATACAAATAAATGTTAGCTTTTTATGTCTGCAAAACAGATTGTCTTCATAATGGATTCCTTTTCTATTGCTGTGTACTTTAGAACAGCTTCAAATGCAGCATCTTGGAAAAGGTACTGTTACCTTAAATTTTTACATAATACACATTGCTCTTTCCCACTGTACAAGATGCGCAGTCCAGAATTCCTCACATCTGCCACACACACAAATAGGTAGATGGAAATTAATGTGGCCTGTGCATCAATATCATGTGTTTTTGTAGGACAGGGTGGTCCAACTTTTCATATCAAGTGGGCCGCAAGAGTGCTTTGGCACAGAGCCCACAGGCCGCACACTGCCTTATCACATGGGGGGAGAGGCAAAAATTTGACACCCCCAAGTCCTTGTGCTGCATTCCCAAAGCTGGGTGAGGCCAGAGGTGGATTTAGGGCAGCATGGCCAGTTCAGCCGCCGTTGGCACTGAGCCTAGGGGCACTGCAGGGTATTGCAACTATGATGTAGTGAACTGAGCAAAATTAAAATCAAGAAGACTGGGCGTGCCAAATTTTGGCCTCGCATAGGGCACTGCTGAAATTTGAAAGACCAAAGTTCGCCCCTGGCAAGGTACCAGGCTTTGGGAAGGAGAGGGGAGGGCTCTAGGACCCTGTCAGAGCCCTCACACTACCTTACCAAAGCCCATCCCTCACCTGGCTTTGCTAATGCAGCACAAGGCAAAGCGGGTATGGGGGTGTGAATTGTTGCTGAGGGCTACCAAAAATGCCTCAAGGCCTGCACATTAGACCACACTGTTCTAGGAATTGGAAGAACTGAATGACTGACTGTAAGGCTATAGTAGGTGATCATGCAGCATATCTTAAGGACTTTGTAATAAAGAAAAATTTAATTGTTTTATTTCCAAAAGGTTATCTCTTCAGTTTTGCCACTACTGCCACAAAAAAGATATCTGAGTCAGTTGCTGAAACGGCCCAAACTATAAAGAAGTCTGTAGAAGAAGGAAAAATAGAAAATATAATTGACAAGGTAACTTTTCTGTTGTAAATAATTTGTTAATAAATTTAGTATCTGCTCTTGCATGTTCTACTTATATTTAAGGCTATTGACATTATGGGTTTAGTGCCAATAAAGTGTTTTGATCAAGCACTGTACTCAAGGAAGAAAAACTGAAATGTAGGCCAGATCAGCAGCTAATAAAAACTTCATTGAGCTAATTTAGGAATATTTTAAACACAAGAATTAATCAGTACCACTCGTTTAAATTTTTATACTTAATAATGCAGTAATATAATTCAGACAAACCAAACACACACAGGAAATATCCTGGAACAATTGTAAGCAGTTTACAAGAAATATATCAATTTGTGTTGCAAAAAATATTATGTTAGGCCACTATTTGATATTTATACTGCCTTTTCACAGTTGTTTGTGTTTATCAAAGGTAGTATGTGGGACTGAAAGCAATTAGAAACTTGTTGACACTATACAGTGGTACCTCGCAAGACGAATGCCTCGCAAGACAAAAAACTCGCTAGACGAAAGGGTTTTTTGTTTTTTGAGCTGCTTCGCAAGACGATTTTCCCTATGGGCTTGCTTCGCAAGACGGAAACGTCTTGCAAGTTTGTTTCCTTTGCTTAACACCGTTAATACAGTTGCGACTTGACTTCGAGGAGCAACTCATAGAACGCGGTGAGGTAGCCTTTTTTTTGAGGTTTTTTCAGACTTTGGTGATTTTTGAAGCTTTTCCAAAACTTTCCCGACACCGTGCTTCACAAGACGAAAAAAATTGCAAGACGACAAAACTCGCGGAACGAATTAATTTCGTCTTGCGAGGCACCACTGTAATGTACAGTCTGCAGGCACCAAATCTTGAAACACCAGTCTAGAATGAGAACCTTTGATGTGTTGTGGTTTTAAAACTACACACAGCGGTAGCAGTTAAGGTTCTCCATGATGTTTTATTAGAAATAAGAGTAGTCATTTCCAGCAAATATGACATGACAGACCCAGATCTGACCATCATTGACTTGTTAAACCAAAATGTCAGTGAACCTTTTCCCAATGACACAGCTCCTTTTTAGCACAAACAATCAAACCAGAAGGCCTCTAATTAACTATAGCTTCTGATTTCATCCAAACTAGGAAGCTTTGGTTACCAGATTCCAAGAAACTCCGGATATTAAACTAGGTTTAAAATTAAACATATTAAGATATGTTTTAATATCCTGACCTATTCAAATGTGGCAGCCATTGCTTCCTGCGTGGATGAAATGGGAAACTGGTAGGTTTCCTCACACTAGGAAGGAACCGCGTAGATGAGCAAAAGGTGTCTCAGCTTATTAAACAGAGATACATGGCTTGAGTATTATATTTGAAAGCTATTGTCAACAATATGCAAATTTCTTTGTGTAAACAGTTTTAAGAGATATAAAGATTAACAAAAGAGATCTGATAATGTTTCTCTTCTATGCAGCCAGTTAAACCTGCCCTCAAACTATTATTTGTTTCTGAAGCCTGTTACACATGAGCCTGCATACTGACCGCTGTAGGTGTCCCTATGCTAGCTCAGAAGATTAGAAGAACTGCATTGGGTCTTCTAGCAGTTTTTGTCAGAGACAACAGAAAATTCCCAGTTTGTTCAATCACAGCTTGCGAACACACTCTGCACATTTTTTAAGGTTTTTTTTTTAAAGAAAGTTTATGGGATACTATTGGTTATTCCTCTCCTCTCATACCTATATCATAACAAATAATTATGCTGGTAGAAGAAAAGGGGCAGTGTCTGACAGGTTAAGAGAGGAAGGTATGTGGAGGTATCCCAGTACTCAGCCTCAAGTTCTTTAGGTTGGCTCCAGACCCACCTTTCATGAATGGAAGAGCTCCTTTCATGAAAGCAAGAGATCAAGATCCAGTGGAGGTTCCTGCTGAAGAAAGATGGGTAGAGACTCTTTTGCCAATTCCCCCTACAGCCCTCTGTGCCATCTCCCATGCTGTACCAGGACATACTCCTGTCCTATGGAATAGATTTTCAGGTGGCAGCAGGGCAAATATATGAAAATAGCCTCCCCAACCTTCCTCCAGAAGAGGGCTGCATGGATGGAGTTGCATAGTCTGGATCTAAACCTTTGTATAGAAGGCAGTTACATTCAAGTCACTATACAATGTGCAAGTATTTGGGTTTACTATTGGGATCTGATATATACTTGTTACAGATATGAATTTGGTTAACTTTGGGCAATACAAATAGATTCCAGTTTTACATGTAAATAAGTTGTTGGCAACAGTGAGAACCCAAGTAGTCTGGCAAATTTATTGCTGTTCTATATATAACTTTGTTTTTTCTTATAGACAATTATAGGAGATTTTCAGAAGGAGCAGAAAAAATTTGTTCAACAGCAGCAAACAAAGAAATCAGGTAATGCATAACAGCGTAATCTTAACCAGGGCTGGGAAGACACAGGGCAATGGAATCCCTGCTGCATCTGCAGCCCTGGTAGCCAGGGTGTAAAAGTTTTGGGTTTTGTTGCAGGCCGGCACAGCACAGGTATTTAGATTGGGTCCCTCTTTTGGAAATGAACCAGCTTTGGATCTAGTGGGTCCATCACAGGTCCTGTCCTACCACTGCCGCTTCCTGTTTTGGAGCCTTAACAGTGATTTCTTTCTGCCAGTGGGAACACTGGCAGTAGTAGCATGCATTCCCCTATGCTTTCAGATAGCACAGCAGAGATCTCTGTGGCAGCAGACACATGTACACACACTGCCAGGGGACATCTGGAGCATCCTAATTCCCTCAGCTAAAATGAAATTTAGTTGGGAACACTTGTCACAGATCTTGGCAAGCGGCCTTCTTCAATCAAAAATGCCTGTAGTTCACATGTCAATATACATGTGCTCCCCTTTTCCTTACAGAAGCAGCTGCGCCTCCTTGGGTAGACAGCAATGAAGAAGAAACAATTCAGCAACAAATACTGGCATTATCAGCAGTAAGTAGTATTATGTTGTTTCTGTTTAAGGTTCTTCCTCCTCCTCTTTGCCTACCTAAAACAGTACTTTACATTTTGAGGCATCAATGTGTTAAATAATAAAACTGCTTATGGGATTTAGTGAGATCATGCTAATTGATGATATAAAGACTTCTTTTATTGAAAGGTGTTTCCCCATGTATCTAGCTGAGCTGCTTGTGCTATCAGTTACTTTTCAAAGTAATTGATTGACAAGTGCTCTTTGGAAACAGAAGCGTAACCTTTTCACCATTGACAGATGGATTTATTTATTTTTTTGCAAAGGACCGAAGAAACTTCCTGCGTGACCCACCGGCTGGGGTTCAATTTAATTTTGACTTTGATCAGATGTATCCAGTGGCATTGGTAATGCTCCAAGAAGATGAACTTCTGAACAGAATGAGATTTGATCTTGTTCCAAAGCAGTGAGTGATCTGCCTATATTTTCATAAGCTGTTGAACAATTTTTTAAGTCTGAGTAAAAATAATAGCTTTGTGTAACTTGCAATATTTACTAATATTGTGTTTCCATTTGTACATTAAAATGTGACAATAAATAGTTCATGGTATTCTATTCTGAAATTTAAGTCACAGTCTAAACCTAAACATTAAATTATTTCTCAGTGGCGTGTTTTTTTGTTTTTTGTTTTTTTGGAAACCTAACTTGCCAAATACTGTTACGCCTACCTCTGAGGAATTTTATTTTATCTTTGTCAGAGCTAGTAATTGTTTAGTGTAAGCTCATAGCACAACCTTATGCATAACTACTCAAAAGCAAGTTCCATTTAGTCCAATGGGAATTATTCCTGGCCAAATATATGTAGGTTTATAGCCATCAGGTTGGATCCAGATATGCCCACCTGCAAACTCCAATCCAGCAGAGGCTTCCAGTGGGAAAGTAGGAAAAGTGATTTTTGTCAATTCCCCCTTTTTCCATGCCATCTCTCATACTGTTCTGGAAGGTCCTACAGCTCTTCTGAGCTGCTTTGCGGGGAAGAAACCGAAGCAGATCTCCTGCTCCACTCATCCCTCCACTATGCATACAGTAAACTCCCACCTTGCATGCATGTTTCATGTTATATTTATATAGCGTAGTTATCAAAACCATATATTTTGTTGTCTCCAGTGTAAAAGAAGATGTGTTTTGGAGGAATTACTTTTACCGTGTCTCCCTGATTAAGCAGTCTGCACAGCTCACAGCACTGGCTGCACAACAGCAAGCCGTGAGGAAAGAGCAGAATGGCAGCCAAGAGGACAGACAGCTAGCAGGTAGAGATTTGTTTCACTATGTTGGGTGGCGACTCCTTTCTCACCTGGCTGACAAATGCACATTCCAGACTTTCTCCCTCCGTCACTTTTTAAACATTTCTTATGGTGGAAGTTTCATAAATTATTAGCCTTCAACCATCTGAGAACAAGCAAAATAGTTCCATTATAGTTCCACAGATATTCTTATTGAGGAAGAGCAATCTAAGATACATATTTCCACAATATAGCACAAGTTCAGGACTATAGTTCAATTTCTTCACAATATTCAGTTATATTACTTTCTCTGTTAAGAATTAAAAATAGTTTCATGTAGAGAGTTTTGCTCTTCATGAAAGCTTGTCCTGCTGCCTTTTGGTGGGGATGAAGCCCTAGCCTTTTATCTCAGGAGCTGAACATGGGGGTGTGGATTATCATTGTTCCTTCCTTAGCTCTAAGGCTAGGAGGAAGATAGAGTGGTTTGGCCATTGCACTGAAACACAAGGAGTGCCTTGAAAGCACAAGGTCAAACTACCAAGGCTCCAAATTTGGAGCCTGAGGTGGAAGCAGAGTATTATCTCTAATCTCACATTATAGCACAGTATAAGGCCAGGGACAAGGAGATGGGTAGCTCCTGGCAACGACAAAATCCATTTCAGCTATCGAGGCCAGTCAAGAATTGTGGAATAATTCATGCATATGCATATGAGCTGCAGCAAGCACAGAATTTGCACACACACACACTTTCTCTTCCACAAAAAAGAAAGCAAAGACATTGCAAACTGACCAAAAAGCTTCAAACTACATTTTGTTCAACCATAGTTAACAAACCAGAAAATCAAACTTGATAACATGGCTTGTACAAACCACAATTTTACCTATTCATAAAGGGAAGCTGCAGCTTGTTACAAATCAGAAGCAGAAGCTTTAAATATCCTTAGCGTGAAGAGAGAAAGAGGAAGGGGAGGAAGTGTGTGAGTGTATTGTACTTGGCTTGTTATGTTTGAGTCACTGTTCACTCAGCCACAACTTAAGCTTTAAATGCTCTTCTAAATTCTATCCTTTCTGTCTTTTTCCTAGAAACTGTACGACCAAAGACACCACCCGTAGCGATCAAATCTCAGCTAAAGCCTCAAGAGGTAACATTATTCTCCAGTTAAGATTAATATGTGTATTTACAGCATAACCATTTTTTATACTTTAAGTTTTTTAGATGCATGTTAGTTTGGCCAACTCCAAAACTGCTTCACAAAAAGCCCTTAAACAAATGTACTGGAGGAATCAAGAATTTGGCTGAAACAAGGTTTAGAATGGTGGCTGTGTGAGGACCTTCAGAATCCTGAGCAAAGGAGGTCACCCTTTTAATCAAGTGATTGCCTATGATTGGCAAGTTCTAGCTGAGCAGCTAAAGTGCAATTTTCCCTTCCCCAACCCTGTATCACAGCACTTCCTCTCTTTGGGAAACTTTGCACTTTACTATGGTTGATTCAAGTATTTTATTTATACCATTAATGCCAGATGTGGGATGGGATCGTGGAAAGGAATAGTGCAAGGGCATAGCTCAGTGCTGAATTTTCCAGCTGGAAAACAAAGGTAGCTGTTTTTGTAATGTTGGCCAGCACCAGGTATGAGGAACCTTTGACCCTCCAGATGTTGCAGGACCTTCGAGCACACTGCCCAGGCTTGCACCCTGGGGAGGTCACTTCAGTGCTGCTAACGGTTTGACTTCATCCCCAGAGTCACACTCCATTGTCTCTTGAGACAGATGGATGCCAACAACCGCTCCCACTATCCCTGACAATGTCTGCTGGGACTGATGGAGTTGTAGCTTAGCAACATGTGGAGGGCCAGAGATTCTCCACATCTGACTTATGCTTTCTGCTGCATTGCATATCTCCTAAGAAAGCAATACAGAAGGAAAATGAGGGCAAAATGACTTTGTCTATCCCTTCTACCTGCCATGGTGATTCTCATGAAGATAAGCTATTTTACAAATTCCTATTAGGCCTTTGTTCTGTGTAGAGATTCTGTGCATGTGACCTCATTGTTTTCCCTTTCACTATAGGGAAACGGTGCATAACATTAAGGAGAAATGCCCACGATATTAGTATATATATATACACACTTTTAAATTCCTTCACCATCTCCTGTAAATAAGGATTTCCTTCCTTTCTCATCTCCAATTTAAGGAGGAAGAAGAAATTTCAACTAGCCCAGGTGTATCAGAATTTGTGAGTGACGCTTTTGATGCATGCAGCTTGAATCGGGAAGATTTGAGGAAAGAGATTGAACAACTTGTACTTGACAAGAGCAAGGAAACAACTATAGTAGAAGGTAAAAAATAAAAAAAATTTTTTTTTTGCAAATTCTGCTCCCTCTCTTTATGGGTATATTTGTAAATATATTCCATATTTGAATCAAAAATAGCTTTAGAAATATCCCCTTACCCAATGAGGATAGGCTATCTGAAATAGTAAGATTTATGCCTTTATTTGCTTATTTGATTTATTTATTTATTTGGTAAGTTTCTATACCACCCTTTATCCAAAGTTCACAGGGTGGTTTATAATAAGCAAAGCTAGAAATGCGTCCTGTTCTTAACACTGCTCATCTTCTCTGCATTCTGAAGTCTTGAAGGATCTTACCATAATTGTTAACAGCAGTATCCTTTATTTCCTGGATTGTGGCTGAAGCAGTATGTGCAGGAAACTGGTTTTGCAGATTTAGAGTACTTGGATGTCTAGGTTTATAGGAAGTGCATATCCCAAGGAAAAGAACAGTGTTGAAAAGGAAATCTAGATGTCACTAATTTGGGATCAGCTTTTTTATACAACTTACTTCCAAGTAAGGGTTTTATTTCTGTATGTGCTCAGCTCTGGCCCTTCCAGAGTATTATTTCAATTGGCATGCCTTGCATGTGATTAGATAATCTGGGACACCAGCAATTCCCAAATGCATAGCATTTGGAAGATATTTTAGTCAAAAATATAGCAGTAATTTCTTGATGTACAGGTTTGTTTTCTACACGTTCATGCTTAAGAAAGCTTGGAAATGTGAATGCCAAAGAGAACAGAGTGTAAACTGACAAAGTAGAGAAGTATTTAAACAATTGTGATTTCCCCTTACTTGCAGTTTGAACTGGTACACAACACTTTGTTGTGTGGGTGGACTAGTCCTTACTAGCAAAATTAGTACTAAATTAGTGCAACATTTATTCAGTCCTGTGACCTCTGTATGTTTTGTTTTTAGAAGAAACTGCAGACTGGGAAAAGGAACTACAACAAGAACTTCAAGAATATGAAGTAGTTGCAGAGTCAGAAAAACGAGATGATAACTGGGACAAAGAAATAGAGGAAATGCTACAAGGAGAAAATTAACCACTTTGCATAAAAGTTTTTTGGAAACTGATGTGAACCCGTTTTTATACTTGCTTCAGAGACTTTTCTAAGGCATAAAATGGCTCTTTGTGAAAGAAAAAAAGAAAGAAAGAAAGAAAGAAAGAAAGAAAGAAAGAAAGAACGGACTCCAGGTGATATGTAATCGGGTGTAAAAACAGTTCTTTGAAAATACTGTTAATAATCCAGTGGCATGTGAGGCAAGTTTTAAAAGTTAATGAAACAACAAAAGTTGCTGGAAAATGTTAACTGGATAATTGGAAGTGAATTTTAAAAATAATTTGTGAGCTGCTTTCTGTACTGGGGTGAAAATTGAAAACTTCTAACCATATTCCTACAAGTAATAGGAAGTCATGTTAATATTTTGATCCCTTTGGCTCATTTATAAATATAAGTTCATAATACATCTAGGTATTAGTCCCTTAATACCATATGTTCTCTTAGAAAGTGTTATCAGGCTTTGTCTATAGCTTTTTTTATCTTAGCAGAACCTCGGCACCTGGACATCAAAAGCGGTGAAGGTTTAGAGTGATGATATGGTGTGGCTAATCAAAAATTCAGTGATTCAATTTTCCTCACTTTAGTCACTAGACAGATAAAACAATGACCGCTCAAGATATACATAAATGGCACATCAACTGGCTCAGGGTTCACTTACTTTATTGGGATTTTTTCACTCCAAGAAGCACTCCAAGAGCGTTTTAGAAGAAAAACAGTTCAGTTCTTCTGCTTAAGATAAAAGTATCTCTTCATTTAATTGCTAAAATGTATAATATACTTTAGAGTGAAGCATAGGTTAAAAAGTAGAACCAAAGTGTAGCAAGAAATTCAGGCTTGGCCTGTGGGTGTGGTTGAGTAGCGCTATACTCATAAGTGTTAAATGTTTATTAAGGTGTGGGAGGAACACTATAGTGTGAATAATCAGAAGTCAAAATATGACTGCCATCCTAGACTGACAAGACAACACTACAGCTGGATAAAGGGGTCAGAACTGAATGGAAGGTAATATATTTAGCAGTGTTGCAGGAGACTACGCATCTAACTTTGGGTCAGTAATTGACTTCTATTGCCTTTGTTTAAAATGTAAAGTACTAGGAACTTGATGTTTTGAGCAAACTGCTGGAGAATAAACTGGTTACTAGTAACTGAAATGATGGTTGCTAAAGCATAATGTTAACTTTGCTTGATGTCCAGATGTAAAGAATTCACGAGACATCTTTTCTTACTAATTCCCAAATAAAGATTTCACAGAATCATAAATACTGTAAGCTGTTGTTTTCCTACAGGAAATAGCTTGGTTCTCTGTAATACATGAGCAAGTTATTTGGCTTTGTGTGAAGTCTGCACTTCTGAGGATCATTATGCTAATGTATATAGTTTAATACACTACTACTGTACTAGAAGGCTAATACAAAATGGAAACATTATATAAAATGAATTAGATACTGTGCATTAGAAGAGAATTTATCTGAAGTGGTAATCGGTGTTGTCAATTTTAAAAATAGACACCCTATTTTTTTTTTGAAAATGTAACAAATGTTAAAAGTCCAAAAATATTTATTAAGAGATGTTTCTATGCAGATTGAGTTTTCTGTTACACACTGCCAGATTGGATTAATTACGTTTTTCCTTTAAAGGGCACACTGGTTGCAAAACTAGGCTTGGGATGGGGGTGGGGGCTTTTCCTTTAGCAGGTATAGCCAAGCTGAGTCTTAACTTATCTTGTAGGATGTCTTATAGGCTGTAATATTCTTCACCCTTACCAAAACAACTACTAGGGGTATGATTTACGCACAGGAATACATACAAGGATTTGATGTCCCTGTATGCCTGCTTTCAATAAAACTTGTTTATTTTAGATGTATAAACAGTACCTAGACTGAAGTTAGTGTTCACTTACTACACTGTGCTGAAATTAGATGGGCACTAGGGGTGTATCCAAAGTTACTCTTACCTAGAGTAGATCCACTGAAAATATGGACACGACTCCCTTGGGTCCATTAATTTCCGGGATCTATTCTAACTTAGTTGCATACTGTTCTAAAAGTGTGGAAGTGAAACCGTGATCTTAAAAATAAGTCTCCAGGCCTCCTCTTTGCTGATGCTACTCCTTTAATGCGAAGTACATCTCTTCCTGGATAAAGCAGGGCTAATGAGGCTGTTTCGCGGTACTGTGTTCACACTGAATTGCCCCACCCCTTGAGAGACCAGGGTTTCACCCGCCAGCCTTCCATGTTTGCCAGCTTCAGGAAACGTCGGAATGCCTGTCCAGGATTTACAAAACAACTCCTGAAAATGAAGTGGACTCACCCCAGCCTGGAGTGGGGCGCTTTGCTGAGAAAGCGCCTCAGGAGCGGAAGGCATCCCGCAGCGGACATGTGCGCACCCCGCCGCTACCAGCGAGAGAAGGAAGCGCGCTTTGGACTACAACTCCCGCGAAGCAATGCGGGCGGGAGGGAAGGCGAGAGGGCATGCTGGGAGTTGTAGTCCGAAGCTGCTCTCGCGGCCGCCTCTCCAGCGAGTCCTTGGCTCGCTCCCTCACTCGCCTCTTCACCCGGGCCCAAGCGGTGGGCGTTTCTTCTGCGTCACATGACACGGGAAAGGGTGGTCGGTGATTGGCTGAGGGGAGGCGCTTCCGGCGTAGGCCGGCTTGTTTGGGTATTACCGTCACACTATGGCGGCGCGCAGAGCTGAGCTAGCGTGTGTCGACGGCAGCCGCGCTGTGGGGACCGGACCGAGTCCTGCACAGGAGCAGCGAGAGGGGCAGGAGGCGGCGGCGGCGCGGGCGTCAGGAGGCGGCTCTGAGGTAAGAGCCCTTACCGTTCTCCGTTGCCCGGGCCAGGGGCGCCTGCTCTCCACGCGGCCGCTGCTGCTGCCCCGTGGCGCAGTGGAAACGGCAAGGGGCTTCTCGAAGGGCTCCCTGAGGAAATGGGGCACGGTGCCCCCAGGAGCGCCGCGCGCGCCTCCTCTTCTTGGGTGTGGGGCGACTCGGGTCAGAGGCCCTTGGGGAAGTGAGGGCTTCAAGTACGTTTCGGGGCGCAGGAACCGAAGCTAGGCTGCCCGTGGCGGCCGCTTGGTAAACGGCAGCTCAGCTAATCCGGTTCTTGCGTTTCTCTTTCTCCCGGGGCGTTATGGCTTCCCCGCCAAAGGGCAGGCAGGCAGGCCGTTCTCGCGTAGCCGCACAAAGTCGTAACGACTGCAGCAGCAGGAAGAAATGTCTCTTAATAGGCTTTTGTGAGCAAGGTGATATTTTCCAGCCCTCCTTTCTGGCGAGGGATGGGAGTCAGATACAACAAAATATCGATATGGGTTTGCCATACGGATCTCCCAGGCGTTGCTAACAAACACCTGTTCAGAAGGAAGGCTTGCGAGTTTATGTGTGGGCATGCACTGGTTGCCCGTCTGCCTCTTTTAGCCAAACCAAAAATGTGGATCGTTGTTTTTGCTTCTCTCTCACACGCTGGTGCCCAGCAGCAACTGCAAAGGCCCTAGGTCAGTATAGAAAGGTAATAAGGATGGACGAAGGCATTGAAACAGCTTTGTCCAAAAGCAACACTAAAAGCCCCTGTGAATTTTTTCCCCGTTGGAAAAACAGGCTAGGATGTGTGTTTGGTTTGAGCAGTGGGCAAGAAAGCCATCCATACAACATGTCCTTCATGAAAGGCAAGTGGAAATATGCTTGCTTGGACACTGTCACTCAGGAGTCCTCTGTGCAGCAGCCAAGGAAGCCTTTCCTCTGGCCTTTCCTGATCCAGAGCCTAAAAGAGCAAATGACTTGATGACATGACCCTGCTTGCCAAAGCAAATCTTAGAGTTAGAAGACTGGTTGCTAATCAAGTTTGTCCAAGGACAGCGGGACACTTGTTACAGTGAACAAAAAAGACTTGAGTACTTGCTTGGATATCTATTATGTACTATTGGAAGAAAATTTTGCTTATGTGGGGTGGTAAATACCAGTAAAATGTATCATGTGAAAAAGGGTGTTTGGCTATAGTTTGCTACATATCTGAGATGTGAAGTGTGCAAAATGTGGGAAACGGGAAGACACCTTTTACTTCTCCCAGTATTCTGCTTATGTAAAATGAATTAATCCTGCATACTGAACAGGGAGCTTACAACATATAATAAAAGCAACAACCGGATAATAAAGCAACACTGCAGTCCTCACCCTAGTTAGAGGGGAGTTAACCACATTGAATTCAGTAGGACTTTTAAGTAGATAGTGCTGCAGAAGAATAATTTATTAATATTAAATCTGACTAGACAGTGAGCTTTAGTAACAACAGCCATTTCAAATCTCACCAAATGGTTAAAAGCAAAATTTTAACTGGTTCTTAAAACTCAAGGAAGGTTGGAAAAGTTCAAAATAAAAGCTCTGTCTCTTGTAGCCACCCACCTTAGTTCAGAAGGTAGCGGCACATAGAGAGATATATCCAAGGTCTCAAAAGGTCAGGAAGGACATGAATATCTTGGTAACATGTAACATAGATTACTTCAGACCATAAATAATTTGAGAGACCATGCTTTTGCGTGAAGAGCTGTAATTTAATATAATTGCTTTAAAAGTATGTGTAAATGTCACTGCAGTTTAGAAGTACAGGGGATGACAATTTTGTGTGTGCTCAAAGCAAGTGTGCTGTTTTCAAACCCAGAAGATAGCAGGTCAGGCTTCTGCGCTATCTACCGACATGCATGATGATGCAGAACACAAGCCCTGCGCAAATCAGGGGTTGTTTGTATACTGTTTGGTCAGTTGCTGGGTAGGGGAGTATTTAAAACATGCTTTGAAAAGCAACTGTTACTCTTTCCACAGGCCCCTAGCCTGTAGAGCCAGTATTATTTAGCATAGTCAAAGTCTGTATCTTAGCACAGCCATGAACTCCAGTATGGTATAAATTTTTGCTTTTGCTTCTAATCTAAAATAGACATAACTACCAACTAGCTCTGAGTTCTCGGTTGCAAATATATTTAATAATATATTATAGTTTTTAAAAACTTTTGCTTCTTAAATACAAGTAAAATTAACAAGGCAAATTAGATTGCTCTCTAGGACATCATAATTTTTTCTGATGCAAACTGAATTGTTAGGTAAAACAAGATAAATCTAACATTGAAACAATAATTGTGCATTTACTGTAGATTGATTTTACTGTACAAAAATTAAAGAATGACCACATTTTAGCAAGCTTACTCTTTGTTTCTTTGACCCTTAATTAGGTCATTGAACTATAGATGAAAATTCCCACATGACCTTTTCTGTTTAAGATGATATGCTCAGAAGCCTCCAATATTTTGCATATAGAAATCTTGCTGCTGTCACAAAATGTTGATTCCTTGTCCTTTTTTTTCCTGTGCAGCAACAGTTTGTCAGGAAAAGAGAGGTTCTAAATAACATAATATCCCATTCCTCCCATGCTATTTTCATTCTTCCCTTTTTTTTGCCAGTCTTTACCAAAAATTCTAATAGGCTAAATTAATAGCTTTATCTTTTCTAATAAATAGAGCATCGTATATTTTCATTACCTTAATTTCCATTCATAATCCTATTTCAATAAAAATTGTGGCCAATATATTCCATAAGTTTTCCCAACCTAATCCGTAGCTTGTTTCCTAAAGCTGGAGCCCAGTTAACCATGCATCTCTCCCCTTACCCGCAAATCAATTCACACCATCGAGTGTGCTGATTGAATCTTTCAAATGCTGAAACTGCATATTGCTGATTTGTTATAGGGTTTTTAAACTGCAGAGTAATTGAGCCGTCGGGTTTGAACAGTTGTTACATTCATTTCCCCTGCGGGACATTCCGATAGCTATTAAGAAAGCCTCTTTCAAAAAATAAACCCGGCATCAGGCTTCCTCTTAAATAGACTTCAAATAAACGTGCAACTAATTTTTGCTTGGAAATTCCAAGCGAGTGTGTGCACATTAAAAAAACAACCCTGGGCTGCCCTCCCATTTGGGGATGGAACTCCATTGTCCCCAAAGCAGCCCCCGATTGGCCTGCGCTTTCCTCGCCGGCAGCCGGCGCCGCAGATGCCGCTTTGACGTCCTTTCTCCCGCGTGCGCGCCCAAGCCCCGCCCACGGGGGCGCACGCGACGGAGCTCCGGCAATAGCCGGGTATTTAAGCAGCAGGGAGCGGAAATCCCTCCTCCTCCCCTTGGCGCCCTTCTAGCTCCTGCGCCAGCCAGCTTCCGGCTTCGCAGGTTCCTCGGGTCCTCGGTGGCGGTGGACGACGCGGGTGGCGGAGCAGGTAAACCGCTTCCCGCCGCGCGCTCCTCACGCGCTCAGCTGAGCAACAGCCGCGCATCGGGACAAAAGGCGCCGGTCGTCGTCCCCCGTCTCGGCGCCGTCCCTTCCCGGTCCTCGCTTGTCAGGGACCTCGGGTGGCGGGTAGCATCTCCCGCCGCCCTCTTTCTGCCCCGCACAATCCTCAGCTCTTTTCAGGAGAAGTGGACTGTACCGCGAGGGATTGTGCCGAGGCGCGGTTAACTAGAAGGGTTTGCTCTGGCATCCCTAGCCTGCTGCTATGTCATTTGTAAAAAACAAATAACACGTAATACAGTACAGTGGTACCTCGGGTTACATACGCTTCAGGTTACATACGCTTCAGGGAACAGACTCCACTAACCCAGAAATATTACCTCAGGTTAAGAACTTTGCTTCAGGATGAGAACAGAAATCGTGCTCCAGCGGCGCAGCAGGAGGCCCCATTAGCTAAAGTGGTGCTTCAGGTTAAGAACAATTTCAGGTTAAGAACAGACCTCCAGAACGAATTAAGTACTTACCCCGAGGTACCACTGTATATGGGGTTTTGTCAATGCGTGTGTTAATCTCGGGACGAAATACAAATGGGTCTTTTCCGCCTGGGTAACCTGAGCTCTTTTCTCTCCCTTCAAAGCATATGCTGCTTACTGAGGAAGAACCGCAAAACTGTAAATTTGGAAGGAGAAGCCCGGACCGGCAGCTGAGGAACAGCAAGTGCACTGCGCTGAATACAATGTTGCAACATTCAGATACAAATTGCGATGGTGCGGAAAATGCAGGTGCGTTGGAGGAGGCAGAGGATTTTATTCCCAGAAACAGAAATGTGTTGGGAGCAGCATTCTGCCCTCAGGAATTGCGAGAGGAGACCCCTGGAAGAGAAGAGACTCGTACTGACCCACCTGATGGCCAGCAAGACCCAGAAAGTGAGAAGGGCAAAGAGAAAACCTTAGGTATACGACAGTGCTGAACCAGGACAAATAATTGCACCTTGACTTTTGAAGTTAGGTTGTCCAGCATTGAAAAAATAGAACACTTGTTTACATTTCTTGATAACATACTTAGCAAAGCAATCGAAAGAGGGGCTAAGGTGGTGTGAAGCAGTGGATCCTCTGCCATAGCCCTGCCAGTTAGGACCGAAGAAGATGTGTATGCGGGGAGAGGGAGTCTTTGTTGTGGCAGCTCTAGTCTGGTGCAGGAGACATGCTCAGATCAGGCCCTTCTCTAATAAAATGACTGGCTTAGGATCAGGTGGATACATCCCTGTCCCTGATCTATCCCCTGTTTTGGAACCCTATGGTAGTTTGTGTCAGCAATAGCTTTTCAACATCCTGTGCTTTTGGTAGTCACAGTGGAGGACTCTGTGCTAGTGGAGTATCTCCCTCCCTGAGCAGAACCTGGCAGAGAAACACTTCCACTCAAGCCCAACTCCCTCTCACAGTGCTGATCAGGGGATTAGGACACCCAACAGAAGGTTCTTCTGCTGCCTTGTTCTTTGCTCCCCCCCCCCCCCCCTTTGCTTTATCAAATCTAATTTTAGAAAACGGTGAGACATTCTGATTACTGGAGAATAAAGCTATGTTCTACCTTCAGTGTTGGAGGCAGTATGCTGGGAATCAGAAGTGGGGAAATCGCCGTTGTAGTCAAGTCCTGCTTGCGGGCTTCCCAAAGGCCTTTGGTTCGCAATGTGAGAATAGGATCCTGGTCCAGATATGCCTTTTGCCTGATCCAGCAAGACTCTTGTTATGTTTTTTTTATGGTACTTTGAAGAATGCTTTGCTCTGTTTCATCACTTTGTCTTTGAAGTAGAGATCTTATGAAATGTCCAGTATTCCTACTGTATCAAACTTCTTAGGTCCTTTTTCAGTAATCTGGCCTTGTATTGTACCAAAGTTCCTGTTGCTTTTTTTGTTGATAATTGCCTAATACTTTGCATTTTCTAGGCATAATTATAAATGTTCCATTTTCTACTGTCAACATATGTTACTCAGCACAGAATGTTCTGGTAATACTGCTAAAATACTTTTCTTCTTGGTCTGTAGGGAAAGAAGTACTCTTATTGATGCAAGCTTTAAATACTCTTGCTACTCCAGAAGAAAAGTTGGCTGCACTCTGCAAGAAATATGCTGATCTGGTAATTATGTACTACAATTAAAGTCACATGCTTTCTCTGTAGTTGCAAATTAACTTTGTAAACATGCATTGGTATCTTAGCATTGGAGTTTCATTCCTTTGAATGTTCCTACAACCAATAGAAACAGATTGAAATGTCAAATGTCAAGAACAATTAAACATCTTAATGTTGTTATTTGCACCATTTCTATACTGCTTAATATCACCCTGGTTAAAGCTTATTAAAACGGGATCATGGGGGGAAAAAAATTATGTTTGTTATTTGGCACTGTCCTCTCTAAAGTGCGGGAACTTTTTAAGCTCCTGGTTGCATGTTAAGACATTATTTGGTTTTGATAAAGGTGAGGAAGCAGAACTATACTTTCTGTTGCCCCTATTGCTTCTTCATTCAAAGACTCTAATTCAGGGGTGGGAAACCTGTGACTCAGAAGCAATATAGTGCAGCAGCAACTAGACAGTCATAGGTTCCACATCCAAGCTGTAATTGGAATATGTATAAATACAGAGGAAATGGTATTTGCATGTGTTTGGCTAGCTGTTTTTAGTCAAGACACCAGCTATCATTCAGCTGTATTGTTGACTGCCTGTTCCCTCTCGCATGCACAATGGATAATTCTTCAAGAAAAGAGTGTATGCAATTTCTGTTTATGTGGGATCATGCCCCTAGTTCCTGGGTTGTATCCAACATGTCTGCGTGACAGCAGACTGGACTTCTACTTATGCAACAGGTCTTCCCCTTCTTCTCCTTCCCCCTGCACACACCCCAGATCTGTGTATTCAATTCAGAAAATATTTAGAATGTAACAAATCTTGAGTAGAGAATTCTATAGATGAAGGTCAGCATATGAGAGGTTGTCTATGTGCACTTATTGTCTTGTCCGACAAAAAGTTACAAAAAGTTGGTGAGAAATTTGCCTTAATTCATGGAAGGACAATGTGGAAAGAAGAAAGGATTGTGGATTCCAAAGTCACAATATTCTGAAAGAAACTAGCACTGTGAAACCTGTTCTGAAGCTAGTTCAGAAGTAAAGAGGCATAATGGTTATAGGTGTATGCATTGTGTGGTGGCTGAGTTGATGTGGGTAAGGACACCTGGCCATCACCACAGTCCAAGCTTCCAGTTATACTACAAGGGTAGCAAAGATTGCCAACTAAAATAACTGGGAGGTATTGACCTCATGTTAGGTTTGCTTCATGTTACTTTCTTTCAGGTTACGTTCTGCGGCAACCTGGAAGTACCAGAAAGGGTTACTTCCAGGTTTCGCCACTCGCGCATGCGCACAAGACCAAATCGCGTCGCGCACCTGCGCAGATACGGCGCTTCGGGTTGCTCTCTTTTCATGTTGCAAATGGGCCTCCGGAACAGGTCCCGTTCGCAACCATGGGTACCACTGTAGATCTCTCCACTCTGGATAAGAGGCCCTAGCAGTCCTCAATCTTACCTGGATTTGATTATGCTCATTTATAATGAAATGAAACATAGATAATCCAAGTGGATAGCTCAGTTGGTTAGTGTTTGGTGCTGATAACTCCAAGGTTGCAGGTTTGATCCCCATTTGGGACAGCTGCATATTCCTGCATTGCAGGGAGTTGGACTAGATGATCCTCAGGCTCCCTTCAGTTTCTACAATTTTAAGATTCTGTAACAAGTTGTGATTGTGAGGTTCTGGTTCTGTTGGCTTATGGCCTATTCTGTATCTGATTGATTAAAAACAAATGCAATCCGTTGGAGGCTGCAACTACAGAAAACCACTTCAGTTCTAAAGGGTAATGGCAAAGAATAGGTTGGGTTGTTTTTTTAACCTCCTCTTCTTTTTCTCATTTAGTTGGAGGAGAGCCGAAATGTTCAAAGGCAAATGAAGATGTTGCAGAAGAAACAAGCACAGGTTGTGAAAGAGAAGGTCCACTTGCAGAGTGAGCACAGCAAGGCCATTCTAGCACGCAGCAAACTGGAATCTCTCTGTCGTGAGCTTCAACGCCATAACAAAACTTTAAAGGTCAGTTTGATAAGATAGTACATGAAGCAGATTCTGAGAGCAATATGATTTTCTAAAAATAGGGTGGCTGCTGGAATATATAAACAATAGTATAGCAAAATGGAAACAATTGGGAGTGGATGGAAACACGGTCTATTGAGCACCAGTTTAGTTTATTCCTTGATGCTATGTTATAGCAAAGATGCTTGATCCTCTAGAAGTTGACTGCTGGTTATCCCCTGGAAATGTGTCTCTGAAGAAGGTTGTTAATACATTTTACACTGGGACCCAGGGATAAGAGGCTAGCAAGCAGGTGGGCTTCTCTCAGTTTGTGTCCAGCTCTAAACCCATATTGGATGCAATGAATTATTGCAAGTACAGTGTGACAAGGATGTAGTAGTAAGAGCCCTTGAGATGATGAAGCAGCATACAGAAAGGTGGTATGGGGTATTGTCATGCCAAAGGCAAGGTGGTTCTTTTATAATCAGATTCAGAAGCAATACAAAATACACGAGTGAGAATATTTAAAGATTTTATTCCAAAACAGCAAGCAATATATGCATACCAAGCAAGCACTTCAATCTGCCACTTGGAAGCCTTCAAGAAGCGGCAAAGCGACTCCCCCAGGTAGCCTCAGTCTGCACGGCCCGCAGCTGATCAGTCCATGCACGAGCTTCAAAAAAACCTGCCGAAACTGTCCAATTTTATAGATAGCCTGTGTGGCTTCCAAGACTGGTTACGTGCAGATCATCCATTAGCCACCCCCTCCCAATGCTTCACTTTCTCAAAACAATGTCAAACATCAAAGAAGGTACCCAGCACTATCCTCCACAACTGAGGAAGGCAGCTGTGTGTGGGGGTTCACCTCCTCCCAACATTCTCAGGACATTAAAGACTGTTCTCACACCATCAAAAAACTTAACAAGAGCGAAGGGAGGGAGGAATGCCCACCCCTCCCTCCCTGTTCCCAGCTCTGGAAATCAGTTTTTGACTCTCCCTGACACTCTCTAGCATCCTTTGGGGAGATTAGTTCTCTAAGTAACTAAGCATCACCCCCATTTAAGGAGATCTGCTGGTGCCTTCTGCTGCATTACAAAGTCTAGTCTATGTGATGCAGTATCCCATAGAGTCCTAGCAAATTGCACATTGGGGAAAGGTCATTACTAGTTGTAAAGCACATCGTTGCATGCAGAAGGTCCCAGGTTCAACCCCCCTCTGCCAGAGGACTCACTGCTACTGCTTTAGATGGGCCAGTGGACTCAGTATAAGGAAGTTTCTTAAGTTCTTGTGCTCTGATCAAGTGGGAGAGGAGATGGGGGGGCAAGGCAATACTGTTCTTTTCCTAGCTCCTGTGGAGATAGCTTCACTCCAAGTGTGAATTGTATCCTCCTTCCCTGCCAGCCAGTGTTGGTGTAGTGGTTAAGAGCGGTACTCTCATAATCTGGGGAACCGGGTTCGCGTCTCCGCTCCTCCACATGCAGCTGCTGGGTGACCTTGGGCCAGTCACACTTCTTTGAAGTCTCTCAGCCCCACTCACCTCACAGAGTGTTTGTTGTGGGGGAGGAAGGGAAAGGAGAATGTTAGCCGCTTTGAGACTCCTGAAGGGGAGTGAAAGGCGGGATATCAAATCCAAACTCTGCTGCTGCTGCTGCTGCTGCTGCTGCTTCTTCTTCTTCTTCTTCTTCTTCTTCTTCATTCCATCCTGAAGTTAAAGCTATGATATTGTTAGCACTTTGGGAAGTAGCTGTAGTGACGTGCAACTGTTCTGGGAAAAACAACCTGATTCTTCAGTTAGATAAGCTCTTAATTCATGGAAATGTGCTACTACTCACTTTTGTTGATAGTTGTAGTTAAGTAGAAGTTAAAATTAGGGTGTCCGACTAGACCCGTTAGTCACAAAGTTTGACCAGCCTGGTTCTAGATAAAAGAGTTATTTTGCATACCGTGCGCTTGTACTTCAATGGAGGCAGGAGCTTGTCTGCATATTTAAGGCAGGAGCAAGAACAGCAAGTTAGACCTCATGCTGGGTGTTGGTGTAGATCTTGTGGTGACAGAGGCAGAGGGGTGGAAGCACAACAGCAAAGGCCCTGCTGTGGCAAACAATTGATAGCTCCTTGTTCCCCCAAAATATAGACTTGCTTGCTTCAGTAGAAACCAGCCTATTTTGCAAATGAAGTGCCAATAACTGTCTGGTGCCTAGTAGCTGGTACGTGGAAAAGAATTTATTTATAAGCTGCTTTCTTTTGCTGATTCAAGCTCATAGCCACCACTTCTTCTGTTCAAGAGGTATAACTTAATAATTGTGCCTCAGCAACAAAACCTACTGAAAAGCTTCTGTATACTGGTTGGAGAGCAAAACAGTGCATGTTCATGTGTCTTACAGGCAAATTGTTCCAGAGAAGTGGAAGCTAGCATCCATTCCAAGGGACTAAACCATTAAGATGACATTGGCCTGATTTTTTTTTTTTTTAATTGTTGTCCAAAATAAAAACACGTTGCTTTAATCTCTTTTGGTAAAAGGAAGAGAACATGCAACAAGCCCGTGAAGAGGAAGAGAGACGTAAAGAAGCAACTGCCCACTTCCAGATCACACTAAATGAAATTCAGGCGCAGCTGGAACAGCATGGCATACACAATGCAAAGCTTCGCCAGGAAAATATTGAATTAGGAGAGAAGTTGAAGAAACTTGTAGAACAATATACACTGCGAGAAGAAGTAAGTGGATTTATTAGTCCTTCACTGTTTTAGACATTGCTTTGTTATTCAATAGCATTTCATTTTGGATTATTACAGCTTGATGATATTATCTCACATGAACATATTTACTCTTAGGTTTGAATGTGATGCAGTGGCTTCTGACTGCAGGAAATGCATTTGACAAAGTAATTAATAATCAAAGGTTACACGTAGAAGGAAGGAGACGTCATTTAAAGCTTGACATTATAAGATGCAGTACTTGCACACTATAAAGAAATACAGAAAGGAATACAAATTCTACTTACCTCAACTTAGGAGCAAATGTTTGATCTATACAATGTTTCTGTATAGCCATGTGGGGAACCTGTGGTCCTCCACCTGTGCTCTTGACTCTATAATCCCTGTCCATTGGTCATTTGACTGGGGCTGATGAGAGTTGCAGTCCAGCAATATCTGGAAAGCCACAGGTTCTGGCTCTTTCAGACACTCTGGGTTGTATCCAGAGTTGCCTTTCAGTGAATGGAATAGTTCCTTCAATTTACAGAGAGGGCAGAGCTCCAGTGGAGGTTCTGCTGAAGGAACAAGGAGGGCCATTATTTTCACTGACTCCACCCGCAGCACCCCATGTCATCTCTTACTCTGTGATGGAGGATCCATTACCCTGCCCTTCAATCAGATTTTCAGCAGGTATCAGGGGAAGGAAGAATTCACAAAAGTTGCTTTCTTCCATAGTATTGTCCCATGTTTTGCTCAGTGCAGCTCTAAATCAAACCCTCTCTTGTTGTCCTGCCCTTCCTCCTGGAAGCAAGGGGGTGGTACACATAGTAAACTGGGTTGAGAGAAAGTACCAGTCCAAGAGTTACCTTAAGAGAGAAGACATACAGATGTTCTCCTTTTACATTTTTAAAATGCTGTTGCATTCCTTCAGGGATCCATAAGACTCTCTTATTGAAATTTCACAGTGTTTAAATTGCACCAGTTAACTAAATAGAAACTCTGAATGGCATAATAATAATAATAATTTTTATTTTCTTTACCACCCTCTCCAAACTTCAGTTACTGCTTGTTCTATTTAGTACTGAATAATCCACTGTATAGTGTGTCTTACAGAGTTAATGCTGCTAAACAATATTGTTTGAAATCAGCTTCTGGTTTTCTCTGTTTCATCTCGATGGCTGCACTTCTCAGTCTTGGATCCTGCTCCTTAATAAAATAAAAAAGCCTCTACTATAAGTCAAGCTATTAAACATTTCCTCAAGCCCACTTCTGCTTACTTGTTTTTGAAGTGCCGCAGATTACTATATTCTGTGTTAGAATCAGAATTTATGTTTGTGGGGTGTATGTGCAGCACCTGTTGCTTAATGGTGTAATCCTGTGCATGTTTACTCAGAAGTAAGCCTACTCTGTTAAGCAGGGTTACTAAATGTGCATAGGATTGCAGCCTGCATGTGTTTCGTCAGTCATACGTTGGTGGTGGTCACTTCGATTTCAAGGGTTTTTTGATGGTGTCGAAACTGCTAGCACGTGTTTTCCAGGTCAAGCGTGGTGGTGGCCAGTTAGTTAAACCAGGTAGGAGCCGTGATGAACATGAGGGTAACTTTAAAGTTTTTTTTTTTAAAAAGTCTGAAATGCAAATTCAGTTTTGAATCTTTTGAAAAGGTTTACTAGGTATTGATGGTACCAACATTCATGCTTTCTTCTAGCACATGGACAAAGTCTTCAAGCATAAAGAACTACAACAGCAGCTGGTGGATGCCAAGCTTCAACAGACAACTCAACTTATAAAAGAAGCAGAAGAGAAGCATCAGAGAGAGAGGGAGTTTGTAAGTATTTCGGATTGCATGAAAAGTATTTGGATATGCCTAAATTTTCCCTCTGGTAGTATCTTGGTACAGTAGTGCATTTTAGGCCCGAAACTATAACTAGAACAAATGGTAAAGTGCTCCATTTGAATGTTCTGTCTCGTGCTTACTGTATGTTAGCAAACTTATCAGTAATCTGTATAGGTCATAAGTCCTCTAGAATGGGCAGTTTGGCAACTTCTACACAGTTCACTGGCATGGAATAAATTTGTAGCACTAAAATGTATAATATATAAATAATAAAAATTATTTATGCATGTATTTGTACCCCACCCATCTGACTGGGTTGCCCCAGCCACTCTGGGCAGCCTCCAGCACATATAAAAACATAAGACCTTAAACCTTAAAAAGCTTCCCTATGCAGGGCTGCCTTCAGATGTTTCCTAAATGTTATATAATTATTCATCTCCTTAACATCTGATGGGAGGGCATTCTCCAGGGTGGGCCCTCTCCCTGGTTCCCTGTAGCTTCACTTTTTGCAGTGTGGGAACTGCCAGAAGGCCCTCGGTGCTGGATCTCTCCGGGCTGAACGATGGGGGTGGAGATGCTCTTTCAGGTATAGATATATATATATGCAGTTTTGTTTCTTGCTGGTCTCATTACCTCTTAGCAGCTTAGTACAGTGGTACCTCGGGTTAAGTACTTAATTCATTCCAGAGGTCTGTTTTTAACCTGAAACTGTTCTTAACCTGAAGCACCGCTTTAGCTAATGGGGCCCCCCACTGCCACCGCACCGCCGGAGCACGATTTCTGTTCTCATCCTGAAGCAAAGTTCTTAACCCGAGGTACTATTTCTGGGTTAGCGGAGTCTGTAACCTGAAGCGTATGTAACCTGAAACATATGTAACCCGAGGTCCCACTGTAATGCATTTCTACATTCCATTATTTTTTCTTCTGCTCGGAAGAAATACAGGTGTGTTAACTCTTGATGGCTGGGATGCCTAGCAGTTTTATGAGAGCATTTTAAAAAACCTGCTACAAGAAAATCTTTAGATTAACATATTTATAATTCTATAAATTCAAAATATTTTGAACAGATATTCTGTAGTTAAACAACAAAAGCTGTGTATTTTTAGTGAACAATTAAAGTATGTTGTGGAACACCAGATCATCACATTGTGTGATCCATGGCGCATTAAATTCTTCAGTGCACTTAAACTCAGAACATCTTTCCAGTGATGTTCATCCAAAACAAAACCTTTGCCTTTGCAGGGAGAAATCTGCAGTAGTGTTGTAGAATCTCCAGTAGTTAGGATATAGTAACCAGTGATACTATATCCTATATAGGAGTGGAAATCTCCACTAGTGTTAATAGGAACTGCTAAACAAAACCAAATACAGTAAGACTGGCTAAATATGTTCATATTTTTGAATTTATTTGTAAATTTGTCTCTCTTTAGTTTTTCATGTATCACCACATTAATTAACCTTAAGAAAACAAATACATTTGTTCTAATTGACTTTGAAAAAACGGCTCTAAATTTGAATGCAGGCAGGTAAGTTTCTTCATCTTCTGCCAATAAATAACTTTGTTTAAAATCTCTTACATAAAATAGGAAGAATAAATGCTTAGCAAAATGTAGATGATGTGCTTTCTTTGGTACAAAGGTAATGTAGAGACAATACAATTTTTCTTCCTCTTCAGCTGCTAAAAGAGGCTACTGAGTCTAGACACAAGTGTGAACAGATGAAACAGCAAGAAGCTCAATTAAAACAGCAGGTAAACTAATTTAAACATTTGCTGCATTAAGGATGTTAATCACTTAGTTACAAACTTGGTTGAGAAAATAATTTGTTCTCTTAGAATTTCTAAAACATTTTCAGAAAGTAGCAAATCAGTGAAACAAGTTGGAAACCCACAAGAAGCCCATGGGAAAGGGAAGATAAAACAGTTGGGAAATTCCACCCCCCCCCCCTTGGAAGATTGGTGGACTCTTGAGATAATGAGTAGCTTCCTGCTTACCTAGCCCCCTAAATCTGTTCTGGTGTTCCCCTCAACTTTTCCAGCTAGATTTGGGGAGGGGCACATGAGAGGAGAGGGAGTAGTTCTGTTGCACAAGGGGAAATCCTTGCGCTAGCTTGAGCCCATTATTGTTATTGTTGTTAGAAAACAGTATATTAACTCATTTCTTGTTCTGATGGTGCTGGGTACGTTTTGGCTGGTCTCTGGCAAATTCACAGGACTATTATTTTTCCCCAAGGTGGCTGTTTTTGGGCCATAATGCAGGTACTTGTGAAACCATTCTTGTGAGTGGGTTTATCACTTTAAAGTGGCTGCTCTTATGTCATGCTAGGTAAGTCTCAAAAATCAGACTTTCCTAGTGTATGATGATCCCACTAACAAGAATAGATTTTAATATGAACCTCCACTGCATGATGCCACGTGGAAAAGTTCTACCTTGTGGCAAAAAGTTCTAATGCCTTGGTTCTTGGTTTGGTAGTGCCCTGCCTAAATCTAAATGCTGCTGGATTTACTTCATTTTTCCAATGCTTACTAATAGTGCATGGGAAAGTACCCCTGAGAAACTCAGTGCTGAAACAAATTGCATACTAACCTATAATATTGGCAACGACTTAACAATATTAAAACCATTTTTGTGCACCCAGTGGTTTGGCTTTTTTGTTCTATGCCTTATTCTGCAGTTTAAAGTAAAAGAGATCTTGGTCAATAGTGGCACAAATAAGCAGTTCAATTGGGAATTTAGTTTCTAGAATGATTTTGGCAAAAACATGTCTTGTGTGGTGTCCTGAAAGGTTTGTGATGGATTTACATGTCACGTTTTGTGGAGGACTGATGAGATATGTTCACCCTTGACAGACCAACCACTCTCGAACTTGTTATTCCGGTAGTACCTTCCCTTCCACCTCAGGTTTTGTGTCATTATTGCATACTATGCAAATAAAAGAATTTGTATTACTTTAATATGGGTTAGACAGCCTACAGTGCAGTCCTACACACGTCTACTCAGGAGAAGGCACCATTAAGTTCAGTGCAACTTTCTCCCAGGTACCTGTGTGTAGCATTGCATCCTTAATCTGTTGGTTCTAAGAGAGGAGTGGGAGAACGAATTGTTAGTTTGCAAGATTTTTCCTAGGGCATGTGCATAGGTGGTGGTTGAGTTTAAAACTCGAGTGAATAGAGCTTAGATAAAAGTTCTTCAGAGGGGGAAATGGGCTCAAAGCAGTTCACTTCAGTGGGACTACTCATGAGTAGGACTTAATTGACTACAACCCAGCAAAACAAAGAATCCTTTATTCTCATTATTTTTAACTCCTTTAGCATGCTTTGAAAGTCACCTCATCCTTAGGTAATTGTCACATAAGTGAAGTTCAATCTTTTGAAATCACGTATTTCACTGTTTACCAAATACATTGTGTAGCTACTACATTTTATGTGTAACTCTAAAAATTGCATATGTATAGAGGACTTAAGCATTGTCTCCTTCAGCTTTCTCTCTACATGGATAAATTTGAAGAATTCCAGACAACAATGGCAAAGAGCAACGAACTTTTCACAACATTCAGGCAAGAGATGGAAAAGGTACTTTGTTTACATGTATTATTTTCTGATCTGCCTCATTCATTCATTTACAGTGGGGAGATCGTAGTAAGACTGCAGCCTTTGCAGTGGAGGCTGCTCCATGAGGGTGAATGGAACAGTGCCCCACCAACCTTACTCTCCCCTTATCCAGCTCCCAGCTACCTGCCTGCCTCCAGGGTTGGCATTTCCTGTCAGAATCCTCCACCTTAGCCTCGGTTTTGCCCTCGTGGAATGCAGCAGGGAGGTGGACAGACACAAAACTAGAATGAGTTGGTTCCACCTGCCATAGACTCTTGCTACAGTCCGCCCTCCCAGTCGCCGAATCCTATATACGTGAAACTTGACTTCTGAGAAAAGAGGTAGAGAATTGCAATGAGAAGGACCTAGCCAGCCTGTGCAGATCTTAATTATTGAAATCATCACCATTAGAGTTATTAATGATTTTAATTACTAAAATGCCAATAACTGAGTGATCTTGGTATGCTTTTCTTGTGGGAGATAGTATAGTGCACTTAAAACAAAAACGAAAACCTTTAAATGAAACATTTAGGGAGCACTGGGGGAGGAGAGCGGAGAAAGCTCCATTGCACAAGGGAAAATCCTCCTACTGATGGAACATTCACCTTAGCACTGTGTCAAATTCCTCCCGTAATGTCTTTTTTTCAGTTTAACATCTCATTTTAAACAGTGAGCTTGAGTGACTTAAGAATAAAGAGGCATTGAGAGTTAAAAGGTAGGATTGGCTAATCTTAGGCCTCAGGCACCAGCTGGCTGAGGCTCATGGGAGTTAGTGATCCTGGGGGTTAGTGATCACCAAAAGGTTAGTCATCCTGGATTTAAGTAGTGAAATGTTTTTGCTTAAAAGAAATCAATAACTTTAACGTTTCAGATGACCAAGAAGATAAAAAAACTGGAAAAAGAAATAATAGTTTGGCGCACAAAATGGGAAAACAACAACAAAGCTCTCTTGCAAATGGCTGAAGAAGTGAGTATTAGGTTTCATGATTAAAAATCCAATGTGCCTTATATATTATGGAGGTAGCCTGTTTTGTATAGTTTTGTAGAATGTGAAGTTGAATCAAAACCACCGGGTCTCCAACCCGTCATTGGAAAGCAGACTGTACAAAAGTGGTTGAGAAAGGCTTTAGATTTTTTAATGTTTGTGGATAAGCTTGTTGTCATGATCCATACAAATAATTTGGCTGACTTAGTGAACAAATTTATTTTGAATAGATGTCTTCATTCATATTCTAAATACATTGGGCAGTGTATGCTACTCGGTGATTTCACTAGTGCAGTTTAATGTGCCTTCCCTATGTACCCCCTGCACCCTTCCCAAATCAGCTCCAAAGGGTTGGTGGGACCCCAGAACAGATTTAGGGGGTGCACAGAGGGAGGCGAAGTTCTGATTCACAGCCAAAAGTCCTTACACTAGCAGAAGCTCTTTGTTCTGTACTGCCTGTTGTCTTTCTTTTTCTCTTGTGAAATAGTTACCGGTTATTTTTATACAAATCTCTTTTCTTAATATCTTCTGGTAGACAAGGGAGGGCCCTGCTTAATACTTCTAAACATATAATTTATTATCTTGTTTCTGAACATTTCAAGTATTTCTAGCATGCTCTTCATTGTAATGCAGGGTACAACAATATATAAATGAAAACCAACCAAACATGCAATCCTAAAATAAAAAGAGCAGATAATATTACAGCATCCGCAGCAACAAAAGCAATAATCAGAAACAGGTCACACAAATATCATCATGTGCAATCTCTTGCTTGTTTTCTGCAGAAAACAGTGAAGGACAAAGAATACAAAGGCTTCCAAATAAAACTGGAGCGTTTGGAAAAGCTGTGCAGGGCTCTTCAAACAGAAAGGAATGAGCTGAATGAGAAAGTGGAAGTTCTTAAGGAACAGGTTTCTTTAAGAGAAACAGATGTTGATCTAGCTGTGCATGTGTTGCAGTCATGCACACTCAATTCGCATGAGGAACTGGGGAGTTCTACCAATGGAGCGCAAGAAGGAATTCAGCCAGATCCTGAATCATCAGTGGCAAATGAAGGCTCTGAAAAAACTGTTTGCCTGGGTTCCATTCCTACTGCAGATTTTGTTGACTAAAAGTGTAAACACTGTATTGAGAGATATATTTTGTGTATAACTTTAACTGGTGGTGGTAACTCTTAGTTTTGTGGTGAAAATTTTCTTACTTTTTCTACCATATCTGTATTTTCTTAGAACAGAACTTGCCTGGTACAGGAAGCTGCATAGCGGCTATTGAATAGCTTATCTATAAATTTTCCACAACTGTGTTGCACATCTGCCTCGTTTTTTAAAACAGAACTCATAAAGGATGCATGCAGATTCCTTCCTTCTGACCCCATAGCACACATCACCATGTCATCTAAGACTCGTGTACAGATTTAACATCATGTCAGGGGAACAACTGTGGCCAGAGTGTCGCGGACTCGGGTTTGAGGGGGGGGAGGGAATCGTTGCTTCTGTTAAGTGAATTAAGGCTTAGTATTGAATTGTAATGACCAAATACTACAGTGAACTATAATTGGAAATGTGATGGCCAGTGGGAGCTCATTACTGGATTCATATATGAACAAAACTAAAAACTCTTACAGGGTTTAGTGTAGCTGCAGTCTTGCCTACAGCTTTGAAATCTATATAATTTTGCAACTGGAAAACAGGGTGTACAACTCACATATTTCTCAGGATTGTCCTGCACAGTCAATTCATAGACAGAGTGACTGTTGCCTGACCTGTTAAAGTGAAGAAAAAAGGGAAGAAAACAGGCGCTCAAAAGTTTGTCCAATTAACCACTGACCAAAACTCAGATGCATTTTGAGCACACTTTTGCAACATCCTGGAGATAAAACCTTAATAGTTAAAACCTACTGCCTACAAATGCATGTGTGTAGTTGTGGCTTGTCTGATAAAACAAAATGCAATGGGTTTTTGGTTTGTGGGTGCTAGGCAAAAGTACTTTTTTCTGCCATTATTTCTTCACTAGGTTTGGTGCCTAATTAGCATGAAATAATGAACAGCTACAAAGGTGTTCATCACTGAAAATGGGTGTAATGACCAATAACACTCCATCTGTTGGTCCCTTTAATAGACAGTACAGCAGACCATAATGCACATATTTGACTGGAAACATGTTCCCATGAAAGCTTACTTGCCTATTTAACAAGGATAAGTCAGAGTATAGATAATACAGTTTGTCGTCTAGGGATGGAGGGGGGAATACTCTGATCTTTTTTCTCAACTATTGCTTTTTGTAAAATAAAAATGTATGACTAGATAAAACATACCTGTAAGCAAAAGTGCCTTCTGGTATCTATAGGTTACCTGGTAGATTTGGCACATCAGTTAACTAATATACAGCAAGCGAGGCTCCACTTTATTTCTGTTGCGTTTGTGGTTAGTGTTGTGAATGTAGATTGACCTGGAAAAGCCCAGATACCCCCATAATTTGGACTTGTGTTTCTTTTATTTATTTAAAAGACAGGGACCAATAGTGTTTTCTTTGTTAATGTTAGGCAGAGTGCTACTAGGTCAGAAGCTGCTGTTTAACTCTGCCTTGCAGTTAGTAGCTTTCTAGTTGCTGGTTGTTTTGAAAAATACAAATACTCCTATTTCTGGTATTTAATTTGGTTCTCATTTTTAAGGGATTTCTGACTCAAGCACATAATTGTTGGCAGGTTCTCTCCTTGCCTACCCATTCTCTCTGAGTTGCAGATTACTTGAATGTTCAGGCTATGTTGCTATGTGCTACCCTTTTCCTGATGAAATGTACAGAATGGAAATAGATGTCTTGAAAGGAAATAAAGGTTGGATCACACCGACTGAATGTTACCTAATACCATTGAGCAAAATCAAATTGGCATCTGCAGTGACCTAATTTGGAAACTGGCCAGTTAATATTCCTTATAAGGTGCATTTGCAGTCTTTTCTTTTTTGGTATGCATTTCAAGTATAGTAAAAGAAAGCAAAGCTGGTGGGAGGTTTTATAGTGAGGAAGGGTAGAATGAGCTTTGTCAGTCATAACCATTTGATTGTAATTGATTCTGGAGAGAAATTTTCTGATGTTTCCTTTATAAAAAAAAAACCTTGTCCAGTACTTTAAAGCATATATGTGCAAGCAAAGACGTCATAGTAAGTAATTTGAAACGGAATGCAATTTTGAAGGACCGAACTGCAGTGTATCTGAACCATCCCACCCCACCAACCCAATGTATGTGGTTGCCTTGCCTGTAGCCAGGATTGGTGTAACGTTTGCTCTCTTTAGAGAAGAGTAGACTTTGGGTCACGGTGCATTAAAAATTGCTTCCACATTATAGCTAAAAACACCCTAAGGATTGTGGCCACTAATACTTAAACGTAATTGAATTGCATTGACTATTCTTTCTGGTTCCTGTCTTTTCTAAGTGTAGAACTAAATTTTGTTTCCTGAAATCTTAAGACATTCCATACATTGACCAGTGAGAGGGCCAGCATGGGATAAGCGCAGTCCTTGTCTGATCTGGAATTCCACTGCTGTTCTCCAGCTTTTTTCCAGTGTACTTCCTTCTGTACAACCCATGCTTACCACTGGCAGCTGCTTTAATGTGCGAATTCCCAGTAATCATGTGCTAAATTTAAGGCTGTTGCTTGTACCGTCCATCTCTTTATACCTTTTGCAATGATGCGTACAGTGTGTGTGGGGGGGGAGTGCACTGTTTTTCCTATTGCATAACCGGTGGTTCAAATGCAGTTAATCTGCCGATTAAGCCCTAGAATCCTAAACTATTCTCACACAGGACCCTCAAAGCCACCACTCTTTTTCATTTGTAATTCTTAAGTGTATTTGCATACATGCTTGGGGGCTGTATCTTTCCAATCCGTTCTCCTCTCTATTACACCTGGTTATGTTACCGTTCAGTTCTCAGGTGTTGCAGAAAATCTACCTCTTCAGACTGTAGATGGAAATAACTGTGAAAAGTGATGCAGATATTTAGTTTGTGCTGAACACTCTGCTTTATTTTTACAACCCATACCTGCTTTCATGAAAAAGAAATGCTGAATAAAATAGCCAGTCTTGTTTTTGCTTTTCAAGAACATTTTGTAGAGATTTTTCACTAATGTGAATCTGAAATTTTATCTACTCAGTTCTGTATAAATTAAGTAAATATGTGTGCTTAATATACTAGGCTATGTGTCTTATTTTTTTTAGAATTCTCAACTAAATTTCACTTTTCTGGCTGTAGGTCTTGTCCATAGATGGGTGGTGTTCACTGTACTTATTATTAAGTGAACTGTAAACATGCAGTTTTGCACTTCCATAGCTATCCTAAGGATTCAGAATTGAAAACAAAGCCCTTCCATTAGTGTAGCTAAATGTTAAAACACCATAGCTGTCTTAAACATTCCTTTAATAACGGGATGGAAAACTCCATTCAATTTCCGTCAGTAGTGCATCAAAAGAGTTTACCAGCACCATCTAGTGGCAAAAGAGAGAGTCTTAATGAGAATCTATTATGGGTGTATATGTCTTACACAAAACTGAGGACAACAATCCCTTTAAATTATCTATCAAACTTGTGGTCTGTACTATTTCTTCCATATCAACTAATAAATTGAAGCAAAATTCTCTTTTTATAAATCAAAAAGGAAGAAGTTAAGAATCGAAAGTGTCAGGATGTCATTCTAACATTCATTTTTGTTTTACCACTCACTGTCGCTACAGTGTGAACAAGCAGTATTTTGCCCAATAGTTTTCCTTCTGTCCTTTACAGGGAGCAATTTGATTTAATGAACCAAACAGTGCTTCATATTAAGGTGCCTAATGTGTATTTTCACAGCCCCCCCCCCCCAAAGTTGTGCCGGGTGTTTTTTTCACGATTATGAAAAAATTCTCTCTTTCTACATTAGTGTGCAGCTGGTGGTTTGGAAATACCTGTTTTGCTAAGTGACCTTATGAGAAAGCATCCCAGTCACACTACTGTTAGGCATGCCTGAGAGGAGATATGATAGCCATCTTCAAATATCCCAAGGGCTGTCACATGGAAGAGGGAACATGTTTGTTTTCTCCTGCTCTGGAGGGTAGGACTCGAAACAGTGGCTTAAAGTTTATGACTAAATGTTCAAAAAAACTTCCTGACAGAGCTGTTCAGCAGTGGAACAGACTCCCACAAGAGGTGATGGACTCTCCTTCCTTTGAGCTTTATAAGCAGAGGTTGGATGGCCATCTGTCATGGATGTTTTAGCTAAGATTCCTGCAGTGCTGGGGGTTGGACTAGATGACCCCTGGCTCCCTATGTCACAGAAGAGCTACAAAGTCTGACAGGGACAGCTCTTCCACAAGAAGCATGACCTTGCTTCACACTGTTCTAGTTCAAGCCACAAAAGGTAAATTCTATTGGTAAGGTAAAGATAAATGACCCCTGGACAGTTAAATCCAGACAAAGGTGACTATGGAAACGTTAGCAAATAGTGTCTTCAGTCAACTGAAAACCCAGAAAGTGTCAAGTGTGTTGTCTTCTGTTTTCCTTTCATGATGAAAGGTGCGAGGTAATCTCTCTGGGCTTGTGGGGTCTATGCAACTGGGTTTTCATAGTTAAAAACATAAGAAGAGCCTGCTGGATCAGGACAATGACCCATCTAGCCAAGCATCCTGTTCTCACAGTGGCCGACCAGAGGCCTGTCGGAAGTTTGCAAGCAGAATTTGAGCACAAGAGCACTCCAGCTTCCTGTGGTAGCAACTGATATTACTGCCTCCAACTGCGGAGGCACAGCATAGCCATTATGGCTAGTAGCCATCAATAGCCCCCACCTCCATGAATTTGTCTAATCCTCTTTTAAAGCCGTATGTAGAGTAGTTGATGTCACCCATGTCTCCTCTTTCGGGTGCTTCCTTGATTTCATTCTTCATCTCAAGATCTCCTTGAGCATTTTGATGAAGGGGATGATAGCATGCTGCTAGTACAAAATGATTAAATTACCCACGATTATGTGGGGAAGGTTGCCCCTTTGGGGATTTCTAGCTTGCTAGACTCCAAGCTTTCTTTGACATACAGAGTTCAAAGCTGACACCTTGAAATAGATGATCCGGCTGACCAGAGAATTACGCTACGTAGGGGGAAATGGGCTTGATCCTATGTCTTTTCCCCAAGCATAGGAGTTGGGCATGGGAGAACAGTCAGTTAACTCAGTAGCTTGCTGGTGCTTTGGAATCCGAAATATTATTACTCGAAGGCATTTCAGCTATTTCCCTAGCTCTGCTATAAGTGTTTTGCTAAGTGAAGACAAACTGGGCAGTTCAAGTACCCTTGAACCAGGATTATAATGCTAAATCTTGTTAATCACTATTGTTAATCCATTAGTTTCCTCTAGTTCTTTAAAATGAACAAATCTATTGCACAAAAACAAGTTTCTTTTTGTACTGGATTAATTCATTATCTTTTGTTTCTTCAATTATTTTCTCAAAATGCCATTCTAATAGAATTGAATGCACTACAAAAAAATTGCCACGTTTAAAAAAAGACATTACATTTGTTAACTAATACCAACCTATATTTCAGAGAGACATTTTTAATAATTGGGTGGTTGTTTTAAAAAATGCCTTCTCTACTTGAAAAGTCTCCTTTTGTGGATTTATATTCAGTGGTTCTCAAGGGGCAGAAAACCTCAATATTAAAGTCTAAGGCGAGAAGAATGCTATCAGGTTTACATTACTGTCTGAAGAACTAAATATGCAAAGTTTCTTCTGCTTTGTCTGCATGTTGATCAGTATTTAGGTATAGTATGCACAAATATGAGGGCATTCAGTTGTTATATTTCAGCTGTTGAGTAGGCGTTAAATCCTGCTGCTTTGACTGCACATGCCAGTTCCTTTTGCAGAACCAGCAGGAGCAGCCAACACAGAATTGAACTCCACCCATCACCCCAAATTGCCTGGTGATGTCAGCCAATGGACAAGGTTTGGGGGAAATGGCCTCACTGGCTGCATTGGATCCACTGGTAGGCCAGCATTGGCCCATGGGCTGTAGGTTCCCCACCCCTGATTTACACATATGATAAAATAAATTCACACTCTTTTCTTTCCATGTTAGAGCAGAGCATGAAGGTTGTGAAACAAGCTCCACAAGGCTCATTAACTGCTTTATGCCTAACATAAATATATATCACTGACCATTCAGAAAGGGATTTGAAGAATGGAGCAAATATGAAGGAATGTCTCTTGTTCTCAGGCACTGTTTACTTATTAAATTCTTATATATGAGAAGTACAGTAAATTCCAAGCATACTTTGAACCATAATGAGGCATAATGTACCTTAGCCTGCCTCCTTGTTTTTATTGTTTTTCATATCTTCTTAATAGGTCGTCCTTGGAAACAAGGGTCAGGTGTCCTCCCAGAGATGCAGTAACATTCTTTGCATTATTCACTTATACTTCAGGAAATTCACCAAAAATTAACAAAGGCGGTTGATGCTATAATCACTTTCACTCAGGAAGCTGTCCATGCAGAACCAACTACTGTATAGACTTTTAAGTTATATGAACTGCTGCTCCCAACCTCCCTTTCAAACTTGACTAGGGTAATACGGAAATAAAGCCAAGTGGTTTAAATAATTTAAGAATTTGTGTACGGCTGCTTTATCGGCTGGTGCTATTCCAAAGTCAAATATTCTGCAAGATCTGGTTCCCTGGAAATTATTTCTGCCATGACATATTTATTGCTTGCAAAGTAAGGTTAGATAGAGCTTCAATAGTTTGTTTGCTTTTTGTGTTCACAAATCCTTACAGGAGGTAATACATCTTTAAATCAAAGTCTTTGCTCCCTCTTTCACATCCTGGGTTTTACATCTACTTCTAGCTGTTTTTGTTTAGCTTTAGAAGACATTTAACTATTCATCTTGAATGTAAGAGTTGGGAGAGGCAATTGCAGAACACCCACTAAAATAAAACACAGCTTGGGTGGCCTTCTGGCGGTATCCTTTTCAATGAAAGGAAAAAAACAGGTGTTAAGTAACACTCTAAATAATCTTGACATGCACACTCAAGATTACGGGAAGATCAAAAGCCATTCCTTGTAAGGGAGTTGCTACAGCCCCTTGATCATTTTGGTTGACCTTAATGCACAGTTTCCAGCTCTACAATATCCTTCTTGAGATGTGGAGACCAGAACTGAACAAAATATTCTAAGTGTAGTCTCTTTCCAGATTTTCTGTAATAGCATATTAGCAGTTGTATGTTTGTTTGTTTGTTTGTTTGTTTGATTCCTTCCTTAACGATACAAAAATGGAATTCATATTATTCACAGCTGCCATATACTGGTGTGCTATTCTCCTAGTAATTGTATAAAGCAGCCATAAAGACATTCTGTTAACATCAGCAGGACCAATATGGCTCTAATCCAGTATAAAACTCACATGCTCCTTGGATGAATATTTGCATAGGAACTGCTTGCATATTTTCTATTTGTATTGAGCTTTACTTGCAAACCCAGATTTTGTTGTGCCTGGATTACCAGGTGTCTTTGCTGTACCTACCCCTGCTTAAGTATTTACCTTTTTATAGACCTATAAAAGAAACTTAGGATAGCACCCCTTTTCTAATATGTGTTTGGACAATGTGAATGTATGGGATTGAGATCGTGCCATTTCTACTGTGTGAAACTGCAGGAATTATTGCAGAAAATAACAAAGCCATTGAATATACTTGGCATAGCATATTACCTTGCCATTTCATTATTCAGTGTAAGTCATCTAAAACTTGAAATAAACTCATTTTTATTATAAATGTGAAATAGATGGTCATAGTTGTAATAATTTGGAAATGGGTAATTTGGAAAGGCAACTAACTGCTGGTGATGAAGTGTGACAATTTCAAAACTGGTGACTAATATGCTGCAGTGGATGACAACCTGTTGACTAAATCGAGGCTTGTTATCTTCATAGAACATATGTGGTGGCCTTGAGAAAGGTTGTGGTTAGAATAAATGTAAAACACTGAAAAGTACAGTAGAAAATGTTTTTAAAATTGACTTTACATTAGCTGACAATTTAACAAGGAACAAAATCGCTAATATGAGTGCTGAGTTTATCAACTTCCTGTCAATCATTATTGACATATTTACCAGTCTTACATTTTGTGAAATTGGACTGAATAGTTTCTGGATTGTTTAGGATCTAATTTGGTGATGAACGGCTAGCTAAAAATTAACTTGTTCAAATTCATGTGTGGTGGCAATATTGGTTCACACATTTGCTCAACTATGATCTTAAAGAAAGGTCTGATAGAACTGTTTAATTTATGCATGATAGTATTCCACCAAATGTGATTCATTGCCAAATAAGACTGATTATTTTGTTTTTATGCACATTTATTAGCTGAGGCTCGAGCCATAAGCACATATTTAACTTTCTACAGCTGTGGCCATACTTAAATATGCAGTTGGCTGTGTCTCTGTTTTCATTTGGCCTAAGGCACAAATGCCTGCAACAGAAGGTTAATAAAAGGATGCAATATCAACTTAAACATTTCCTGTTTTCTATACCATTGAAACTAACCCAAACACTGTTTCTCCTTACATCTTCTTTTTTCTTCTCATCTCCATTCTGATTGTCAGGTATGTGGAGAATCAAAGCATAAACAAGTATTAAAATATGTTTCATTTTATGTCTGTCTGTAGTTCAAGAAACAATTCCTATTAAAATATAATCCTGCATTTGTTAAACTTGAATGGTTTCTTATGTCAGTAGGGTGGGTTATTTGAGGTCTACGTGTAGTAAAGGCAAAATAACATAACATACTGGGAAAATGGTCTATCCCTGCAAATCTGCCATCTTTGCAGTGGAATGCACTGCACACCCAGCAGGTTGTTTTTAAAAGGCAAACAGGAGCATAGTAGGTTTTAACTGGGAAGACAACAGGTGTTTGTCTGAAAACTTCACTGCAGGCCATTCTCTCTTCCCTGTTATTTATTTAATAATCACTTTTCTAAAGATAGGGTTCTCTAAAGCAGTTTTCAAAGCAAGCCAAAAACTCAAAGCAACCCAATGTCATCAAACCAGTTTTAAACTGCATGTCTATTTATATCCCACTCCAAGTACCTGAGGTAGTTATGTTAACTGCAAAATCTTCTTGCCCTGTTGGTCACCTTTCCCTGGCCCACCAAAATAAAAGCTTGAGCACAAGGGTTTTTGCACTACTTCTGGAAAACCATGTTGGTCTCCAAGACGCAACTCCTGGGGGCTGATATCCCTTTGGCCTCCCCAATAAAATATGTGAGGGGGTGCCCACCCCAAAGTGATAGGCATTGCCATTCAAATGGTGTGCGTGCGCCGCATCTTGTGATCCATTATGCGACGTGGGGTCTCTTTGGACCCCCCCCCCCAATATTTCATTCAAGTGGGCACCCTTGCCAAGACCAGGGCTTTTTTCGGGGGTACTCGCCGGAACTCAGTTCCATAACCTCTCAGGTGGGTGCCATTGCTATTCTAAGAGAGAGGTGTCCCTGGTGAGTTCCGGCACCCCCTTCCCCCCCTAGAAAAACAGCACTGGCCAAGAAGTATCTATTTTGCTAAGGCTTTTACCCCACGGTCACCTGCACCCACCCTCTGAACTGGGCTTCAAGTTAAGTCTTCAGGTGAGAGGAAATTCCACAGCTAACCCCAGGTGGCCTCTGCTGGGCACACCTTGGTGCCCAGATGCCAGAGAGATTTAAACGCTGTGGGGCTGCTTTTTTCATGGGGGGGGAGGGCTCTCTGCACATGCTCAGATGCGCAGCCCTACTGCGCCATTCTTCGAAGAGCAGGGCGTCAGGGTCAAGCAAGCCCGTCCCTGAGGTGGCCATGTGGGCGTCTAGCGTTTCTCCTCAGAGTGTGGCTCTCACCCCCCTCACCCCACGGAGGCGGCGGCGGCGGCTGCCTCCTGCTCCAGCCCGGCGTGTGGAGGTGGAGGCTGCGGAGCGGGAACGCCGTTTTGGGCACGTGCCCTGAGGAAGCTTTTTTTCTTCCCCTTCCCTTTCCCGAGCAGCTGCTGCCGCCGCTGCCGCTTCCCGCTCTCGGCTTTCTGAGGAAAACCTCTGAGGGAAGCAGAAGAAGAAGGCGCGAAGAAGAAGAAAGCTTCTCTCCGTCTCCCGCCTCCTCCTCCTCCGCCTCCCCCCTCGGGCAGCACTGCAGAGGCAGCTCCGCTCCGCACTGGGGAGGAGGAGGAGGAGGCGGGGGAGGCCGCCGCCGGACGGAGGACGAGGTTCAGCCGGGGCTGCTGCAGAGGCTCCTCGCTCGCCCCTCTCGCCCGCCGCCAGGAGTTTCTCTCCGGGCCTCGGGAGTCGCGCCGCCCCCTGCCTGATTCCCCGCTGCCATGGAGCCCGGAGCAGCAGCAGCCGCCGCTGCTGGGCCGGCAGCCGCCGCCGGAGCCGCGGCGCTCTTCCTGGCTGCGAGCGAGCAGCAGGGCTACTCCGAGCTGTTCTCGCTTTGCGGCGGCGGCCAAGCTGCGCCCGAGGCGGGGGGACCGGCGGGAGCGACCCCAGCCGCCGCCGCCGCCGCCGCCGAAGGGAGCAAAGTGGCGGAGCTGTTCCGGGCGTCGCAGCTGCCTGCCGAGACGCTTCATCAGGTAAAGTAGTAGGAGGGGCGCGCAAACACACACGTGCAGAGTGTCTTCTGGGCATGTGCAGAGTGCCTTCATCCTAACTATTAGCGGGTGAGGTTTTTTCCCCAGGTCGGAGAGTTGCACTCTGGTTGTGCCTAAAAATAGAGAGATGTTGTGACTTTCTCCCACGAGGTTGTGTGATTCGCCTGTCTGATGTGCCCCCAGCCTCATGACGAGTCCAGTTGTGCGGTTTTGGAAAAGAAGGCGATCTTCTTTCCTGCGCCCCCTTTGCAAACCTTGATATGTGGTGCAAGAACAGAAACATCTGTTTCTGTTGTCTTTCTCTGTGTCAAGGTTTTTTGTACGCTCTTGTTCTGTTTCTTCTGTCTCCTTTCGTTAGTAAGGTACACACATGCCTTTGAGTACAGGGAGTGGTGTTTAAACTGTGGCTCCTGTCAGATTGCAGAGTATAGGTAGACAAACCTTTTCAGTACAGAGTTGTAGAAAATATGGGTGCTGTTAGCTTGTAAAAGTGAACTGCTGTTTATTTTATACTCAAGAACATCTTGAGGATAGAATAAGCAAATTCACCCTTTAGTTCCCATTGCCCTGTATACAGATTCTTGGTTTGATCTTTGCAAGAAGTAATCCTAATAAAACCCACACAAGAGTAGATCTCATTACAGCTCCTATCTCACTTCCGAATTGTTTTTGAATTTTGTTACCTATTGCACCTATTGGTGCTTGGTGTTTGATTCCAGAATGCTGTTCATTCGGTCATGTAGTTCACATGTATTGTAACTGCTAATTTTTCACACTGGGAGTCAGATTGTAGATTGCAATGGAAGGGAGCCTTAGTTTTATGCTGTCTCATCATCCCACTTCCTTTATTTCCTCAGAAGTCCACAAAGGGAGGTGAAAACAAATGAAAACTG